TGGGAGATATTCATCATCCTCTCCGTCTGATTCAATGATTTCTACTTCATTATCTCCTTGCTCTTTCATTTCATGGACCATCGATTCAGACTCAACTAATGGAGTGTCATTGGAGAGAGTTTAAATAGTCTCTGTTGCTATTTGACTGAGAGGAACGGTAGTCAATGCGGCAGGAGAGACAGTTTGCTTAGGCTTCACACTTTGTGACAGTTTCTCATTAGGCGGATTGGGGCCTGTTCTATTAGTCTTGTTTTTTTGTGATTCCAATACGCTTATTAGGAGGGTGGCCTGATCCATGATTACGACGAGGACAATCACGGCTGATATGACCACACTCATTGCAATTATAACAGCGACGAGTATTAATGAGTTCCATGCAATCTGCTCGGCAATGGTCGGATTTTTGACAAAAACGACAGAATTGGGGCATTTCATCCCACGTAAGCAGAAGTTCACGATCAAATTCGGGCCAAACCACTACTTGACCAAGTTGCTCAGGCTCAGACTTGTGAGGATTGTTCAGATCAACAACGACGTAGCCCTGGCCGAAAAATACAGCACCGTCCATATGAAATCCCAGATCTAGGACTTCACCAAAATGGGAAAAACGTTTGGTCATTTGCTCGCGGAGAGCTGAAGGATGAATCAAAGGGAGTCGTTCAACCTTAACTCGAGCAATTTTCGCATTCTGGGGCAAGCTGCGGTAACCTTTGTTAATATTATTATCTTCCATCTGCAAACCGGCGTTGATCGACTTATTGTATACTTCTGAGCTGATGTCCCAGCAAGTTTCAATAAAACGTCTCTGCAAATACTTGCGCTTAACAAGTAAGGTGCCAAAGAAATAGTACTCTTCATTGATATTAAGTGACCCGAGAAACTGTTTAGGGCATTCACATCACGAATGTTGGTGATATCGATCAATACACTATCTTTCTCTAAACCGACAATATAAGGCGTAATAGTGCCCGAAGAAAGAGTGTTGGTACTAGCATACTTCGACTGGGAAGAACCAGAAGTGCGTGCAGATGAAGCTGTGGCAGCTAATGATGACGACTGGTTAGCAGACACAATAGTTCTAGCCGCTACTTGCGACCAAGTTCTGGGTAAATTATCGTTGTTACGACGCCCTTTGGAGGATTTCATGTTGTGGGTTGGCTTGTTAGGCGAAAGAACCATATGAAAAAGGTCGATTTTGCATAAATTTTAGCAAACTCGAATTAAGCAAGCGGCAGCTGAAAATCATTTTTGAAAAGCAACTACTAGCCGTTGACAACGTCTTCTCTTCCCAAATGACAACTGCTGCAATTCGATATCCTTATTGAATGCTCTTGATGATCAATTTCTTGGCTAGTTTCACTCTTGCAGCAGAATAATTACGACAGCCATAGTAGCCATAGTAGCCATGGTAGCCATGGTAACCATGGTAACCATACACCACAGCGTGAGCAACTGCATTTTTCTTCCATCGCTTACGCTGTAGTGACAACTCTATAAAAAAGTAACTAGAGCGATAGAGAAAATTATAGAAAGACTTGTATACCTCAGGCCTTCGTTGTCGGCGTGATGGACTTACCTAAAAAAAAAAAAAGAAAAAAAAAACATTTTCAAACATCATAAAAATATTGACATTTATGCCGAAATTACAAGTATGCCGTTTGCGTACTCAAAAAAATATTTTTTGAAAAATAATAAAAAAACATTATTTTAAATTAAAACCATTACTCTAAAATAAAGCAAAAATAATTTCTGCAATGACAAACAATAAAAAAAGAAGGGATTCTCTAACTTTTCTGCTTAAAATTAAAAAAAAAAACTTGTTTTTCAATTTTTCTGTTTTGCATTAAAAAATGAGTCTACCACATAATGACTACTGTTTTAGTTCAAAAAAGAGATTACTAGTCGGTAGACTCATTTTTTAATGCAAACAGAAAAATTGAAAAACAAGTTTTTTTTTTTAATTTTAAGCAGAAAAGTTAGAGAATCCCTTCTTTTTTTATTGTTTGTCATTGCAGAAATTATTTTTGCTTTATTTTAGAGTAATGGTTTTAATTTAAAATAATGTTTTTTTATTATTTTTCAAAAAATATTTTTTTGAGTACGCAAACGGCATACTTGTAATTTCGGCATAAATGTCGACGGAGTTGAAATCAAGTAAATATTCTGAAGACATATACTTTTTATAATACTTTGTATATGGGCCTTGCCGATTACCGCTACGGCACAAGATATGATGTAGCAATACAAAGAAAACAAGCTATCTTCAATAATATGACTGAACCGTTTCTTACCTGAACAATTTCCGTCTTCTCTGTGCCAGATCTGTTGTATTTATGCTGTACTGATTATGGTGTGCAATGAACTTTGATTCAATTTCTTGTCTCGAAAAAACATATTTTAAATAAAAAAGGGGCCATTTTAATGGTCTGGTTATTGAGCAATGGCGCATCAGAGAGCGACATATTTAAGCGGGGCTTTGAGCATTTTTGCTCTAGATGCCATATAAAATACGTTAGTAACGGGATTTTGAAAGATACTTTATATTATTTTATTATTTTGAGTGCCAAAGAACATGTAGAAATAGAAATATGGACATTTTAGAATGCAAATGTGAGGTAACTGAACATAGGGTCTACTAGCTGGCTGTTTAGCGAAGATTGAGATAGATCAATTCCAGTTCTTCCCGCCGCATCACAAATCAAGCTTTTACTAAGAGCTGCATAAAAATGAAGCTATTGAGCTTTGATGTAATAACAAAATTTGTAGAACTTTGCTTCCTAAGTTTGTTGATATAGAGAGCGCAGTAACTTTGCTGCTAAAACTCTAGGAAAATGCGCCAAAGTGTCTTTGAGGTTTTCCGTCATATCATACCATTTCTATATGACGATCAGTAAGCAAACACGGTCACCAAAAAGTAAAGCGTCTGGCGCACATCTTGCGTATTTAAGCTTGTCAAGGGCCCCATTTTTCGTCTTGTAGTGCTAAAAAAAAGATTTTTTTCTTAAATGTGTTTATTGATTGAGCCGCGTACACTAAGAGTAATGGTCAAAGTGAAGAGGCGGGTGCAATTAAAATGAAAGTTAATAAAATAAAACGAAATATACCAAACAAAATAAACTAAACTAAAATAAAATATATAGAAAGAAAAAAAAGTTACATGATTGAATGGCATTGATCCTCTTCAATAGTCTGACGAACATTGAATCGGATGCTTGCTAATATGGCCGTAGGTACAATGGGGTCTTGTCAAAGATAAATATCATATGAGCAAGCCAGATTTGTGAAAGAGTAATTATGAGGATTCTGTATGGTTTGATTCCTTTCCGTTGGCAGTACCAGATGTACGAGAAGTCCAGGGACAGAAGAGCCTCTTTGATATCAGATATTGAGGTGGTAGGCCAAAGAAACTCAAAGATGATTTCCTTCCATACCTTCTCTTTAGTTGGACAATGAAAGAGCATATGGCTAATAGAGTCAGTGGTAGTTAAGCACACCGGACAGAAGGGAGAGTCAAACACATGAGGCATAATAAAATGTAAGAATCGACGATGAGGAATACACCCCAAGATATACCGGTATGTCACATTACGTTGAATGGTGGTAAGAGACAGAGACCAAAAGAATTTCCATTTCACTTCTGTAATATTTCTCAAAGCCAAAGGAGGAGCCATAGACGAGAGAACTGACTGACGAAATGTCTTAGCCGATGCCTTGACACTACAAATACCTTGATCATCTTGAAACCGAAATTGGTTGATCAAAGGTGCAAATGAGACCGTCAAGTCTTCAAGTGGAGCAGGACTACATACAGAGCTAAAAAAATGGCTGAAATTTCAAACTCCCAGATGCAAGACCTTTGAAGACTGTGGAGGGAGTACGCTTCCAATGAAGTAATGAAGAAAAAAAAAGATCAAAACTTGTCAAACTAGTGATTTTCACGAGTAATACCCTTTGATTTCGAGAGGTTTTGGGTCGTTTTTCGCAAGTCGCTTTTTTTTTGTCCAAGTCAACTTTAGAAGCACTATGGGTGTTGACAAACATTGTTTGTGGGCATCTAGAGTATTTGCGTGTGTATAAACAAGTTTTATACTACCTTTATTTGGGCACTTTCTTGAAAAAAGGTGCATTTATTTTTGGAGGTACAATGTTTTTTTTTGCATAGTTTGGCGATGTGAATCCGAAATGGCATCTATTCACTGAAATGAGTACGATCATCTTATCAGATGCCAAAAAATAGATCGAAATATTTAGCCTGTAAATTATTGAACTAGCAGTGTTTTTAAGAGCTTTAAGATAGAGTGCATTAATCTCAAATGCGAATCTGTTTTATCACAACCATCTTTTCTGCGACAGAGCACTAATAAAGCAAAAGCTTGGCAATTTGAAGATGAGTCATACTCTATCTTTTTTGACAGCAGGATAAATAGATTAACCTAAATGTGGTACAAACGATTGACAGTTGTTAATAAGTGATCGGTGAGATTCTTTTGTTAAAGAACGTGACTATTTGTTTATGCTGACACACTGTATGATTACTGCCATTTGATAATGAACTGCATGAATACATTTGTTTGGCATGTGGTAGTTTTATGATTTATGTGTTCTGGACGTCACTTGAAGCAATCTGTCAGTTGTTTTGCCGCGTATAAACAGTGAAACTACGACTTTTAAATACGTTTCAATGTGTGCCCCTAAACTGCGCAGAAATAGATACTCGCATATATTATACTGCTATGAGAAAAATGTAAATTTTGTCTTAGTTCATCTTTCGAAACATGATCAATGCAAAGCAGTAAGCACTATGTAAAGAAGAAAAAATAACAAAAAACTCGTCAATTTTCAATATGCTCTATATTGACTTTTTTTGAGTAAAAAGTTTGAGTTTATAAGAAAGGAACTTTGCAAAAGCATAATTTGCCTCGGCTAACAATTTTATATTTTTGAAATTTCAATAAAAATACAATCTCATCCAGGATCGGAGGAAGTAGATTGTGCAAATTGTTTGTTTGTTTATACATTATTATTTGCATCAAGTCTTTGAATGAAATGTCGAGTCTGCATCCGAGTCCTTTTAGTTTATGGAGCATTAACTTTCAATGGAGAATTGTTTATTGTAACTATGTATTTTTTTGTTAAAAAGTGGCCTCATTTTTACAAGGGTTTAGTTTCAAATTGTCGATCTGTTAAAGAGAGAAAAAAAGGAGGGAGAATAGTAAGCCGCTTGTATACAATGACTCTTGTGCCTCAAGCATCTACATCTGAGTTCAGAAATGACGTGCTTGAGATTGAAATAGAGATTTATCGCTTTGTATCCACTTGCAAGAACAAAAAGAAAAAAAAAAAAAGAAAACAAATATTCAATCGAATGTTACGAGAGAAATAATATGCTGAATGGAATAGATGATAAGAAAAATTTCTGATTTTTTTCTTTCATCTTAAACAATCAGTGATCTTTTTTTCCCCTCAAGATGTTATAGGTCCAGATGGACTGTTTTTTCTCTCAGTCTGTTCCAGTTGATTACTATATATGTATTCTCCACTTTATGATTATTGCCCGTAAATTAAGAAAAAGGATTCTTTTTTGTCAGGCTGAAAAATTTCTTCTTTCTCTTTTTTAATTTTTCCTTCTTCTTCATTAACAATGGACACCACAACGATCAAAATGAAACCTCTCGAGGAATATGACATCTCTCCTAAAACTGGCTTTCTGCCTCCTACACCGCCACTACGCAGACTAAAGAACGAATACTTTGCACCTTGGGAAGAAATGATGGATGATTTTAATGGCTTGCTTTTAGCTGGTAAAATAAGAGATAAAGTTCACAAGGTGAGTTTATCAAAAAAAAAAAAATGCTTTACAACATGTACCTGACAGCACCTCTACTCTAGTTACCTTTGTTGGATTACAGACGGCTCGAGACTATTGAAGAATACCGACGAGCATTTTTAATTTTATGTATGGTGTCCCATAGTTATGTTTGGGGCAAACACCAAGTAGCATCTGAGGTAAAGTTCAGAGCTTATTTCCTCTTGACCTCAACTAATATTTCCCACGGATCAATCTTAGACATTGCCTTCCAACTTGGCTATTCCATGGAGCGGTATTGCTGATCATTTGGGCCTTTGTCCTGTTGTATGTCACGCTGCTGTTGTACTTTGGAATTATCGACTCATTGATCAAGATGGTCCCATTGATTTGACTAATTTGTGTGCATTGTCTACTTACTCTGGTTCTTTAGACGAAGCATGGTTCTATCTTGTTACAACAGCTATTGAAAGTGCTGGTGCACCTTGTTTATCACAAATCACAAATGCAATTGACAACATTCAATATGGTCGCCATGAAGACCTTCTAAAGAACTTTCAAGTAATTTGCGAATCACTCAAAGACATGAACGATGCTCTTAAACGCATGTACGAAAAATGTGACCCTTATGTCTTTTATTGGAAAATTCGGCCCTATCTAGCAGGTTGGGAAAACATGGCAGAAGCTGGCTTACCTCTTGGTCTGATCTATGAAGGCGTAAATACTCTATGGTCTGCACAAACAGATGAATATGCTGACATGTCTCACTTGGATGATGCTGAACGTCTCTTGAACCAATACCGTCGTTATGCAGGTGGTAGTGCTGCTCAAAGTAGTTTGATTGCTGCTCTTGATGTTGCGTTTGGTGTGGAGCACCACCGTACAGGTGAAAAGCCATCTTTTATTAAAGTAAATGATCTGCCTAATGACCGATATACCAAGCTACCAGCTCCTAACCCAGCTGAAGAACTTCATTCAGGTACTCAGACACCACGCTCACCACTACCTTTTAAGCGTACAAATCGCAATACCTTTTTAAGAGCTATGCGTAACTATATGCCCAAGCATCATAGAGAATTTCTAGAAGATCTAGAAGAAGCTGCCAATATCCGTCCCTATATTCTGCAACTTGAAGAAAACTACAGAAATGGTGAAATCACCGACGAAGAACTTAATATTGTCAATGCTTATAATGACTGTCTTCATCAACTCAAATTATTCCGTGACAAGCACGTACAAATTGTCACGCTTTATATTGTCAATCAAGCTCGCAAAGGTCCAAATATTCCCCACGGTGGTTTTGCTATTGAGAAAAAGACAGAAGCATCTGCTGTTACAGAAGAGGCGCCCGTCGCCAAGCCAACAACACACAACGATCTCTACCCTCAAACACAATTGGAAACCGCACCTGGTATTCGTAAAGATTCAAAGACAGAAAAAGTGACCCAAATGTTCCCTCAGTTAGGTCTTGCAAGAAAATTGGCTTCTGATGCAAAAGTAGTGCGCGGTACGGGTGGAACAAATGTTATGCCTTTTTTAAAGCAATCACGTGATGAAACAAATGACATGAAGATTCGTCTGGCAAGTCAAGAAGAAGCTTCAAAACCTATTCAATTAACAAGCAGCCAACAGAAGCAATCATGGTCTGAATGGCTTCTTCGTCGTTAAATACGTTATTATTTATATATAAATTTCTTTTCTTTATTCATGTACTGGAGAAATGATAAGATACTGTATGAAGATTTGTATTGACAGTATCTAGTGGATTTGTAGCACCATGAAATTCAAAATCGGGTGTTCTTGATTTGAGTTCTTGGCTTGTTGTTTCGTCCATATTAGGATCCGGTCCTCTTTTTTGAGCCTGCTCGTTTAATGCAATCTTTATTTTAGTCAAGTTGGTAATATCAGTGGATTTGCTTGAAGTGATGTATAAATCGAGAATTTGTTGAGACACATCTTTGCATATGGCATTAGAAAATGGTATGTGATGGTGTGCTTACCTTCAATGTCTTCCATGCGCGACAAAAAGTATTGATCCCAAGGCTCCGAGTCTTTTAAACCTTGAAATGATGGATCCGCATCTTTTAGCAATAAAGATGCTAAATAGATACAACCAGCAGCAATCGTATGAGCAGGGTATTCAACACATACCATAGTTTTGTAGCTATCTACAGCCAATTGATATGCCTTTTTTGCCAGTTTTTTACTATCTAAAGAAGCTTGAAAAACTAAAATACTTATAAGTTGATAAGCAAATGAATAACAACATGCTTTTTATAAAGCTACCTTGAACCCATTTAATAAATTTAATCACGTATTCATAGGGATGCCGCAGTTGAAAGTCAAAGCAAAGAGTTTCCAACAACAGCTTTTCATAATTGATGATTTTACGTCTACGATCTTCAGATACCTGTCATTTACAAGTGTCAATAATTGAAAAAGATAAGATATAGGCTTACATTTTCGGGGTCTAACTCTTTACTGTCTGGGTGTCGTACACTGTGTACAGCGACAAAGATATCCTTTAATTTTTTGATAGTGTCCTCAATCTTTGAAGCAACAAAAATACATGTAACGCTAATGTCCTATACACTTGTTCTTTAGTGTCTCCATTGACGTCAAACTGTCTCTTTTTTTTTTCTTTTACCTGTGGCGAATAGTCTCTGATAGAATAATAAAGGTAGAATCGATGATATAAAGCTTGTGATGTGCTGATAGTCTTTTGAGGGCTAAATTGTATGAGACCAAATTATTCGCAGTATCCACTTACAATCCTAGTTTCTTCCCGACGTCCTGAATAAATTTACAATAACTCTGCCTAGCAAGAATTTCTTTGGCAGTCAAAGCGCCTGACTTGTTAAGACTAGTCAGTGTAGCCAACTGTCTTTTTGTAAAATAAGGTCTATATCTTCTCTTGAAAGAGACGCCTGCTGTGATACTCGTTGCTGAGACGGGTGTTGAAGGTGTAGTAGGCTGTAAAGGTGAAGACCCACTCATCGTAAACACGTCGAATATATAACAAAAAAGAAAGAGAGAAAAATTTGATATAACCGAGTATCGGAACCAGAATGATGACCGGAAAATATCATTTACTCCTTTTGTAACAACGGATCTTAAATATGCCAAGATAAAGAAGACGACTGCTTCTCATTTTCTTCTTATTTTCATTGAAAAATGTCCCCAAAAATTGATGTCTTGATTGTCGGTTGTATTGACTTTGCCACTGATGTCTATCAGGAAATAGCAAGTAAATACAATGTGGAATACTATACTTCCAAGTCGCGTCAAGCATTCATTGAAGACTGCAAATCCAAATATAAAGATGTTCCTATCATCTATCGTTCTCCTGAATCTCAAGGTGTTATTGGCCCCTTTGATGCTGAACTTGTGTCTCATTTGCCTGAGGCAACCAAATACATTGTTTATCTCGGCGCAGGTTATGATTCCATCAATGTAGAGGCTTGTGCTAAGCGTCAAATCATGGTATCTCATACTCCTCTGGCTGTGGATGATGCTACTGCTGATATCGCTGCCATCTTAATTCTCAACTGTTGTCGAAATGTAATGGCTGCAAGCGACAATTTGCGTCAAGGCCGCTGGCGCAATGGTGTTCGTATGGGAATTGATCCTCAAAACAAGGTACTTGGTGTCATTGGTGCTGGTGGTATTGGCCGTACGTTGGCGAAACGTATGTCTGGCTTTGATTTGAAAAAGGTGCAATACTATAACCGTAGTCGATTGTCCGAAGAACTTGAGAAAGAATACAATCTTCACTATGTTGATTTTGAGACCTTGCTCAAGACATCCGATATTATCTCGGTGCATTGTCCTCTCAATGCTTCCACAACGCATTTGATTAGCTACAGAGAATTTACGCTGATGAAAGATAATGTTATCATTGTGAATACTGCTCGTGGTAAAGTGATCAATGAAGCTGCTTTGGTCAATGCACTTGAAAGAGGTAAAGTGTTGTCTGCTGGCTTGGATGTATTTGAAGAGGAACCCAAGGTTTCTCCTGGTTTGTTGGCCCATCCTCGTTCTGTTCTTTTGCCTCACATTGGTACATTTACAAACGAGTCCCAATACAAGATGGAGAAATTAGCCTTAGATAATGTTATTGCTGCCGTAGAAAAGAATACACTATTAACACCTGTTCCTGAACACAAGTCCTTTTTTAATAAATAAGTTATTATTTTATTAAACATTAAATAAGAAAAGCACCTGCAAGAGCAGCAACAGGAGAACCAGTAACACGGGGCAAACTCCAACCGACACCACTGAGAGTTTCAGCAGAACCAGCAACATCCAAGTGAGTATAACCTAATGAGATTTCCTTGTTATCTAAACCATACTTGTCTAGACCAGAAGCTTGTAACATGAAACCGGCGGGATATTGATGACCACGGTTAGTCATGGTGGAAGGTTGGTCGTTAGCAGAAATCAAATCTTCACTTGAACGACCAGGCTTCACACATTCAACATCTTCACGACGTAAAGTGGAAATTTCAAAAGGGTCTGCCAAAACATGACCAGCATCATGAACACGTCTACTCACTCTGTTCTTTCGTGCGAATCCGTTATCTAATGTGATACCATAACCTGCATAAGCACGAATAGCATGACCTGTCAAGGTAGCACAGGTGAATAAGAGAGAAGGTGCATTAGCAGAAGGAGAATTGCTTTGCTTGTGAGCCAAAGCCTTTTCTTTGAATTGACATAACAAATCTGTCATGACCATACGACCTTCAGCATCTGTATTGCCCACCAACACACGAACACCACTACGAGCTACAATCACTTCATCAGACACATACATATCAGGACCCACAGAATTGCGGACAAGGGCAAGACCACCAGTAACATTGACCTTTTCGGGGGCCAACATGGAAATAGTCTTGAAGAAACCGGCGACAGCAGCAGCACCACACTTATCACGAGACATGTCTCTCATATGGCCACTGCACTTGATATCAGCTCCACCAGTATCATAAGTAACACCTTTACCAACAAAGTAAAGGTTTTCCTTCACCTTGGATTGATCAGGAGAAGTGTATTCAAAATGAATGAATCGAGGATGATGGCGTTCCACAGCCAAAGAGGCACGAGTGACAGCATGAGCCAAGGGGTAGTTTTTCTTGATTTCATTCACATCTTCAATCACGGATACCTTAATGTTCTCAACACCCTTGAATTGTTCTTGAATGTATTTGGCAATGTTGATAGGAGACATGATTTCAGGATCAGGATTACCAATGTCCTTGGCCATACGACGACCAGCTTCAATAGCAGAGACACGTTGGATGAGTTTTTCTTCACACAAGTTGGAAGAAGAGATGAATCCAATGCGTTCCATTGTCTTAATTTTATCACCCTTGTGCTGACGCACATCAATAGGCTCGAAATTGGCTTCCAGCAAACCAAGCATGGTCACTTCTAAATAGTGCTTGTAATCGTTTTGTTCCTCAAAAGTCCATTCACTGGTAGTACCCAAAGTAGGTTCATCGGCAAAACAAACAAGAGGATTTCTCATACCTACTTTAAGGGCGTGGACACCAGCATTGTAAGCAGCGTCCTTGAAACGACGAACATCATCAAAGTCATTGAAAAGAGAACCAGTGGGAGCAATTAAGATACGTTTGTGGGGTGTTTGGTCGTGAGGAAGGATGAGTTGGATCGACTCACCAAAGGTAGCGTCAAGCTCAGAGTATGCTTGAAGACCAGTAAATTGGGACAAGGCTTCTTTTTCGGTAAAGATAACAATAAGACCATCATAATTGGTGGCAATGTTTGAAAGTAAGACCTTGTCTTCAGAGAATAATTCGAGTTTTGGTAATTCCATTTTTTTTGTAGATATAAAAGGAATAAGAAACAAGCAAAAAGCCAACGAGAAAAAATTTTCGTTTTTATTTTCATAAAGACAAGACTCCGCGCTGTGAAAGAAATGACCGTGAAAATAAGAGAAACCATGAACAAAGATATTTTGTCTCTTGATTCTTTCTCTTCTATAAAGCTGTGCTTTGGAATAGGTTTTATTTGTATGTTTGATGCTTGAATGGGAACGGAGAGTAAATCAGATATTGAATGCTATCGTATCAATTATTCCCACGCGTACTCAATAGAGTCACAGCCATTGTTACTGGTTTTATTAGGTATTTTTATGGATGCACTTTATATAGAGATCTAAATCAGCATCTGATAACCTGTAGTTTGTATCTATAATAGTCTTTTGTTTTAGTTCTTCGCATAACTGGTCAACATCAAATTGAGGGCAATAGTCTTTGACATCCTGAGTGACTTGATATCCAATTCGGTTTGCTCCCTTAGCTCTGAACAGAATAGAAAGGATTTTCTCTTTACATGGTTTTTGGATTTCAGGTGCACATCGCAATAAACCATCATTTTCTTCAGGAGACTGTATTTGTTCTGAAAAGTAAGGGTCGAGTTCATCAAACCGAGTCGATTGACCCTGTCCATTGAACAGATCAATCTCAGAGCCAAATAGCTCGGGTATTGGGTTACTCTGTGTACCGGGCAAGAGTAAATCATGATTTGTTAAAAGCAAGTTGTCTTTACTATAAAACAAGTCAGATTCATGTTGAGTATAGCTGAATTCTGGTTCTGTAGTGGGTTGATGTTGCATTACTGGCGTAGAAGATATTGAATTGGACATGGATGAATTGTTTTTATAATCAGATAATTCACCTCCTGTATCAGAAAAAAGAGAATGATTGTCTGCTGAAGAGCCAGTTCGTTTGTGTTTGTTGTCCATTGAAAGATGAAAAGAATCTCGAAGCAAGTAGTTTTCTTCTTTTAATTTTTCGTTCTCTCGTCGAAGTCGAGCATTTTCCCTTGACAGTTCTTTTTCTCGCTTCTCTTTCTCTTCTTTTAATTGACGCATTTGTTCCTGTAATTCATTCACAAACTGCTCTTTGCGTTCACGAAAAGCTCTCTGTGCCGCACGATTTTGTGCTTTTCTTTTTAGTTTGGGATCGGAAGATAGTACCTAGTACAGGTAAGCATGATATAAACACAATGAAGCTTACATCGTCTGCCTCAAGTGGTTTTCTTCCAGCTCTTTTTGGTTTTTTGATAGGATTATTGGCTAGAATGAAGGGATTAGATGTCAAATCAAACTTTTGAAGCACAATTCCAAATGCTTCTGCATATCATTTCTTACACATAAGCGAATGCTGTTTCTTTGCTGAAATAAGAGATATGAATTCAACAGTGTTTCATAAGACAATGCTTACTTTTTGCTATCGATTTCTTTCCACTTTTTGAGTTTGAATCACTACTCCAATCCAATGAATCATCAGAACAAGGATCATTTTGATATACTGTATTTGTTCTTGATGCCATCATTTTTTAATAAAGAAAAAGAAAAAGAACAAGAAACCAATGGAAAAAAAAAAAGAACCGTCAAAGGGTTTTGCTTACAAATAACAAGTGAAAATTGATTGGCTCTTTTTTCTTGTTCAACAATACGGTTCAAGGACAGCTTATGACCACTAAGTCAAAGCGTGCTTTTGATCAAAAAGTGTTGATATTCAGAGTCCCTTTCTCTCAATAAAAAGTGTATGAATAAACAAGGCATGATTTATTGCCATAGAAAAGTCTTGTGCAAACAAACAAACAAACAAACAAACAAACAAACAAAATAAAAAGAAAAATGTACAGAATGAACAAGTTATTTCTTTGCTTGTCCAAGTGAAGAGTTGCGTTGGTATTGATATCGGCCTCGGTTTGTTCCGCTACTGTTGCTGGAAACAATTTCATTTTTTGCATCATGATCATCACTATTAGTACTGATTAGACGTCGTTCTTTGCGTTTCCCACTTTCAGTTTTATGAACCGACCTTTGATGTTCTGTATGATCACTAGGATAGTTATCTTCTAGAGTTACTGAGTTACAATGCATATAGACTACAAACCTACCTTCTTGAGATGAAATGGAAAAAGCTTTAAGTTGTTGTTGTTCAGTAAAAGAAGGTGAATTAGGTCCAGAATCCATACTTGCAGACCCTAGGGTCGAAGAAGTAGAAGATCGCCATGATCGTCTAAAAGATGGGTCTACTGTGGGTTTGACAGCATATTCATCAGGTAATACGCCACCTACGCCATACATGGAGGAAGACCGAGTACGTGTCACAGGTGTGGTTGTAGGTGTCTGAACTAAAAGTGACCTTCGTTTCGCTCTGTATTGTGAGGGTCGTATTGTCTTTTCAGCGTCTGGTTTGGTAGGTAAATCATGAGAAGGTATAATAATAGGTGACATGGTGGGTGAAAGAGTAGTCGTAGGTGAGATAGGCACATGCATCCATGGCTCATCATGTTCAGGGTATCTATTGTAATCGGTTGTGTTTTCGAGTTCCAAATATTCATATTCGCGAATGGCATTTCTCGTTTTTAAATTCTTGTAAATGCTACAGAGACCAAACACGTATGCAGACCAAAGGAATGCAACTGCGCAGGTAATGTTGACATATGTTGCTGGATCTTGGATATAAAATCGCATATAGCGAATCCAGCCTATATTGGCCCCCATCAACAAAATACCTGAACATATGGCTAATAAGGCAGCCAAAAGTCCAGTGACAAGTGTAATGGAGACAAAGATAAACTTGTGTTTGCATTTAGGACTTTTTGCATCTTTTTCTTCTTCTTCTTCTTCTTCCAGCATGTTGGTTGTATCTGTGTTTTGTTGAAACATACGATGAGGTAGATTATCAGCAGGTGATTTTCGAAATACAATCTGAGTTAGTCGTGCAATAGCTCCGACAATAAGCACGTATCCCAACATGGTATGTACTTGTGCTGCATATGGATCATCTACTTGTGTTAGACCAGCAACAATAGCTATGAACAATGCGTGAGGTTGTTGACATAGACAATTATCATCTTTACCTCGACCTGTAAAACAGACAATCAGTGCATTTATAATATTTCTTTCTCTTAAGGCTGGTATCCAAGTCTGTACACTGAGACTAATAGAAAACAGACCACCTGTGAACCACAACAGACCCAAATTGATTGCCCGCCATTCCGTTCCTAAAATAGGCGTGTCTATTTCCCAATAGTTTAATATTTTATAATAAAAAGGACACGCTTACCTGCTAAAACAAGACTGATACATCCCCACACAGTCATGATGATCCCTTCATAATACTCGGGTGTAGAAGGACGAGGTAATTTAATAATAGCCAATAAATGTAACAAGATCAGTGTTCCATACAACAGGAATCCAGTTCCCATAGCAAGTGGCATTAAACACTGTGCCTGTTGATCTTGATGACCACAGCTTTCTGTGAATACTAAGGCAGCCAAGGTAAGATAGCTAAATGCAATAATCAAAATAAGCCATCCAAGCACTAAATCAACCCATTTGGGTACTGTATGAAGACATTTTGTCAATAGGGTATGTAGTTGAGGACATTGTTCTGCTATCAGCGTGGATCTGTAGACTGCTAAAATGCCCTGCATAACAACAAGGCACAGTAGCAACAGAGCAACCACATGAAACACGATCGTGGTTGCATTTTGTTCCAACTGAATAAAAGAACCTGAAATGAAGCCAACAGAAGCAAACACAATAGATGCTGTAAAGATATAAGCTTTTTGTCGACGTATATGTTGAGTTAAGAGTAAAGGATAGCAACCGAGGAATGCAATAACCATGGATAAATAGTGTGTAATGACAATAGGTTGTTTGAATGGGACATGAGTTGAAAAGGGATGGACGGACGTTGTGTCCATTATGATGATGTTATTTTTGTATTAGAACCTATTTTGTATATTTGTATATGAAAGAAAGAAAAGCATACAAAGAAAAAAAGAAAAAAGAGAGAAAAAAAAATAGAGACAAATAAAAAAGGGGCGATTAATTTATACTTGTTAATTAAGGTTTAAACTTCAGATTGAAATATTCACTTGAGTCTTTATATCAATTTTTCTCTTTATTAGTATTATTCTAACCAATGATGAGCTTATCATCAGAGAAGCTGTATTCTATAGTCATAAATGAGTCAAGGTTAAATGTATTCAATAGAAACTTACCAGGCACTTCAAGGTTAAGAGGAGCAGGGCCCTTACGAATACGACCAGAAATGTCATAGTGAGAACCGTGACAAGGGCAGTACCAACCACCAAAATCACCAGCTTCACCAATAGGAACACAACCCCTAAAAGAAATTAATATATATATCTCTCTCTCTATTTAGACATGTACTTACAAGTGTGTACAGACACCCAACATAACAAGCCAGCTAGGATCCTTGACTCTTTCAGAATCTTGTTGAGGATCACGCAATTCAGTAATGTTGACTTCATTAGCTTCAGCAATTTCAGCTTGAGTACGGTGACGAATAAAGACAGGCTTTCCTCTCCACTTGATAGTGACATTCTTGCCTTCAGGAATAGAAGCCATATCAACTTCAGCCTTAGCCAAAGCCAACACATCAGCAGAGGCAGACATGTTAGCCAAGAAATCACTGACAGTGGCTTGAGCACCAGCAGCAGACAACAAACCAGTTGTACCAATCATCATGTAAGCAAAGTTACGGCTGGCTTCACCACTATTCTTTTCTTTTTTGTATTTAGAAAAGTCAGGGACAGAAGTGGTGTGGTTGCGACGAAGTTGGAATTGGTTGATAGGGCTGACTATTCAAGGGTATTAGATCAGGCTTTATTTTATAACACATACCATTGACGCTAGACTTTTGAACAAGACCACCAGAGGATCTTTGCTTAGTAGCATTGTTGAACAAAGGTTGGCTGGTACTGGCATGGTGTTCGTCGTCAGAAGTGCTGGCATAATGGAAGATTCTCTTTAAAGCGTTGGCACTAGCAGGTGCGTTTGTGTAGCTGCGGTTGGAGATGGCAGACGCAAAAGAGCGTGATAATGAAGCCATTTTATCTAGTAAGAGAGTGGGGAGATTATAAAATAGGTTGAAAAAAAAAAAAGAAAAAGAGGGCGGACTATCTAGATGACATGAAAGGCCCACCCTCGACAGTTTTCATTTTATGGTCGGCGAATCAAAAGTAGATGCTAATTGATGACGTAGATAATCTTTTATTCTTAATCAAGTGATACTTGACGCTCTCTTTGTATTTTCCTAAAGGTCATGGCTACAGTAGATACACTGATAATCAAGCAGATATAGCCAAAAGCATCACCAATATAACGATACAATGTCTTAACATGCTTCTGTAGTGGCAAATAGAAAATGTATTTCTCTCTGTTGAGGGAAGCCACTCTTTGAGTAAAGACACTGTTCAAAGTAGGTTCAGTGACACCTGAGATACTTTGAGAAGAGCAACGAAGTCGAGTAAACCCATTCTCGACTGTGCGCAGTACATTGCCATTTTCATGATAAGTGCCAAATGGTCCTAGAATGCAATGATGAATACACAAGAATACTACAAAGCATGTCAACGTTACCCCAATCCCAACTTGGTTGTAACACCAGATCTACTTTCTGCTTGCTTGCTTGCTGAATAAAGTGAGGGAAACTGAAATCAAAACAGATAGCACCACCAACTCTACCAAAATCTTCTGTATCAACATATTGAAGTTCCTCAGGACCAGCAGATTGAGGTTCCTAAAAATGAAATGAGAATGTGATACTGTATTTTATATATACACTTACCACAGAAGGCACTGGATGAGCTTTGTTGTAGTTGATACCAATATCCCCTGTTTTTGTGATAAAGACAAGTTTATTCGCTGTGGTAGGATCCCCAAGTGCATAAGTAATGCCCAAATAGACTTGGCGTTCTCTTGCAACTTTCCTTGCTCTTTCGATAAGAGCATCCTCTTCTTTTTCATTCTTGACAGCTGCTGTCAGCTCTGACCATAAAACTAACTTAGCTCCTGACTATACATGATTAGTTTGTACATTTCTAATGAACTACATACCTCAATCAAAGACTCTGTCATATTAAACCAAATATCATGCTGTAGTTGCAATTCAAGCTCTTCAGAACCAATAACACAGCCCACAGGCTGCTTTTGAGGAATATAGTCAGGATATCCTACTTGATAGAAAGACTTGGCATGAATATTGACTCGAGCACCTCCATAAGAAAGTAAAATGGCTAACAAGACACAGAACAATGTCATGGGATGAATCAAGAAGGCTTTCCAAGGATGCAATACTCTTTCAGGCAATTCTTCTTCTTCGCCTGCAAACTCATCGACTTCTTCGCGAATGGTTTTCTTGGAAGGCAAGAGTTCAAGTAAGCATGCACCAAATAAGGCAACTACAAAATCAATCAAGGATCGACCTCCCCATGAAGCAATTTGAGCAAAATCAGCCCAGATAACAACATGAGTTGTCCAAGAAGGGAAATCACCCAAACCTCCAAAGCGATAGATAAGCTGCCATATACCTGCATACATCAAAGGGAAAAACAAGACTCGTACAAGTGTATTACGCGCATGCTTGAGCACAAATTGTTCAGTAAACAATGTCAAAAGAAGGTTGATATGGATCAAAAAAGAGCATACTATGGAATGTGAGTATGGAGTCATTGGGAAATAGAGAGCATACATAAAATGATCCATGCAGAAGGAAAGAGATTCGGGTTAGACGTATTCTTAAAAGATCCGAGATAACCAAGGCCAGATCCCAGACTGGTTATTAAATAAGCAATTGGAATATTGATCAGAGGTCTATAACGCGTATAATAAAGTACTAGAGGAACATAAGGCACAAGAAAGACAGGAATAGATTGATATCCAAAGCCAAATGTACTGCGTATCACATTCAATATTAGAAATAGAATTTAGCAAATGATATAGACTTACGTGATAGTCAATAAAGGAGCTATGGGCCAATGTTGTTGAACAAGAGCAAGCATCTTTTCATTCATCTTTTCTTTAGTTGTTGTGAAGGCAATACAAAGAAGAAAAAAGCTGGTTTTATCATGCGTTTTTAAATATGCAAACTTTAATGGCAAGTGAAACTATCGCACATGGCTGGTGAGAAAAAAAAAAACTAGTAGGCGATTGTCTCACTGTCTACACCTGACTTGTACTCTCGATTTATTCTATCTCTCTAATCGAAAATGTCTACAAGAAACTAGACTCTTTGTTTATGCTTTTATACAGTTAAACTTGTCAACAACACCCTCTTTTCAGCATGAAAAAGCAGAGTAAAGTTTAGATTAAGAGTAAAAGGCGTAAACAAAAGAAAATTCGTCATTTTGACCATGTTCAAGCACAAAGCCTGTTTGTGCATTTCTATAAATGTTGCTTGTCCATAGTTTGTGTTCTCAATAGTGCTAAAGAAAAAAAACTCCCTTCATTTTATGCGACTATCTACATCCATTATTCGGTGCCTATCAAAAAAGAAATCTTTACTGCGTTAATTACTCTACAATGATTTAATCAATGCGTCAGATCAAACTAGACTTGTTTGAGATAATTCGGTATTCTTGGAATTGCGCAGTTGTATGAGGGTGAATTGCATGAAAATTTGAGGCTAATTGATAAAGTGGTTGAACTATTCATTGTATTGTTGTCGATATTAGCATTTACGCAGCAGTGATTTCAGTAAGTTTTTACTGTTTATTTGAGTACATTATGCGTCCATGATAGCTGTTGATGCAATACAATTTTATTAATTAAGACATAATAAAATACTAAATTTGTCAGACTGATTTTCAAGCATCAGCATGACATGAATGTATATGTTACATTGTAGCTACAGGCTATAAGAATACTAACTTCAACATGTTTGATTTATTATGTTCATCATGTTACAAGTGTATACTACTACTACTACAATTGTAGCATATCTTTTTGCATTATATCAAAATTAGGGTTGGCAAATCAATACGTGATTGAGATCAATAGCAAAAGTAAGAAAGTCTATTTATATAAAAGTACTCGAAGCTGTGCTATAATGTTGTATATTAATAAAGTGGTAATACTTTTTCACTAACAACTTATCTAAGACAAATAGTGCCATGTCGACTTGTTGCTCTTGCCAATTCTTTATATATCCATAAACAGTTTTCGCTAAATATTAAAATATTTGGACATTGCATTGGTTCTTAAATATATACAAGGGTTTATTTTCCTAGTTTTGTCTTCGCTACACAATCCTACAAGAAAAAGTAGATGAGTCAATGGCTGTATTATAATTACCTCTACCTACATTACAATGCACGTAACAGTTCAGGATCTAGACTAATAAGTCACCGCCATCCCATTCACCCAAGTACTGTAGTTCAGAGGCTTTAGAATATGCTACTACTACACGCCTTGGTCAAAGCACGCGCACCTATTGCCAAACGTCAGTGCAGCCAGGGCAAAGACATGCGGAACTAATGGCAGTTGCGATTGGTCTTCACAGGGACTAACAGATATTGCGTCTGATAGAATGCAAAGTCGAAAGCTTTTCCTTAAACTTATAAATAAAATGGTTGATATTTATGTCATGTTTAATTTTCAGACTCATCTTTATAAACGCAATGGAGTATAAATATGTATAGTGACACAAGTATACATGCATAAAATGTTATTGAACACAGCATGTAAAGAGTAGTTTTCATCGCAAGCTAAGTTCAGAAACATAAGGAAAAAGAAATTATGAAGATAACCTCTCTTCATAGATCTACAATGAGGCAATCAGCAGGCTTGAATACTTTTAGTGCTCTTGGTCTATCATAGCGCAAACTCAAGGCTTTTATAAATAAGACTCCATCGAAGATAGATGACATATCGTTCAATTTCCCTTTGCTTCGATCAATGCAAATGAACACATTCTAGCTACGTGCTGCATTATTTGTGGGCTTGCACAGTAAAAACCTACGCTTAGTACACTTTATGTCAAGATGTTCTATTTCGTAGTTAGACACTTTGTAATGTGGTTAAGGACGGCACGCTTAAAATTGTTCTGACACCCAAATTACCTGGTGCTCTTGATAACTCTCTCTCTCTCTCTTTCCCTTTGTGTTTACCTTGAACGACGAGACTAACAAATAAAAGAGATAAACCAATAATTAACAACAGAAGACTGTAAAGACTATAGTAATTATAGAGAGGGATAGACACAAATAGAGAGATTTTAACCTTAGGCACAGTTCCTTCAGAAGACAATAAAGATATATGTAAAATAAAATTTATAAAAAAAGATTTCGATTTTTAAGATTGATTTCTTCTAAAGTTCTTTAAGCTTTTATACTTTCTTTAGAATAAATTTCTACAAAGACAATTGCTTGTTATTAATCTAGAACAGATCAAACTTGCTTAAAAGCAATCATGCTTGAAATGTCAAACAGGAGAACAATTAATACAATCAAATTCTAAATTCAACAGATTCAAACTGAGTTGAACTATCAAATACAATACACAAAATAAAATATAGTTCTGACTCGGACCTGATTGGGTCTGACAGAAAAAATAGAAACATTGGCTGAACCTTCAGGCCAAATCACACCAAACTTTGTATGCACCTTAAGGAACATCAGAGACATATACCATTCCAATTTGAAGGTTTGTTAGCATTATAAATTCACCAGAAAAATTGCGAAAGAGAACGAAGAAGCGACCCAAAACAAACATACACACATGACACTCTGATTACTTGTCCTTCTTTTCCTTTAAATCTAGCGTAATGCATCGTCAAAAACCTAGACCAGAAGGATTCAATTCAAGAATCAAGTTTAGTAGAGAGCAATGTGTTAAGTTTGAAGTAAATGAAGCACTTGCAGATGTAGCTGCTACGGATTGGTGTGATGAGAAGCTGATGGCCAAGAATGTTGTTACCCTGTATGGTTCAATATTCAGTTGTAAAGATGCCCTGCAACAAATAAAACTCTCTTTCAGCATATTGTCAAAAGTTTCTTGATACATACTGCAAAAATGCCATTAAGTACTTCAAGGCAGAGAACGTGATTAGCTCCTTTAAAGACGTATATAATAAAGAACTTGAAGAGCTCAAAATTCAACAGTTGAAGTCAGTACCATCTCTAAAAGGATACAGGAATGCTATTGCAGTGACAGTGCAGGAATACGATTGCTATTATCAAGAAGTCTCTGTATCAACTACTACTGATGCCTTCAACGGCTCTCATGCTGTTCAACATACTACTGAATTTACTTCCAAAGACTCTCATGCTGCTCAAGAAACTGAAGATTTTGTTTCTGAAGGCTCTCATGCTGCCCAAGAAATTTCGGAGTCGATTGTTGACTTTACTGATTCTCCTCTGCTACAGTCAACCTTCCGAACAAATATTTTCAAAGCAGGCTATAAATACGTAAGCATATGCTATAGTTGTATGTTGACTTCCATATTCAACTCTTTTACTTTTTAGTTCAAAAATCAACTTTCTTTATTTGATATAGTAAACCTTGACAAAATGGCCAAAAGTGTCGACCTTAATAGTACTGGATAATGGTTCGATAAGTTGTCATACACTATCTTACAATCCGAGACTAAAAATGAAACTGGTTTGGCTTTAAAGTAAATTTATGCATACTCTACAGATTTCTCACTGTAAGAATGAAACAAGGCTTTCTTTATCTCGAACAATTAACTTGATTGAAGGGCAAACAATGCCAATGTTCGAAAGTTTCTTTGTTAAACATAATATCAAAAAATGGGAAGAAGTAAAGAATTCAAAACCAACCATTGGCCTTTATATGACACAAGAAATGGATGAAATATACGATGCAATAGTCAAAGTAAACAAAACCAGTATTTCTGTATTATCTAAACAACTAATGAAGGGCATCTCCCACTAAGACGCTTTATTTGTGCCGAGAAACTATTTTTTTTTAAAGATTTTATTATTGCTCTGCGTAAAGTTACCCTAATAGCATTCAAAAGACGGACACAATTAATACAGAATTATATTATGCAATTATGCTGCAAATTAACTAGATAGGATAATATGAAAGGTATGACACTGCTATGAATGGAAGAAAAATTAAGGGAAGAATTACAGTCTTGTGTGTACTTGCTTTTCATTTGCAAGCAGCTGTAAATCAGTACGTGTTTGTTGTAGAATGAAGTAGGCATCAAAAGAGACGTTGTCAATAACAAATTTCCAATGTGCTTCCCAGACTTGCGAGAGGGCGGTAATGACAATGTCAACAACGGTTAAGCGTTTCTTTCGTGAATAATCTATTCTGGAGAAGTTTAGTGTAACAAGTGCCTGAATAATATCTTCGACAGTGGTCGTAGGCCAAAGAAATTCGAAAATGAGATTGTTCCAGAAAAACTTCTTTGGCGGACAATAGAAAAGGAGATGTTGTTCATTTTCAAGATGAATAGTGCAAATTGGACAAGGAGGCGAGGGAAACGCATCAGGAATTATAGAGTGAAGAAACTGTCTTATGAGTAGCTTGGAAACAAGGAATCGGTACAGCATATTACGAGCAACCGGCAGCAGAGACCAGCTCCAAAAGTCGACCCAAAAGGCACTAGCGATAGCTTGCAAGCGTTCTGGGGAAGATGTAGCACTCTGGCAAGTTAACCAAAACTCCTTTGTCGATACCCTGATAATTGGTCCAGTCAGAGTCGCAAATTGGAAGGAGTTTACAAATGGAACAAAAGATAATGATGGTGTTGATGGTACAGTAGACAATACCTCTACAGTAGGAGGTTGGCAGTGTTTGACAAAGAAAGGGAAGAATTGGTACTTGTTACTTTCTATCCCTCGGATGATCTGAAGATAGAATTTTTTGAGCTCTTGCGGAATATGATCTGGATGTTTCCAATGGATTGACTGAAGATCTTGGCTGAACAACATAAATGCTTGAACTGGAACGAATTGAATCCTTTTAGGTAATGAAGGAAGTCGTGGTATTAAAGATTGTAAAATGACCTTCATCGGTAAACTAAGACATGCTTGGTGAGATAGTGTCATCTGGCCAAAATCTCGAGGCAAGCGATCTACTGCGGCATATAACAGATCGATTGTTGAAATACGTTTACCGCATCCAAAGTGAGAAGTTCTAGTGTGTCTAGCCAAAGGAAAGAGCAAAGAAATAGCCACCTCATAATAGCCAGAAATATCTCGAATGCGCCTTGCGAGTATACGATATCAGTGTGCATTGGTAGAGTGATTCAACAGAGGGAAGATCCAGCGACCACAAAGCGCATCTCTTTGCAATAATGGATCAAGAACTCCCAGGCCATCATCTTCTTTTGGCAGAATCCAAGTCGACCAAGTAATTTTTGGAAAGATCTTGATGTTTAGGAACTGTTGTGCTAAAGACCGTATTCGAAGAATCTCAGTCTTCATGAATTTGGCTCTTCCTATCTCTCTCTCATGCTTGAAAGATTTCGAGAAAACATTGGGTTTGCTATTTTTAAGCATCACCATTTCAAGTTGAAAAGAATCCTTGGTCCTTGCTATCGTCGTCAAAGGAACAATCAAGCGTTGAATATGTACAGATATAGCAGTGGTCCTGTCAAACGCTCAATAAGTCCTAGAACTTTCTTTAGTCCAAAAAAAAAGCAACAAAAAAGGACATCTACTGATGTACAGTGGCTCCACTCCCAAAGTTCGTTTTCCAATGAGCTGAATTCGTTTTTTTAACAGCCCAAAGTTCTTTTTTTTAGAAGCCAAAATTCGCATTTGATTAGTCAAAGTTCGTCTTTGTAAATTGCTAAAAGTCGTATCGCATCCTTTACATTTCTCAGTGAGCGACGCAACTGTGTCATGAACCTGAGCTGGAAGTTTATCATCGTATAAGTTAGCAAGATGAATTCATCTCGTCAAATTGACTCTTGGGCATGTTAACTTTGTTGGCTTGCTTTTCAAAAATGTTCCAGTATTTATCCTCTTTGAGTCTTTTGGTCCACTTCTGCGCTGCTCGCTCAACGGTTCTACCATATTTAGCAGTATTGAATAACTTTACTTCGTTACAGTAGACAAAGTTTTTGTGGTGCCCACTTTGTATTTTTACTACGGCTAATTCTTCAATAACCAAAGTCTGCCCAGTCTCTTAGCTTCACAGTAAAGTCTAATGCGAGTTAAAATGGTTAGATGATGGGGGTGCACTTTCTCTTCCCAGTCCATAGCATCACAACCTTCCCATGTCCATCTTAAAAAAACGTGTACTCATCTAAGTTATGTTATCAAGAATCGCCCTTTGACAAAAATAATAAGAGCTGCAAATTGAGATTTAAAAAACCGCCCTTTGGCGTTGATTTGGCTGTAAGCTCAAATTTATATAAAGATTGAAAAAACAGACCAAAAAATATGCTTGTGGTAAACTGGCCATTCGAAAATCAACTTATCTTTAACTTCCCTTATTTTGCAAGTAAATGAGATTATTTTTTTTCATTTTCTTTTTTTTTAAAAAGTGGCCAAAGGCAGATATACCCCAAGGCAGATATACCCCAAGGCAGATATACCCCAAGGCAGATATACCCCAAGGCAGATATACCCCAAGGCAGATATACCCCAAGGCAGATATACCCCAAGGCAGATATACCGCAAGGCAGATATACCCCAAGGCAGAATAAAGATGCAAAAAGAGGGAGAAAAGAGGGTTTTTATATTTTTTCTTAGAGAAAGCAGTCAACACTCTTGTGACAATTATTTTGGAAGCTAACTATTGGTTACATTAAAGTGAGGTCATATCAGGGGCTTAGCGAAACTATTCAAAATCTGAGATAATTTCTGTAGCTGTGTTTTTCAGGTTTCCCAATAGTAATCATAATGCTGTAATAAACTCAATAAACAAGTGTGCATAAAAAGCGTTTCAACAGTAAGCCTGACGAACCGTCAGATGAAAGAAATTCTAAACTGTTGAACGAGATTTGTAAAGACATAACGTCAGAGTATGTATCCTTGACCAAGTTTTTACTTAATTACTAACTTTGCCGTTCTTTCCTTCTTAGTACTTCATATCTGCATTTTTCAACCATTGAAAGCGCGTCTGTTTTTTATAGCACTTATGTTGAAAAAGGCCTTACTATAAACAATATGCATTTTACAATTCACCCAACACAATTGTCTGATGGCACTTTGGTAACTTATCACTATGGCAGAAAAGTTAGTTACAAAACGTACAATTTTTCGCAAAATTACCAATTTTTACAGCAAAATGGTTGTTTGAGAAATAGCTGGCATCGATTTTTCAACGTACAAAGTTGTTCGAAATGTTACCAAATTATTTGTACGCTTTTTGAACAACTTTAGTAACAAAACAACTAAATTTATCACCAATACTGATACTACCCCTAGCAGTGAATGGATGCTTAGCACTAAACGCGCGATAGATGAAATTAGTAAAGAAATAAAACAGTTGAAGAAGAGACGAAGATATTTAAAAAAAGCATTAAAAAAAGATCACTACAATCAAGACGTTCTTCACTTATGACCTAAATCAACACTTTTTTCACCTATGTAAAATGTCGAAACAAACCTTTTTTTTTGACTATTGTTTTAATGATACAAATTAAGCCATGTAGACCAAAATCGAAAACAACCTAGATGCTTAACTCAAAAATATATTGCGCCATATTGTATTAAGACCTATTTTTTAGAAAATGCGCCTTTTTGACTTTCAAGTGGAATTAATGTAACACGCACAGTCAGTTTAGAGGACTTGGCGAAGACTAGGTTTGAATTAATTCAGATAGGGTGCGGATTCGTTTATGTGATCATCAGATGTGTCGAAGTCGTCAAAATATTCTTCAGGAGATATAAATTTAGTCATTTTTACAAGTATATTTCTATTTCTTTAGTTACAGAGAAACTTTTATTCGAAGACTGAAGACGAGCATTATTTATAAACCTTCTTATTTTGTGTTTATTTTTAAAACTTGCTTTTTACATCTTTTAAAAAAAGCAACGTCTTATAATAATATACCCCTAGAATTCATGCATTACTTCAAAATTATAGTTGAAATCCCTGATACTGAATTAATTGATTTTGAAGAGGAACATCATCATGACTGTGATTAAAACAAGAGGTTGTAGGTATGCTTACCTCTTACCTTACTCTCACGAGCTTAATACTTTGAGGCGCTTTGCCCATTTTTGAGCAGTGCGAACCTCAACTTGAGCCTCTCGGGCAGAAGCGACAGCATTCAAGAGTTTGATTCTATTAAAATACTAGAAAACTGCTTTTTGTTTGTCAGAGTAGACATTATGTTTTCTACCAGTTGCTGATTCTGCAGCTAGACCTTCAGAAATATCTTCCATTTGAGTGTCAAGCTCCTCTGTGGATTCAGTGGGAAAGCGCTCTTGAATTAATCGATATCGAGCTGTCATCAAGGAACTAGTGTTGAAAGGATCAACTTCTTCCTCATAATCCATTGCATCGTTTCCTTGTCCATCTTCGTAAAAAAAGTTGTTACTTATTTGAAATTAAAATAAACTATTTAAGAAAAAAAAAACGAATTGTAAAGGATGCGATACGACTTTTAGCAATTTACAAAGACGAACTTTGACTAATCAAATGCGAATTTTGGCTTCTAAAAAAAAGAACTTTGGGCTGTTAAAAAAACGAACTTTGGGAGTGGAGTCACTGTAATTGATTTTGAACAAGACTAATTACTGCACTTGTCTCAACACGTCTGCTTCATTTCAATAAAATCGACCTATGTATAACAACTCTTGTTTCATTCCTCAATCATATCAAATTCAACCTCATCTTACGCATTCAACAACAACACTCTTGAACTCATCCACGAAAATTAATTCATTTTTCACCGAAAAAAACTATATCTTCTGTCTCTGCATCCAACACAAAAAGACCTTCTCTTCTACTTTTGGAAATCACTTTTTTGGACAGTGGAATCAGAACTTGTTTGACGATGTAGCTGCCTCTAGCACTCATTACTAGTCCCTGACACTTTTGTCTGTATTTTACCTCATGTTGCAGCAGGCACTGTGGTTGTTTCATTCAGAGAGAATTCTCTAATGGTATATATCACTTTATTTACTTATTAAAACGTCTAGGAATAAACTCTCTCATATGCATTTCTAAACAGAAAATGAAGATAAAAATCAAACAATTTGAACTCTAATCTTCACCACAAAGAGCACTTTAGCGTATATCCAGCTTTAGCAGACAGTAGTATTTGTCGCGTACTACATACTACTTTATAGAAGTAACTTACGACTCATTATACCCATTTATTTTTTCTTTTTCTTTTTAAAAGAGATCTTGGCTACTTTTTGACTTTTCAAGACATATTGTGATTCTCATAAAAAGCTTCGAAAGTGCCTTGAAAAAAAGTCAAAAAGTTTTCAAACGCTGGCTTTTTATAATAATGGATTTTATGTGACGCTTAATTTCAGTTTCCCGCAAGCCACTCTTGCGTTTGATAGTACTGCTTTTTCTGTTCAAACGAAAGCGCCAAAAAAAGGGTTTCCGTTGACTCTTTTTTCTTAAACCATGTCCGAAAGACTTACACGTAGCCAAAGAAGAAAAATCGAAGATCAAACACATCAAAAGGTCGATTTAGATCATTTAGCCGAAATCGACGTTAGTAAACTTGTTACTGATAGCGAGAGTACTATCAAAGACGAAGACAATGTTCAACAAGAAAACATTGCGCAATACAATGACACTGACTCTTCTTTATCAGAAGAAGTATTGAGTTCGGAAGAAGAGTCTTCTTCGTCTTCTTCAGAGGATGAAGAAGATCTCGACGAACTTTTGAATAAAGCGCAACAAGCACTTGCTACACAAACAGATATGATTCAGCTTGATAAAGAATCCAATGACAAAAATCTTAACACAAAACTTTCAAAGATGAATGCCGGTATTTCTGTTGATAAAGAAGTCTATCTTAAGAAAGTCAATGGAAGAGCAAGATTAGTGCCTGATGCTGTAGCACTTGTGGACGATCATGAAAAGGCATCTAAAAAAGCATCTGTTGTCTTGAAAGAAAGTAATAATTTAGAAAAGAGACCCTCTAAAAAAGAGCGTCAAGCAGTATGTATCTAGTATAGTTTGTCTTTAAACTTACCCATGTATAGGAAAGAGAAAAGACAACAGGTAAATCATGGTTTGATATGCCCAAGGCAGACATTACAGACGAAGTCAAGCGTGATTTACAAGTACTCAAAATGCGTCATATCTTGGATCGTAAGCGACATTATAAGAAGATGGGTAAACGCCCTGACCCCAAATACTTTCAAATCGGTACTATCATTGAAAGCCCTACTGAGTTCTTCTCTGCTCGTATGACCAATAAGGAACGCAAGCAAACTATAGTGGACGAGTTGATGGCCAGTGATGATATGAAGCAATACTATAAACGCAAATTTAATGAAGTTCAAGAAAGAACAAACAGTGGAGGAAAGAAACATTTCAAAAAACTCAAGGCTCAAAGACAGAAGAACAAATAACTTTTTTTTTCACATATATAAAATCATGTATACAATGTACATCATACCATTTTTTTCTTAAATAAAGAAGTTTATAGATTTTATTATTAGTTTGCAATAACAGCACGAATTGTATCGCTTTGGGTTTGTCGAATGCCAGCACTTCCTGCTGCCTTGACAGATACAACAAGTATAACAACAGATAGAGCAACTGTGAAATAAAGAGCAGCAAGTCGACACCTCTTTTGCCAGAGTAAATCATTAGGATGACTTAAAATCTTGATTGACATTCTGATATAAACACTCCCATAGAACCATACAAAGGGACATATAAACCCAGCCCAAAATAATCGTTTCACTGTCCAGAACCGAGGTTGCTCTTGAGCCAACATCTCGGGATCTATGTTTTCATCTTTTTCGTGTGTGTCTTCCATGTGTTTCACTTTGAGTTTTTCGAACTTCTTTGTATAATCAGCCAAAATGGTAGAGCATGTTTGTCGTATCTTTGTCAATTGATTTCTTTCTTTTATTTGTTGTTGCTGTGTTGTTGATCTAGTTTCAAGCTTGATAGAGACTGGGTTGGATGTGATTTGACTTTCTAAAGACGAGGCATTACTGTATCGATGGCCACCACGAATCTTTTGCAACATGTCATAATAATAGCCTTCTTGCACTACATCGTTATCAGCATTATCAGCATTATCTTCATTATAATCATATTGTATTTGCAGAATGGAAATAATCTCTTCATTATCCATAGAAGCATGTTCAGACGCAATGGTAAGTATAGGAGAAGGCTTTAAAGGAGGCGTCGGCATAAGTCGAGGAAGAGTTGCTTGAGAACCTTCTGAGACTGAGAAATGGCTTTGGGAACTGTGAGCAAGTGGACGATTGACGCGCTGAGAAACTTGGGCAGCAGCAGCAGGTAAATTAGCGGGATTCCAAGCATAGTATTCTAATTCGCCTTTTTTATGTCTGAATGTACTGAGTGGATGGAAAATGGCTTCCCATGTCTGCGTTGTAAACGGAACATGTTCGCTAGACTCAAGCAGGGAAAGTGATTCTAAAGTGGAAACACGAGGCGAAGAAGACAGTTGAAGCGGTTCTTGTTCGTAACTCTCACGAGTGTAAAGCCACAAATGAGCAGGGTCCTCTGCGTGCCAAGGCCTGTCTTCAGTCAATACTTGATAAGCTTCTAAAGGAAGCATAGTAGGTGGTGAAAAGGCTGGTGTGTAGCTAATTTCCTTGAGTAATGGTGTAGGTGGCATCATGCCAGCTGTAGCATAAGGCAGTTCAAAAACAACGTCCAAATACTCTTTCATCAACTCTTCGCTTTTTTCTACTTCCTCTTCTTCTTCTGACTGCTCTGATTTACTTGAAGGTGTACTAGCATTGATTTGAGGATCACCAATCACCACATAAAGTTTTTGTAAAAGATCCGCTTCTTTCTCTTTTGTGTTTGGAGTAAAAGCATAAGGTAATTCGAATTCTTTAGTGAAAGGCAAAAAGTGTTGATCTCCTTCTGTTTGATTGCTATCATCATCATCAACTTTTACTTGACTTTTGACAGACTCTTTCTGCTCGGGAATGCATAAACGTAACGGATCATCTTGCCACATAGTCTTTTGTAAATTGCGATCAATAGAAACGACAGTCTTGCTCTCTTTTGCTGGATTCGTTACTTCTTCAATATCCTCATCAATGATGATTGAAATCCGCTGACTGTTACGATCCCCTTGTTTATAAAAACGTTGCATAGGTAAACCCAATAAAGTATTAAGTGCCTTTTTATTTTCTACAGAAACGTTCGGAATACTAGGCAATGGTTTGATTTGTACATCATCATGGTTGTAGCTCATTTTGATCAAAGTGGAAAGAAACAGGGAATAGTTGACCAACTCCCTCATGATACTTGATCTCTCTTTTTTTTCTAATTTTTTCCAGGCAGGAGGTTATAACAAACAAATAGACGTTTTAAAATCAACTTGTGGGGGTTATTTTTTACAGGCCTTATTAATTTTTCCATATTACTATATTTACACTACAAGTATATTACACAGGTGTAGGTGGAAGTGGTTTTTGCCACTTGGCTAATGTCTGATCTAACACAAAAAGCTTATTTTTCTCCATTTCCAAGGTTGATTTAGCGAGCATTCGAAGTGTCTTGATCATTTTCTTTGGATGTATGCATTGAAAATGTGCGAGCTCATCGGAAATCATCTTGTGCGATTGTTGAATTTGAGCGTCTGTTTGGTTCAATTCATTCATACTCTATAGAAAACCAGTCAATAACGAGTCATTACCATATATTACTTTACCTGTATCATTTTGCTCTTTTCTAGTTCAGCACGTCGTTTAGACTCTTTAGCTGAAAACAAGCTTTGCCAACTTTTGGATATCTGAAGACCTTCTTTTTGAGCTTCTATGTTATCTTTTAATTGGTTTCTTTTTTCAAGTAGCTCAAAAGGTTTTTGTAGAGATATCTGTCAACGCATTCAGTCTTATTTTTTTTTTCAAGTGCAAATCATCCTTACCAAAATGCCTCCTACAACATCAACGTTTAGCTCACTGACTTTTAAGAAATGAGGCCATAAGGAAACAAACTACAGGCTATTAGTCTCCTCGTATATAATTCACCACTCTTTTTTTTTATATACCGGCCGCTGATATGTCATATTTGCACACACTTGAATGGTCTCTATCGCTAATGAATTAAGTGAAAACATGTCAGATGCATTCTTTGCTGCTGCTGTTTTATTAGCAAGAACTGCCATTTGTCTTTCCAATTCTGAAAATAAAAAGTGAGCTATTTTGGATTTGTTTTTTTTTTGGCAAACCTTGTCCAACAAATAATGCTTTCTTGGTGTTCAATACTGCATTTAAATAGAGTTCTTTTAATGGCAACATGGTCTGTCGAATATAGCTTAAAAAATATTCTTCATTTTTGCTGCTCATCACACTACCATTCCCATTACTGCTAATGACAAAAGGAATGGTGTCATTGATCTTCTCGAGCAAGAGTTTTCGCCTCGAAAATGATTTGTCTTTAATCACAGTTCGCTGAAGATTTGTTGAACAACGAGTGAATGAAAGAACCAAGTCATGGTATCGAAGAATAGGATGGTCAAGTATCCAATCCATAAATGCTTGTAGCTTTCCTAATGTATTCTCCATCATGAAAGGAGGTAATGTTGGGTCTGAAGTGTGCTCTAATGTTGGTAAAAATACTTCAGGCATTTCATATAATAGCTCGGAACGCAGAAATAGAAAGTCTTGTAGGCTTCTTTTGACTGTTCGCATTGTATCTGGTTTGTTTATCTATTTTTTTTTAAAAAAAGGGGGGGGATTATTTTATTGTTTGTCTATCATGTTTTACCTGTCCACTTTTGATAATGTAATACGTTTCTGTTTGTTTGTTTTCATTGATTTGTGTCACTGATCTTGTTACTGCCCAAGTAAATTGATATGCACTACATTTTGCCATATGATTAGAAATCGATTCTGCTTTCAAGCAAGATTCTGCAAAAAAAAACACATTTAATCTTTTTTTTTTCTGGTTTATGCATATACCTTCGATACAAGCAATCATTTCAGGGACTTTACAAATTTCAAGTGCACGTTGATTTCTCAAATTAACCGCATCAATGATGACACCATGCTTCATCAATGCTTTGATAAATGCAATCGAATCTGCCATTAAGTTTTGTGATGAAGGTATGACTCGAACAGCAGCGTGAAGAGGTGTATCACCATACACCCAATCTCTGATATGAACAGCATCCTTGAGTTTTTCCACAATAAAATCCAAACTGTTTTCTCCAAAAGAAGCATGGTTTTTCTTGCCTATACAGGTAGCAATTAAATGAAGCAGTGTCTTTCCATCCTTGTTTACATGCAAAACTTGTTTTTTCTTTAGTTTTGTTATCAAAAGTTCAACAAGATCCAGTCTTCCTCGAGCAGCCCAACTCATAATAGGCAATTGATTGTTTATATCGACAGAATAGTGAATCATCACATCGTCTGATAAACCATGGTGTTCTAACATGTACTTGAGAAATTCAACATGACTGCATGTATGATAAAATAGTTCGCCCTGTCTATTCTTGTGTGATTTGAGTGTATTGTTCATTTGACTTAGGATATAGAGTAAGAAATCTAAAGAACCTTGTCTGTTCCGAACAGCAATGTGAAGTGCTGTTTCTTGAGTGATTGGGTTGATGTGATCAAGTAATGCTTTATCCTTTGCTGATTCAATCAATAATCGCAACATATCAGATTGATGAGTAGCGCAGACATATAAAGCTGCTGTGTAGCCCATATTGTCCATGTCAAGAATTGAGCCCAGTCCAAAAGGATCTCTTTGAAGCAACAATCGAGTCGTCTCCAAATGATTGTGTTGTACAGCACATAAAAGAGGTGTTGATCCTTGATCGTTTCTTATGCGTGTACTGCAAGTATCAAGCAAATATGCTACAATGTGTGTTTGTCCATGAATACAAGCAAGCATAAGTGGAGTGTTCCCTGCCATATCGCGTAGAGTATCATGTGTAGCGTTATATTCGTTAAGAATCATACGTTTGACACAAGCAAGATCACCCGTCTTAATAGATGACCAGAACCTTATATTCTTTCTGGACAGAATAGACAAATCCGAATAAGTAGTGAGAATATAGTCTAGCACACCTTCAAATGTACTAAGAGCATAGCCATATCTTCCACTCACAATATTACGCTCAAATGTATAGTTCTAATAAAATAAGCATGAACATGTATGCAAGCATCAATCGCATTACCTTCATATACACCAAGTTGGCAGTAAGATGAGGTACTTTACTCCTGATCAGTGTCATGAGTAACAAGGGAATCAAGGAATCGGAATCAAGAAAGTGATCTGGACCATCTCTTGTGAGTTCAAAAATAGTCTGAAGCAAACAATCTAATTTGTCTGCTGGTGTTCTGTATGAACCAATTTTCTCAAATACAGCAATAGCTAATTGGACTCTTCTTCGTTCATCTTTGATAGAGTCAGGCAATGCAATTTGGCTGAAATCCAATTGCTCCATATCTTCTAATGCCAGACTTAATTTTCTGTCTTGAGGCAGTAGAAATTGAGTGATTTTAAAAAACGCTACATCATATGTCATATCCATAAGATAGCTTTTTTTAGGTGAGATATTGTTGTTATTAATAAGGCTTCTTACCTTTCAAATGCACTATAGAGTCCGTCTGAGTCTAGCTGATTCATATTGATATCATCTATCATCTTATAGAATAGAATATCAGTTTTTTTTTTTTTTTTTTTTGCATAATGAATATGGAAGAACATACTTGGTATCCTTCGTTCAATATGGTTTCCATGCATTCATGTAATGAATTCAGCGAATCGCAATACGTTGAAGTATCACAGAACTTTAATATTAGCCCATTAAATTTTTCTGCCACATTATTCTCCATAGGTATCATAAAGAAGAAGAAAACAATAAAAAAATAAAATGAAATATTCAATTGTTTATACAGCAAGTCACAAGGACTATATGACTAAATAATGATTTTACACTTTCTATTGTTATAGTGAGGAGTATCATGATGTAGTGAATAGCATAATTCTAGCTTTTTTTGTGGTATGATATTCCTTTTAAGTCTCTGTGTACAACTCATGTACTGTAGAAGCGAATATACATTCGGTAGTTTTTTTTATTCGGCTTTTAAAATTCTTCGTGTGGCATTTATGCAGATAAGTACACCATTGAAAAAAATTCGTGTATAATTCTTGAGTTTCATTTGATATCAACAAATACGAACCTTTGAGTGGATTATTCCTATTATAATTACTATAAAAGCAAACAAGTATTGTAAAAACTCTACCATGAAACAGAACGGGTACCATATTGCTATAAACTAAAGCTTTTTTTTTTTAATTATTAAAGAAGGAGAGATTTAGGAAAAAACATTGCAAATGAAAGTGTAAAAAGAACCGCTATTTGGCAGTTTGCGATGAATTTTTTTATGTTCAGGAGCAAAGTGTCACCAGAATAGTAACATCAAGCAAGCAATTCAATTATGCAATCCTCTTTTAAGGACACTTCTATTTGAACCTTTGTACAACTCTATACGCCTCGATTTATCATTGGAAATAACTGATTGGCTAAGAAAAAACTGCATAACCATTTCCTATTTCTCCCTTTCTCTCTCCCCCTTCTCTCTCTTTTTTTTTTTTTATGACAAGCAGTTTACAGTTCCTGAAGCGTTTCTCTAGTTGTGAAGTACCGTTGTTCTATATTATTATACATGTTGTTGATACACATTGATAGATTGCTGATGCTCTCATTAAACTTGGAAAAGGACCATGGGCTGGATATATACCAGATATTGATCTTTGGTCACCCAAATATTGTGAGGGAGACACGCGCATTATAGGCCCTGCATTTACTGTTAAGGTAGATAGTGTCTTACATGATGAATATTTATGCAAATTAGATGGTCGAAAAATCAGATACAACTTCACCTAAACCTACTGAGCATTTCGTAAGTTCTCTTTCATATTTTACAACTCATCATGAACGCTTTTTCTTTCTTTTTAAAAGGCAGACGCGGCTCATGAAGGATCCGTGGTCGTCATATCAGCTCCTCCAAGTAAGTAAAAAAAAAAAAAATAGCGCGAAAAACCGTTCTAAATCTGATATTTTAGATGTCAAAAATGCAGTGTGGGGAGGCCTCATGTCAGCCAGGGCTAAGGCAAAAGGAGTTCAAGGCGTAGTGATTGATGGTCGCGTCCGTGACTTAAATGAACATCGCCAAATGGGTTTTCCTGTAAGTGCCCTTTTTTTAAGGTTTTTTTCTTGTATTTATTCACATCATCATGAAGGTATTTGCAAGGTCGCACTCAATTTTGCCACAAAACGCCTTTGTACGACCATCAGAAATCCAGGTTCCTATCACACTTTCAAGAGAATCGCCAGTGAAAGTACAACCAGGTGACATCATAGTTGCTGACTTGGATGGTGTCGTCTGTATCCCTCAAGATTTAGTGGATAAAGTAATTGAGAACTGTGAAAAGTATGTAGCGATTGATGATCAATGCATGAAAGCACTTAAAAATGGACATGGAGTTCAAGAAACGTTTAGAAAGTATCGCGGCACTTGACGCTCAGGCCCATCTAAATTACATATTTGACAACTTTCTCTTTATGTCTTTGGATTGATTAAATAACGTTTACTTTATTATTTATCATAATTAATAGAATTACAGGGAAAAGCATATAGAGTGATAAGAGTGGGAAGAGGGTATGAATAACAAGTCTTTTTTTTTTTCTTTTTAATAGCAAGCGTAATATCATAGAACAAGAAAAGAAGTTTACAGTAAAATATACATATAGATAGAAAAGAAACATAAAAGGTTAGAAAGGACAAAAAGATTGCGACTGATAGTATGGTTGTTGTTCAAATGGCAGAGCAGGTAAGGAGATTTTATGAGTTCGCTTGACGGGTAGATCATGATGGCTCAGTTGATAATCTTCATTTTCGTCAGAAGAAGAAGTAGTGGAGGAAGAAGAAGAAGATAGATTACTGTTTGCATGAAAATAAGGTTGCTGTGTATAATCAAAAGGTGGTGATAATGATGTAACTGTTTCTAGTTCCGATTGTTGTTGTTGTTGTTGAGTTTGTTGTTGTGTATTTGATGATTTACGTGATTTTCTAATTCCTTGTAAGGTTCTGTAACGATTAAAGCATGTAGCACGTTTGCGGTGCGGAAGAAGATCCGAGATTTGGCCCCATGTTAGTCTTTGAGCAACTCCTTGACGAATAACATTGTCTTCATACTCTGAAAATCTGCTTCTAGGTTTGCCAATCATGTTTGGATGCATCATTTCCTCCTCTTCGTCTTCGTCCTCGTTGGATAGTTGATCTATTTCAAGTTCTTTTTGTCGTTGGCGGTAGTAATTGTACCTGTTTTGATGGTTGTTTGAAGAAATCACAGGTGTGGATATACATCTTGAGCGCAAAGGTCTATTGCCAGCAGCTGGTAAGGGATTAAGCAAATCAGAAACTAATAAAAATGTAAGCCAAACAAGTCAACCAGCATATTTAATTTATCTAAATTACCATTCATTTCGTATGTAGAAAGAAGAGAGCAATAAGAAGATTGGAAAAAGAAGAGTGAAAGAAGAAGAAAAAGAGAGTTTGATATAGAGTCTTTATATATAGAAGAAAAAAAGTTTTGGCCTGAAAAGGCAATAACAACAACATCACAAAAAAAAAAAAATTTTTTTTACTTTTTGTAAGAAAAGCCAAAACAACAACAACAACAACAACAACAATGGCGCCTCTTCACTAAAATAAACTGCTTTTTGTCAATTCTATTGTTTTCCGTTACAATCATTTGTTTATTTTGGTGCTTGACCACAAAATAAAAGCGTATTGACTACACAAAAAAAATTCTATTGAATTTTCAAATGTCAATAAAGGATTTGATTATTTACTGCCTTTCTATTGTTTAACAAAAATATTCTTTTTTCCTTTTTTTGTATTTCTCTTGCTTCATATGCTATTGAAACCCAGAGGTAATCAACTGGACCCGCATTAAATTATGCGTGCTGAATATCTTGTGTATGCGCGTGTATTGTATGACAACCATTTTATTTGTTGTCACTACTTCTTTTTTTGTTGTCGCTTAGTTATTTTTTGTCTAACCCTGAGTATAAGCAACACTTACAGTAGTACAAATAAAACTTGATACACACGCACACACACAAAATTCACATACAACAACATCCAACTATTAGTATTGCATAAGATCAGTATGTAATTATCGTGTATTTAAGATTGCATAAAATACTCTTGCATAAAATTTGTACGCCTTCGCATCTTTTTTTATGCGTATCTAGAATCTTGACGACATGTATAGTCTAGTCCCGATCAAGCTTACACTGTGTAAATTCAGGTCCAAGCACATGTGTACCTTATTTCTCACATTCGGTGATAAATGCATAAAAAGAAGCTTGGTTTTACGTAATAGTGTCAATGAATTTGCTGTATTCTGCAAATGATTTTTTTTAATATTCAATTAACTAGCTCTGAATGTTTGAACTGAGAAATTGGATTCTTTATTTTCAGAAGATAACAGAGTGGTGATTCTATCAAAGACGTCTTTCTTGGAGATATATAAAAGTGATTGCATTAGAACCTGCCTTAACGTGATCCGCATGGTCAAGGTCTCGCAAAAGACGCAGTGTTTTTATATCGCAATATCGCTTTTTGAATTTCATGTCCATTACGTTTCATCCAAGATAGCCCTATTGTAATGCTTTCTTGGCGTTAAAACTCTCTGCACTTGGTTATTTTTTTTATGCTTATCAACTGGTAAAACATATTTGATACGTATTTCTCTTTTTTTTTTTCGTGTTCATTTATTTGAAAAGTTATAATCACTTAGATATACAGAGAATAGGTCGTTTTTATTTTTCTTTCTAGAGTAGACGGAGTATTTTCCTAATTAATGAAAGACTTCTTATAGCAAGACATGGCTATGGTAAGTCGACAGACATCTTTCACCAAACAATAATCATCATTTCTACTAAACAAATCAACAACAAGAGAAACAAAGTCTAGAAGACAATAAAGAGGAAAAGTAATTGCGTAAGCATGTGTTTACAAATGCGGAAGACAAATTCGAGAACTGTGATCACAGCAAAAAGTGTCATCTTATGCATATAGGCGGCGTTTATCAAGATATTTAGTGAGAATACAAAACAATGAGTAATGCTTACTTTTCTTAGAAGATCAATTACATCACCATATCAAAAATTTCGCTGCTCATACTGAATTCAAAAGATATTGTATAAAATAACTAACTTTCTTTTGTGTGCATCAAAAACATAATTTATTTATAGTCTCTTTAATAAATTAAGATAAACGAAGCAACTTATTTTACGTAATAAACTTTTTTTTTTTTTTTTTTTTTTTTTGTATTCTGTAAAATAAAAAATGTCCCGTTTTATTTTATAGTTGATGATTGGCTATGATCCTCTCTCATCAATTAACTGGTCCTGAATATTTAAGCTGAAGACGGGATTTTGTTTTCAAAAGATGAAAAAAGCATGAAGGGATAGCTGTGGTAACTACGCTTAAAGGCATATAGCTATCTTTCTCAAAAGACAAGTAGATGTCTGAGAATATCAATTTAACATAATCCACATGGTTAAGGTCTCTCAAAGATATTAAATATGTGTAACCTATTTCGATAGTTTAAAAAAGAAGACAAAAAAAAAAAAAAAAAAGAGAGAGAAAAAGAGAGAGAGAGAGAGACAGAGAGAATTAACCCTTTTGGTAATGTAGTTTTTACCACAATGGCACCATATCAATTTATTGTCTCTTCTTGGCTTCCTCTCTTCATGTTTCTCTTTTCTAAATAACAGATAGCCTTTTTTCAATTAGTAAATGTATAAATATACAGTTTGCCAAGTGAATGATACAAGAGAGTTTGTTAGCGGAAGAGAAAAGCATCTTGTCCTGAAAATTTTTTATAAATTAATAGTTTATACTTATTGTTCTTGTTCCTTTTCTTTCTTCTTTAATTCATTTTACACTCCTTTAGCATCTCTCTTTCTTTCTTTCTTTTTTTATGCGAATTACACTCCTTACTGCTTTTACTGCCTTTTTGTTCTCTCTCGCTGTAGCTCAATCTTCTTCTGCACCTTTTTATATTACGAATCCTATAGAAGGTACTGTCTTTAAAGGAGGTTCTAGGTAAGCCCCCCCCCATTTTCAAGTAAAAAAACCTCATTAACTCGATTAATTATAAAGTGCTTCAATTCGTAAGTCAAATGCTGCTACAGTTCAAACATGTATTAAACCAGTTTAGAATGGTCAAATGGCCTTGATCAAATTGCAAAAGTCAGTCTTTTAACAGGCACAAACGCCTTTACCATGCAGTCTACTGGTATTACGTTCAACATCAATGGCAGCTTAGAAGAATATACTTGGAAAGTAAGATAGAAACGTGATTTAATACCAAATTAATCTTTTAAATAAGGTACCTAAAGATCTTCCTCAAGGTGCCACTTTTGCCATAAAGATTGATTATACGAAAGATGGAACTGTGTAAGTAACACAGCTTTATATTTCAAGTATTGATCAAATGTGTATCTAGTGGTAGTACATATTCAAGTCCCTTCTTAATTACAAATACAACAGGAGCAATTGTAACCGAATCATTTGTCTCTACCAAATCAAGCATTGTATCCTCTTCTTTGCCTTCTTCCACAATTGGTTATGTGTCTCTTACTACAGTTGTACTCAACCCTGCTTCTTCCATTGCTTCTGTATCGAGCATCAGCAATGCCAATATCAGCAGTGCTAGTTTCTCAAGTACAGCAGCGTCCCTAAGTATAACCACTGTACTTCCACCTTCTACAACAAAAAGCATTTTTTTGCCTTCAAGCGCAACTGCATTTGCTACTACCACACCTCAAATACCTAATAATGGATCTAAAAAATTACCTGCAGCATATATATTTGCTTTAATGAGTTTAATACTAGTTTATTTACATTAAATAGATAGTGGTATAGTTTAAAAGAGTCCATCATTTCTGAATAATTGCATATATTGGTAGCTTGTATGAGCAGTAGTAAACTCATGATTACTTAGACCTACTGCTTCATAATTGTATTCGTATTCACAAGAAAGTTGAGCTGTTGGAGGAACAATGGATTCCACAAACTCTTGGAATAATACACTTGCATTATTGGGGGTAGTACATGGATGGTAGTCAACCTAGATATGCATGTTTAGTCTCTCTATTGATATAGCCTATGGTCACTTGCCTCTAACAATAGCCCCTTGTAAGTAGATCCTAACAGGATATTGGCTACTCGTAGTGTAAAATCACCAATTTCATAACTTGTACCCTTATATTCAACGCGTTAGATCTCGCTTTCATTCATAAACATATTCGCTTTACCTCTATAGTAACACTCTGTCTCAATTGCCATAGATTCTTGAGACGCGAAAGAATGATTTCCATTTCCTTTTCTGCTTCAACAACTACACTTCCATCTACCATACAATACACATGACCTGGCTGTTGCGCAAGTGACACTTGATACAATAATTTGCTATCTTTAAGCGCCATTTGTTGTCGACTATTATGGTCACGAAACACTTTAAACGCAAGCGACCAAGGTCCAGTGTTTTTACCGTGTAATGTCTTGGTAACATGTTCTGCAATAAAAGTAAAGTCTCTCATGCCAGTTGCATTCTTCCATCTAACAAGGCTTAACAAGATGTTAATTCATACTTGCTTGAAATTGTCTTTACCATGTGACACCCATTGTATCAATGTTAAATAGAAAGAAACGAGTGGCTTGGAATCTTTTATATTTTAGGATTAAAACTCCGTAAAGTATATAAAAAACGATGAGGAAAAAAAAGCTTCATCGATCAAGTCTTCATCATGGGTAACTTTTTCTCCAAGGCTTCTTCTTCATACCAAGTACAGACTGGTAGCAAGAGAGCACTTGAATCAGATGATGCTGAAGGACAAGACTATAAAAAGACACGTGTTGAAAGGGTGTTTGTCAAGGAAAGCAGTGTTGGTATTATTGCCTATGTCAACCCTCATATCCAAGGTTTCCATAGTATTTTGAAGTTTAGGTAAACTCTTGCTGGTTTCGACATTACAATTGATGGTTTGATAGAGCAGAAGACTTTCTTGTGAATGAAGTAGATATGGAAAACAATATTGTTCACCTTACTTCCTTAGCACCACCTAATACAAAGGTAGACAAGGTAAGAGAAGTTAAATAGACAGGAAGAGATAGATATACTGATAAATGCAGAACATTACCTATGAATACTATGAAGCTTCTGTGTTTGATAAAGCAGTCAGTCATATTTTCGATCAAGTATTTGCTGAATCATTCAGAAGTTTCCTTGATGCTCCTGAAGACACGGAAGCTGTCTTGACTGTCACCGTAAGTTGAAATCATCGCATTCATACTCTTATGATGAATTGTTTAGGCTGATAAAGAACAACGTCTTGAATTCTATAAACTTGTTGAAGCACATTTAGAAACCAAGGTGAATTGCCGAGGAAAAGATGGGCAACTTGTTGTTCGATGGCCTTCAGCTGCTCATTCTGATGGTAAATGTAGCCATGATGGATTCATACTCATTGTTAATAGAATTCATTGATTGGAAAGCACTTGGTGGTGACTATTTACAAGTGAGCATGCACAAATCTGGCATTGATACAATGAATGCCATTAATATTATTGCCAACAAAATCAAGTAAGAAAACTCAGTGTTTTTTATTTTAACTTATCTGTCCTAGTGTTCATGCAAAGAACTTTGGTTATGCTGGTACAAAAGATGCTCGCGCCATTACTACACAAAGCCTTACATTGAAGAGCGTCAAGCCTGGCCGTATTATTATGGCACAAGAAGAATTGAAGAAAAGTAATATCTATATTGGCGACTTCAAGTAAGATACATACAAAAAAAGGGGAAGGAGAATATAGCATGTCTAACATGTAATTTAGATTTGTACCAAAGGGTCTCACTTTGGGTGATTTAAATGGTAACCATTTCACAATTGTACTTCGTGATGTAAAAGGCGCAAATGAACAAGACTTGGAAGTGTCTTTACAATCACTCAAACATAATGGTTTCTTGAACTATTTTGGAATGCAAAGATTTGGTACAAGCATGGTATCTACACATAAAGTAGGATGTGCTATTATGAAAAAGAACTATCAAGAAGCCTCTGATTTGATTCTTAATCCCCGTGAAGGAGGTAAAGAAGAATATAAACTATAGCATGCTAATGATATTGGATAGAACGTGAAGAGTACTATAAGGCTAGAACGCTTTGGCAAGAAACACATGATGCCGAAGCAACCCTTGCTGTTTTCCCTAAGCGCGCTTATTCTGAAAGAAAGCTTTTGAGCTTCTATGCAAGATATCCCAACCATCATGCCAAGGCTATTAAGAGTGTAAGTAACCTATGTTCACTTATGTGTACTTATATATTTTCTAGCTTCCTAAAAACATGCTCTCCTTATATTCTCATGCATACCAATCATATATCTGGAACCGAGTTGTTTCTGAAAGAGCAAGACTCTTTGGTACTGACAAGCCAATGGTTGGTGATCTTGTTCTTGTTGATAACAATAAAAACACAAAGTCCAAGCATGTCACTAACAATGTGGGTAGACGTGACCCTGCCAAGGTAAAGCAACTATAAAAGAAGCAGCCAGGTCTAAATATTATACATAGCGCAAAGTACCTAAGGTCCTTACTTTGGAAGATTTGGATAATTATTCAATCACTGATGTTGTCTATCCTTTACCTGGTAGACAAACTGTCTACCCTGATAATGAAATGAAAGAAATTTACAGAAAATTCTTGGGTAAGTTTTAAAGATTGATATGTTAAGCTAATACCGTCTTATAGCTGAAGACGGCATTTCTCTTGAAAAGAAGGAAAACCATTTTGAGTAAAGTATATATGTGTTATTTATATTTATCTGATTTCTGTGTAGTGGTTTGAATGGTGACTATAGAACCATGCTATCAACACCTTCACAAATGAGCTGGTCTTTTATTCGTTACAACGATGCAACAGAAAAACTCTGTAATACAGATGTAGATAGACTTGAAGGCAAGCCAGGGCCTGTTGGTGTTCAAGGTAATTTTATATAGAGTCTATATGGCACAGAGTTAACATGTGTTAGACGGTAAACATTTGGCCTTGAAAGTGGAATTCACACTTGGTACTAGTCAATATGCTACTATGGCATTAAGAGAAGTCATGAGAGCAGAAACCTCAGCTCAAGCTCAATCTTCTATTTTGCATGACTAAAAAAAAAAATAAAATGCATATCAAATCGTTTCTGAATAATGCAAGATAAGTCAAATTCTAAAGATAAGGTACTACCCAGTAAGTATACTAGCTTATCAATCTTTTACATCATGCCATTTAAATTCAAAGTCAACTTACTGAAAACTCAGTTCCTCACGTAACAGTTGGGAAATCATACTTTCAAATTACTACAGTTTAGCGAATATACCGTTACTTAGTTTTCGATCCATCTCCCTCTCTTTTTTTTCTTTTACTAAATTTGGACGAGCACTAAGTACAGAAGTTCCCTCTTCCCTCCCTCCCTCCCCCCCCCCCAAATGTTCGTTTACCTAAGAACTAAATCCGGTTTTATTGGCTCAGTTCGCTTTTGGAGTAGCTCAATTTTTGTATTTGCATCATTTATTACCAAAATGAACTTGGGTCGAATTCAATCTTCGTTTTCTTATTCTTTTGTTTTTTAAATGAGGACAGGAAACTAAATTCCAATGGGCGGCCTTTATCTTTCCGATGGGCTGTGTCTTTTTCTAAATATGTAGATTTTTACACCTTTTTCAAAAATACAGGCACGCTTAATGGAAATTCATCAGGCATGAAATTTATGCATCTCGAGAAAACAAAAGTTTTTTTCTTTCACAAACTAACAAATGAATCTCGAAATGTCTACTTCTAACAACTCAACTATTAGTCGCTCTTACCAAGAACGTGAAGAAGAAAAATACTGGGATGTTTACTACCTCAACAAAGTACGTCCTCCTCAAAGTATGATCAGTTACACTGTTGGTTTGTCTACATCAACTGTAAAAACAGTCATCAATCGAATAAAAGAAACTGGTTTGTCTTTTATCAAGATCAGAAACATGCTTAAGAATGAGGCGGAAAATGAGAAGGAAGCTCTTGACCTTAAACATAAAAAGGGCATATTATTTGAGAGTTAAATAACTTTCAAATAATATGCCCTTTTTATGGGTATCGATAGTTTTATTGTAGAAAAAAATTTGCTTAATATTTTTTCATGTCAAAGTTAATCGATTGACAATGCCGTTCCATTTTAACCCATCAGACTTCTATTTGTTCAATCTAATTCAGGAAAAGGTGTATTTAGAAAAAGACACAGCCCATCGGAAAGATAAAGGCCGCCCATTGGAATTTAGTTTCCTGTCCTCATTTAAAAAACAAAAGAATAAGAAAACGAAGATTGAATTCGATCCAAGTTCATTTTGGTAATAAATGATGCAAATACAAAAATTGAGCTACTCCAAAAGCGAACTGAGCCAATAAAACCGGATTTAGTTCTTAGGTAAACGAACATTTGGGGGGGAGGGAGGGAGGGAAGAGGGAACTTCTGTACTTAGTGCTCGTCCAAATTTAGTAAAAGAAAAAAAAAGAGAGGGAGATGGATCGAAAACCAAACAAAAATACTGTATCGAGAGAAAAATACCACCTGAAATATGTGATATCGGAAACAAAATTAAGAAAATATACTGGTATATTTTTTTCTTTGTGTCACTAGATAACCTATCGAATCTCTTCCATATAAAGCGATAAATTTGTTATCTATTTTTCTCTTCTTTTCTCATTATCTTCTCACAAACTACAAAATGGCTAACTCAAACAACGTTTACTTGAAAAAAACTCGCTATGGTAAAGACCTTGTTCGTCTCTTAAGAGTATACAAGGAAGGCAGTATTCAACATTGTACTGAACTTACTGTAAGTTGAACTACTTTAAAACAAACAAACTTAACCTTTTTTTAAGGTTCGACTTTTATTGGAAGGTGATATCGAAACCTCTTATACTAAGGCTGATAATTCTGTTGTGGTTACAACGGGTAAAGTATTTCAAAAAAAGAGGGTGTGTATGGGGATATTAAATGATTTGGATAGACACTTGCAAGAACACCATAAACATTCTTGCCAAGCGTAGTGAAAATGTAGACAATATTGAAGTATTTGCTCAAGAAATTACTGAACATGTCTTGAAACAATATATTCATATCTCTGGTGCCTTTGTCGACATCATCAAACATAAGTGGACTCGTCTTTTGGTAGATGGTAAGCCTCATCCTCACTCTTTTGTTCGTGATGGTGAAGACATTCAAACCACAAGTGTTGCCCATTATCGTGCTGGTAACGAAATTCACATCACTTCCGGACTTGATAAGCTTTTGGTCCTCAAGACCACTGGTTCTGCTTTCCATGGTTTCTATACAGATGAATACACTACTTTAGTTCCTACTTGGGATCGTATCTTTTCTACTTCTGTGGATGCCAAATGGACCTTTAGTTCAAAGTCGGGTGCTGTTCTTCGCAACATTGATTACAAGACAATCCATGCTGGCGTTAAGCAAATCACCTGTGATACTTTTGCTAAGGATGACTCTGCTTCTGTTCAAGCTACACTTTATTTAATGCAACAGCAAGTGTTGGCCAAGTATCCTGAAATTGCCGAAATCTCTTATGCTTTGCCCAACAAGCACTATGTAGGTATTGATATGAGCAAGTTTAACATCGATAATGCTGGCAAAAACACCTCTGTTTATTATCCTCAAGCAGATCCTTCTGGTAAGTGATCCTTTTTTTTCTTCATCAAGTGTGGGTGACTTATATTTTTTTTTATAAATAGGTCTCATTACTGCTACTGCTGGTCGTAAAGAGTCCAAGTTGTAAGTTGAAGGATGCTTCCGATCATTATTTTTTTTTTATATGTAATATTTATCCATACCTATGTTATGGATCATATATGAATATGATCCATCATAACACAAAATCATTTCTTGAAATTATCAACTTGTACATTTTATACAATAAAGAGAATCGTTTTTGTATATCAAATAAGAACAAACAGGATTGTTTTTAGTATTACTACGAGACTCTATCATATAAAAAAGCATAAAAAACTCACATCGAAAAATAGAAGATGAAATCAGTTTGAGTTACTCGTAGGACAGACCAAAATTTATAACTTTAAAAAGACAACAGGTCTATCTGACTTTGTTTTGAGCTATCCTTTGGCGATTGTTTGGTTTTTGGTCCAAATACCAGCCTGAGACATCAATAGCATATCCTTTGGACCAAAAAGTTTATACAAGATTAATTTTTAGATAGTCACCATAATACAGACACATAATTCAATAGTTGGATAATATCAAACTCACAAAGAATATAATATCATCATCTTTACAGATGGAAACTATAGCCCTTAGGTAACAAAAAAGAATCGTTTACTCTAAACAACAATACTATTTGTCCCAATTCAGTACATATCAGCAAGTATAGAAAGTCCTTTTTTAAAAGCCTCTGCCAATATAGACATAAATAGATTTTTATCTATATTGATTAAGAGAGTAGCAATAAGAGGTTATTCACCAAAATGAAAAAGCATGAGTCTTGTCTATTAAAAAGGTGTGCACATAAAGGTAGCACTAAACCTGTCTATACACGCATAAATGCTCCAAATACCTACAAGCAATATTCACTAACATGCGCAATACCTTTGGCGCTGATTTGAACCAAAAAAAAAAAAAAAAAAAAAAAAAAAAAAAAAAAAGCGACACGTATGTTTTTGACCTATAGGGGATCCATGGAAATCCATGATGAACAGAAACTTTTGGAATGACCCAATGCAGGTCGCATCTAACTGAAACGAGGTAATGCCATGCCTAAATACTTATGAGAAAAAGAAAGCGTCTTTATTAAGATGAAAAAGGCGAATTAATTAGAGCATCACTTTCAAATATGCATTCAAAGTTTGTTGTACAATGTAGTCAGCACAAAAGAGGCTCTTTTCAACAGATACTGCTTAGTAAACTGGCAATTATTCTTATATCATTAGAAGTGCAGTTTACTTTCGAGTAAGGTCTGTTATAATATATAACGCCTTCGAGGTAAAAGGAACAGCTTTGGATATGATAAACAATGATAATCATATCATTTTGCATGAATAAGTTCAGGTAAACATAGTGACTATTTTTCCTCGTTTTTGTTCATCGAGTACCTAAACAAAGCCTCATTTTTTCTTTTCTTTTCCTTTATCTGTCATCATCTTTTTTGCTATTAAGCTATGAGCCCAACTCATCCCGATATTGATTATGCCAATAAGGCCATTCTTGCTCCTATGGTAGAAAAAATCTTGCTTCAGTATCATTGGTAGCCTAATAAAGCCTTTGAATAGGTACGTATTGGAACTTTGCCTATGCGTTTAGTTGCTCTTAACTATGGAGCAGGTAAGATACCAATTCGATTATGCCAATTATATTAATGTCTGGTATAGATCTTGTTTGGTCAGAAGAATTAGTAGACAAACGTATTATTGGATCAGCTCGTCAAGTGAATCGTAAGTACAATGAGTATTAGTCATAGGATACCTAATTCAAAAAAAAAACAGACGCCACAGGCACTATTGATTATTACAAGGGAAAATCATTGACATTCAGCACTTGCGAAGCAGAAAAAGGCAAAGTGATCCTTCAGTTAGGTACAGCCAATGCTGATTTAGCCTTACAAGCTGCATTGACTTTAAAGCAAGATGTTGCTGCTGTGGATGTGAACTGTGGTTGTCCTAAAAAGTTTTCTATACAAGGTGGCATGGGTGCTGCACTTTTATCTGATCCAGACAATCTGAAGAATATTTTAACGACACTAGTACAACATTCTGGTATTCCAGTTACCTGCAAAATCAGATTATTAGAAACAAAAGAAAAGACACTTGATCTCGTCAGAATGATTGCATCTACAGGTGTCAAGGCACTCACTGTGCATTGTCGTACAAAGGAACAGCGATCTACCGAAAAGGCCAATTGGGATGCATTAAAAGATATTGTGCAAACAGTCAAGTCAGTGACTAATATTCCTGTTATTGTTAATGGTGATGTGTTTGAGTATGCTGATTTTGAAAAGGCAAAAGCAATGACAAATGCTGATTCTGTCATGGTTGCTCGAGGTGCTCAATGGAATCCTTCAGCATTCAGAAAGGAAGGTTTGTTGCCTTTTGAAACAGTTGTTCGAGCCTATATCAAGAAAGCAATTGATTTGGATAATCTCTTTCAAAATACAAAGTATGTTTTGTTGAGCATGAATACCGAAGATACAAAACATACCCGCTCAGATTTATACACCAAGATTCAGCGATCGAAATCAATGCGAACTATTTGTGAATTGTTTGATTTGGTAGACTATTACGAGGAAGCAGTAGCCAAACAAAAATCAAGATTAGAAGAAGCTGAAAAGAACCAAAATACTGAAAACGCCAAGAGAGATAGAGAGGAAGAGCAAGTTACTAAAGCAGAAGAACCTGTAGAAAAGAAAACCAAGACAGAATAAGTAGTTTTTTAATAGATAATAAAATAGATTGTTATGTAAATAGTACTGTAGAATAGATTTGTTTTTGCAATTTCACTCTATTTGCTTAAAAAAATTGTTTGTTCCATTAAAGAGATGTATTTTAATACCCTCAATAACGACTTTGAAGTAGTTCTTTTTCAATATTGAACTATTTATTCTGAATAAGTTGAAATTGTTTATCATTAAATATAAATATATATATTATTGGTTAGGTAAACTTAGACGCCTTGCACGATACGAGGCCAAGTTTCTCGCATCTACAAAGTGATTGTTAGTAACACGATCTTATCTGTATATTTCTGTTACCTTTTCATACAATTCTGGCTTAGATCTGATCAAGAAAGTTAGACACAACTCGAGGGAAAAGAGACTTACCTTCTCAAAGCATCAGGATCCTCTGCAAGACATACAAATGTGGTAGCAACACCACTTGATATTACAGTGGAAATCGAAGAAAACATAGAAGCACCAACCAAGAAGCACATCATAACAACCACGGGTGTCATATTGCCATTTTGGTTATAAGCAGGTTGAGTAACGATGAGATAAATATAGCCTAGTAGACCACAAAGTACCCCAACTAACAAACCACCTATGATTGAATGACTTAAATTAGAAAAGATGACTTTCTATGCTGTATACTTTACCCATAAATAAGACATTGCCTATAATATTGTCATTAATCATGGCTTGAATACCACGATCTTTAACCAAGGTCCAAGTGCGTCTTGCAGTAGGCACAAAGGCTTTTCCATAGATAGCCACCCCGCTAAAGGCATAGTAATTAAACCATTCCTGTTTCCCGCAAATTATCAACATAAGACTAGACAATATACATTTGTACTTACAAATAAACCAGCTGCGCAATTGACAATACATTGAATAATACAAATAAAAAATGACATGCATGCGTTGTCTACATTTGCTCTTGCAATTTGCAGAAAATATCGAACCAAATTGATGATAGCTATCAACAATGCACCAAAACAAATAGAGCCAAAACTGGTAGTTAATGCTCTTTTAGCACTTCCCCAAATAGGATGACGGATACCATCGTTCAAGAAATAAACAGTGGCAAACAGACCTGCAAGAGTGACGTGTGTCACATAAGTGATTACCTGAGATGTCCAATAGAACGAGAACACCAAGAATACCATGGCACAGTTTAGCTTTGAGTTATTACTACTGGAACTATACCAAGCTTGGTAAATGCCAATTACTGTAAACATAAATAGGAAACTGAAGGCTGTTTGAATGACAAGTGAGATAAAACCAACCAATATTGTAGTTGGGTATTTTCGCGTAATACTTGTAATTGTTTCCAACATGACTACATAAAATATGATTAACCATTTTGTGCTTTTTATTCTCAAACAAACCTGTTGCAAATGGAATTCGACTTCTCCACCAAAAGAAGCAAAAGACATACAACACAGAAAAGATCAAAAACACAATAGCAGCAGAATAATAGTGTACAACAAAATAGTAAATTGTAACACCAAAGTAAACCAGAATTGATCCGATAAATGTGATATAGATCAAAGGTCGAGGAAACCTATAAATGTTAGTAACAAGCTTTTAATGTAATGAAGAAACCCACATATTTGCGATAATTAGATAAATAAAACTAATACCGAAGCCTACGATGCCAGAAAAACCAAAGATTTTGAGTGTGTCGGTATCAAATGTCAAGCCAGGATACGCATTATTTGATTGTGTACCACCATAAGACCCTTTTTTACCAATGTAAGTCTGAATGCCTACTACTGCTAAACCAATAAAAGCACCGAGATTACATAACCAAAGAATGGTTGCCCATACATCATTCCATCCTGAAGGAAGTTTTGACTTCTTATCTGTTCCACTATGAGGTTGTTGATCGAGTGGAGGAGCACCAAAATTGTTTGTTGATTGCTGCTGACTATAGTTTGGCTGTTGACTATAATTTGGCTGTTGAATGTAGTTTGGCTGCTGTCCATAGTTTGGTTGTTGCCCATAAGCTTGTTGTGGGGTAGGTTGATAACTTTGTTGTTCACCATAAGGTTGCTGAGTGTATGCATTTGTAGGAGGGGGAGGATAATATTTCTGCTGCTCTTCTGGTGAATCCGTGTACTGTGCAGGTGGTTGGTACATGGCTTTTTTTTTCCAAAAAAAAAAAAAATAAAATAAGAGGAAAAAAGAGGAAAATGACACAGAAATCATGCAATTTATTGTTTCTAATGTGACACAAATACAAACTATAATAAATCTGTCAAGATAGCACTCAAATCTTGTTCTGATAAAGATGTTTGTTCTTCGCTTTGAAAGAGTTGCATTGGTACATTCAAGTCGTGAAACGTAAAAATGCTATTCAAGTCTTGCACCCAATTACCTTCATTTGTAAACCATGGAGTATCGTTAAAGTCACTACTTGTAGCTGATGACGACATTGGTGAAAAAGAATTAAGTGATAATAGTGCGTTGTCATTTAATGTTAAAGGAGGATGCATGGTTAAAAATTCAGTAATGGAATTTTTAATGATCTCTGCTGTTTCCCATTTAAACCAAATGACAGGCATAGTCAATATTGTTTCGGCCAATTCTAAATAATGTCGTACTTTGTCTGTTGGAGCGACTTGATAGGAATACATGAGTACTTGCGCGGCTGCATCTATACTGGAAATGACAATGCCCCGAGACAAGAAATCGCTTTGTTCAGAGTGGACGTCAAAGTTTCTTAGATATACCAAGGACTTGTCAATTACCTCAAAGCTCTCTGGAAGTACTTTGTTGATGTCTAAAATATTTTTGACATTTGTTAGATCTAGCGGCTTTAACGAGTGCAGATCATACAAAATGAATGTGTGCCTATGATCATTTTGACTCAAAGTATTACTATGTACAAATGTAATACAGATTCTATAAAACAAATAAGAGAGATCGAGTGTATATATCTGTAAAGGAGACCAGTTATGACAGTTCTGTTGGTTGAATTCTTTAAATTCGTCCAGTATTTTCTGCAGACTGGACTCAACAGATTCTACAAGCGGAGCGTCTTTGGGAATCTTAAAGTGCTTCTTAATAATGTCTGGTGCTTTCGTAGGTTCTCCAGAGAATTCATTTGGCAATGCTAGGGCTATCTTACAGCTAAATCTTGCAATGACGGATTTGATGTAAAATGTCTCGATAAGATAGCGGTATGATTCAAGCGGTCTAGGATTATCGCTCTCTACATCAAGCTGATACGACTTTGACATATGTATTTTGGAAGGAGGGAGAGGATGATTATGACACATTATAGCTGCTCGAGGGATTCGATCCACTTTTTTTTTTGAGTAAAACATAACATTGGCATATTACTTACATTCAGCACATCCACGTACTATAGACTCCAATGCAGCCCAGAAGGTCATAGAAAGAAGCTCTTTCTCAATACCGCTTAGCCCTGGAGACATTGTGTTGTCAAACAAGCCCAATCTTACCGCAAGCAAGCATGATGTACCAAATAAAGTCATACCTCTCTTTGGAAATCCGAATGTAACCTCAAATGTCGCCAATAAAACCAATGCTTGGTATCGGCTTGGCGTCGCTTCAGCTGTTGCCTTGGCAAGTAGTATATGAGCATATTCCAGAAACGGATTTCGCTTGTTTGTATTCAGTGCATTCCATAACTCAAGTGGTTTTCCTTCTGAGATTGGGGATATAAAAATGGTCGTACCGTATACTACAGAGAGTAAAACAGGATCTGCTGTATCTGTCCAATAAGATTGCAGGAGCAGTGTCTTGTTGAACAAGATTGAATAAGGATGGATACAGAAGAAATGTTCGATCAGACGAACAGCTTGTTGAGGCGGTAATGAGTTGAGCGGGTTAATCATAAGAGAATTTTCTGTAGGTGTCTCGAAAAAAGACTCTGTATGATCATATGCCAAGGCAGTAGCTGAAAAATCTGGTCTTACATAATACAATAATTTGAGTCTCGAAATACGCTGTACCAATATATTACTGATATCAGCACTCATGTACACAAAGAAGTGTACTAGATTGTCAATGTGAATCCTAGGGTTGACAGTTGAGTAATCTCTCTTGCTAGTAAGCTGAAGTTGCCCTTTTTTCTTTTTGATAAAGCCATCTAAACTAGCTTGTCTCGAGAAATAAGTCGAGAATAGAGTGTTGATGTAATGATCCAAGTTATGATTTTGTGAATCATGAAGATAGAGAATAGGAGCCATAATAGGAGTTGTCGTCAAGTTTTGAAAAATGAACTCTCTGCAAATAGAAGAGCGAGTAGCAATTGCGGTCGACGATTGCAGCTTGGACAAGACAAGTTTGTTCATCACGGCGTTCTTTGGTGGTCTACCAACTGCACCTGGTTTCTGATAAACACAGCTCGTTTGTCGTATTTGACAGCGTTGGCAAGGTTTCTCACCGTCGCATTTAACTTTTTTAGCTCGACAAGCTAAGCAACTCACTTTACGTTTTGCCATGCAGTAGTATTATTACAAATAGACAAAAAAGGTGAAATTGGATCTCAAAATGTATTAAGCTTTTTTTTAAGTGCAGTCACCTTGTATTACTATGTGAAGGAAATATGTAGGCATTGAAAAATGTAAAAGATACGGCAAGTCTCAATGTATTAATCGTAGAAGAATGTTTAAGCTTACGTTGCATAAATACAGCCCTGATTTAGCGTTTAGAATACAAATAGAACGTCCATTTAGGCAACAGTCCTTGCAAGAACACCAACATCAATTTACTCTTTTTTTTTTTTTTTTTTTTTTTTTTTTTTGCTAATAAAGATCAACATTTCAATGAATACGCTGATGGCCTCTTAAGCCTCGTGAGCCTTTAAATTTAAAGCGAAGAATTATTTGTTATAATTGATTTTAGTTTTGAATTCATGATTGTCTTTTGTTGTTTAATATGGCGCGCAATCTTCTCCAGGGACACTGAACAAGATCAAGTAAATTTGTATGACTCCTACGTATATATGAATTCCCTCCTCTAAAATAACAGTAACATTTTTGCTGAAAACGTCTTGAATCAAAGAAAGGAATTTCAGTCAAACCAATCTGTCTTATTGATTGTATTTAAAATGTCGTTTTATTCCACAAAGACAAAGAAAGGAAAACAGACAAGCGATCGATTCGAAAGCTTGTTATCTGTGTCCATTTATAATTTTATTTTACGACATCTCAAAACAACCACATATTTGTTCACAACTTTATCCACAGGTCTTATTGTAGATTAAGAAAAGCTGCATCTGCAAATTAAAGTACACTCTGTGCATAATGAAACAACAATAAAGCAAACAATATTTTGCTTCCATAGAACAAGCATGAATGACATTTGTGTAACAGGGAGTTGTTTGCTTGGAAGCTTATTTTAGGCGTTACATGTGGTAAAATACATTTAAAAACGATATTTTCCTTATTATATTCTTTTTCTCTTTCTCTTTTTTTTGTTTATCTTAATACTATGATACAACAACCAAACACACCTGAATTCATGGAAAGCAATGATCTGCAATTGACTCGCAAATCAATACATCGTCATTCTATTACAAGAGCCACTGCTTCTAGTTTAGCCAAAGCAGTTCGTCCCAATTCAATGACCGTTGAATTACCCTCTCGAAAGAAACCGGCTCTTAAGTCGAGAAGACAGTCCTTGGTGCCAGACATAAAAAAGACCAAGACAGATCAAACTGAACTACTCACAAGACAATTAAAGAAATCTTTGATAATAAACCCAGTTCAAGCTGACACTACAGAAGTAAAAATCCATCCCCTTGAAACTCCTTCTAACAAATCTCCTGAAATCCTTGCAGATGTTTTGGTAAAACTAAAATTTATTGTAAAGATTTGTGTATACTCAATGTTGTTTTTTTCTATACAAACAAAAAGACCACAAATACCCGATGTTCACCACCACTTTCACGTTCTTCTTCCGAACATACTCACAATCATCACTATGATACGATAGATGAAGAATTGCCTGGCTACATGAGAAGACCTATCTGTGCAGCATGCAATCGTAATGTTAAGGTTACTTCAAGTTCAGAAACAAATCATATGCATAAGTCATCAAGTACTGCGACAAATTCAACACGATCTTCATTCTCTTCCGCAAGCATTCAGCCGGGTGACACGAAAAAATACTTTGCAAATCCAATTTCTGCAAGAGAACAAACAACAGCAAGCACAAGGCCTGCTGTTTCAATCTCGCCTAAATCTTCATCTTCTACTCATAGTAATTTCAGTAAACAGAGCGGCAATAGTAGCACTACCTCTGTTGACATAAGAGCACATAGCCCAACATCGCCTATTCCTACTAGAAAAAGGACAAAACCAAAAAAAGCGCTTTTCAAACAAAAGAAAACTATGCCTGTTACGTTATCAATGGATAAATGGAATCAATTGTTAGCGCAACAGCAAGATTTGATATCTGCTTTGACCACTAAAGATAGCCAAGATGATATTCATCAGGCACTCTTTAGGTTAAGTATTTCAAGTCAGCACCAGTATGAAACAGTATTATTGGAAACACAAGCCAAAATACTAAACAAATTCACAACAATTATGATACAACAACAACAACAACAACAACAACAAAGAGACGCTTTGTTTGCGCCCTCTTCTTCTTCTATGGAAACAATTTTGATTGAAACAAAGCAAGAAACAACAAAACCACTCGATTGGCAAACAAAATTAGAATACAGCATGACCCGTTTAAAATGGAATCTAAGTCATTGGGTGGGAAACATAATTGGTACAGGTGAAATTGAGGAACAAGAATTTGATGTGCTCGGCTATCCCAAAAGCGTGGTGGTTTCAGGTGTCTGTGTGACTACTGAACCGGGATTGCTTCCAAAGGTAAAATGTAGCAATGTAGATATTCTGGAACGCCCTTGGTAAGCTCATACAATTCTTTTAAGGACCTTCAAAAATTCCTCAAGCCTGAGCATGGGAAAGTTATTTGTCATAAATATGCAATTCAATTAAGCAAAGACCATCGGTTATTCAAATTTCAATTGATAAAGCACTGGGTAAAAGACGAGAACGTATGCAAGTGTGAATTCTCTATCCGCCTTGATCATAAAACAAAGTCTTGTGACACTGAATTCGGTCTGTTTCAACGACGACATCATTGCAGAAGGTAAACTTTTACATGTTGAATCAGAAACTCAATTCTTTACAAAAGCTGTGGACATGTTTTTTGCCAAGAGCATAGTTCAAATCGCCTTCCTTTGTTTCTGGACAATGGCCAACGAGGAGAATGGTCTCGTGTGTGCGATATATGCTTTTATAAACTAGTGGACCCTAAATTCATATCAAGATCTTAATAAAAAAACACAACTAATGAGTATTGAAGTCATTTAAATTGTACTAAATAATAAACGTGCTTGTTTTTTCTTTTAGATAGGTAGCACAAATGATGCTCTCTTGGCAGAAATGCCCGTGTTGGGTCAGAAAACCCTTGAAGATCCACTGAGGATTTGGTAATTATCAGCATGATTCAGGGGCAGCGGAGGAAGACGCTTTGGGCTCCTCTTGAAATCCTAAATAAAAAAAAAAGCTTACACTGGGGTGTTCAAGATTCAACTACCATTTTTAAAACAGCCACCAATATGATTATAGGAATAGGAGTTGACATTATGCATTTACCGCGCATTACAGCCCTTGTAGCTAGAAGGGGACATGACAAACTAGCACGCCGTATACTAAGTCAAAAAGAGTACTTGGAATTCAAGTCATTGCAAGCGCTGAATCAGCAAAAACGAGATGCTTACTTGAGTGCGAGGTATTCATATGTATATATTTATATATTAGATTTAATATATATTTTGATAGGTGGTGCATTAAGGAGGCTGTCTATAAGGCATTATACCCTAAACATCGTCTTGAATGGAAACAAGTGACAGTGATGAAAAAAGCAGGTAAAAGAGAGAGAGAGAGAGAGAGAGAGAGAGAGAGAGAGAGTAGTATATAAATAGAGCCACTCACGGTCAAAAAGGCAAGCCTGAATTAGAAATCTTAAATAGTCAATTATATGGTATACAAAATGCGCATGTCTCTCTATCGCATGATGGCGAGTACGCAATTGCTCAAGTAGTATTGGAAGGTTAAACAGTCCGAATATAACTTTTTTCTATTTTTACACTCGAGTTATAGAGCCTAATTAGGTTAATTTGCGTTCCTTCTTTATTAGTTGCCCTGCGTTTTTTATGTCTTTTTTCAGTGTTTGTTCTTGTTGATTTATATCTCCTCCCCCTTTTTTTATTTTTGTTTCTTTTCTTCTTCTTTTCTGATATTTGAATGTGTGTGTGTGCGTGGGTGTATTTTGCTTCATGAGCCTCTTTTAATCATATCCAAATAGAATTATACCAATAAAATGAGCCAACATCAGCACTCTCCAACATTGACATCCTCACCAGCTTCTATTACAAAACACACACTCATTTGTTCAAAATGCAACTTACCACTAGGAGAACAGCTTGTAAGAGCCTTGGACAACGCTTTTCATCCCGAGTGTTTTACTTGTTGGGTAATAAAACACTTATTAGCGTACAACATGAATTTAACAGCCAAATTTAGGATTGTAACATACCAGTTGCCTCAAGATACCTACCACATCCAACAGAACCGGGGCAACCTTTATGTGAAAAAGATTATTTCAAGCGGTTAGACCTTGTGTGTGCCCACTGTGACGAGGCCTTACGTGGAACGTACATTATCGCACTCGACAAAAAATACCACACAAACCACTTTACTTGCAGCGATTGTTCTACTGTATTTGGACCAGAAGATTCGTATTATGAACATGACTCCAAAGTCTATTGTCATTTTCATTACTCTACTCGATTTGCTGTATCTTGCACTGGTTGCGATATGTCAATATTAAAACAATATGTCGAGATTGAGAAAAATGATAGTGTAGATCACTGGCATCCAGAGTGTTATATGATTCAAAAGGTAAATAACATATCACTATAGATTGCTGATACTCTTTGGTAGTTTTGGAGTGTTCGAATCGCACATCCTACATTAAAAGAAAATGAACCTGTTGTATCTCAAAGTGAGTGAAAGTTGGCTTGCAATATATGTATAATAATCTTTTTCTCTCTCTCTCAAAAAAAAAAGCTTATAAACCACAGACACCATTAGAACTACTAAAGACACAAAAAGAAATGGAAGAAAAGGTAATCAGTATTTGGTCTGTTTTGTCTGCATTTGAAGGTAATATAATATAATTTAAATTTAAAATTCAATTGCAACTCTTGTAGAATCATCCGCCGTTTGTATATCTGAAATGCTCTTGCATGTCTCTAATGGTGCTTATATTGAGAGCATTTGTTTGTCAGAACGATTTCTAGTGCATGTAGAGGCTTTGTTTGCTGGTATAGACAAAATTCATTGCGTATATCTGGAATATAAGCAGACAGGTAAAAACATAGGAGGCTAGCAAGTTTTCTGACAAGTAACATAGAATTCAAATATACCAGAGAAGCCAAAATGCTATGTAAAAAGATTATCAACTTTTTTTCATTGCTCTCCAGAACAGGCAACATTGAGATGAAAAAGCTGGGAAGCACACAAGAGTTATTGTCACTTGTTACTGGCCTAGCTCATTATCTCAAGATTCTTATTCGATTGGCATTAACATCGGCCTTGCGCTTGGTAAGTCGATTGGTCTAAATATATACATACACACATATTTAAACTTTTTGTACTCATATGCTATTTATAGGAAATCATAGTTGGAAAGCCTATTTGCGTTTCGCGTCTACTTGCCAAGCTTATGGAGATTCCCGGAAAGGAAAGACATAGTCGGGATAGTCAACGTTTGATTAAACCAAAAAACACAGATTACTGTCAACTATGTGGGATTACTATTGAAGACCAGTGTATGCGATATGGTGATTATCGCTGGCATATAAGTTGCTTTAAATGCAGACAATGCTCACGCCAGCTCGCTGTTAATGAAGATGCTGTTTTCAACTCAACTTCTTGCACTATTCACTGTCTTCAATGCACTGGATTTACCAAAAAAGAAGCAACTCCTTTTGAGTACATTACAAAGCTAACTCAGTACAGCTTCCTATTGCGTGTTGCGCTTAGCCGTCTTTGTAACTTACTCCAGATTACAGGTAAATTTATATATTTGTACATGAATCTATTTTTGCTCACTCATGCTTTTTATTTTTACATATTTGCTTTGCTTTTTCTTTTTTTCCTTTCTGTCTCTCTTTTTTTGTATATTTAAATGATAGACAATCAACTTTCATCTGTAGACTATTCAACCAAACTCAAATCACCCAACACCATCTTTAAAGATGCCAATGCCAATGTACAATTGTCACCTTCTGCTGAAAAACAACTGACTCTGATGACAGACGAAAGAATTCATCAAGCTGATATTTTTCCAACAGAAATTGTGGATACTAGAATTGCAATGTCTTCTACAACAAAACTTGACAGAAAAATGTCTCGATCATTCAAATCTGCCAATAAGCGTTCTACCATTCTTGGTAATGCAGATTTGGCTGCATCTCTTCGTTCTCAAACAGATACACTCACACGCAATATACCTTCAATTCCTCCTACCCGTATGGATAGTTTACAACGCAATCAGCAGCAACATGTTATGGCTCAACACAAAGATCTCCCTGAATTGCCACAGACACAACGCAACATAACTCGTCATAAGCCAACACGGAGTGTTGGTTTGGATGATTTGCCTCAAATGGTAGCTGATGTTGTTTCTTCCAAAAAGACTAATCATGTGTCACAAAACCTGCATATCACCACAGGCACTTCTGGTCGACCACGCATCTACCTTTCTGAGCTGTCAGCACTTCAATATATGATTATTCGATATGTAGCTGTGGTTCAGATTGAAGACATTGTCAAAAATTCATTTTCATCTGGCGAGTTGTTTAATTTGATTGAAACAAAGAAATCGTCAATTTGGGGGAAATTCTTTTCTTTCAAAAAGCAAAAGAGTCATATGCCAAAGGCCAAGGAGGAAGGTACTTTTGGTGTACCTTTGGATCTCTTGACAGAAAGAACAGGCGTGGAATCAAATTTGGGTTCTGGACATTCACCTGTCAAACTAGCATCATTTATTGACGATTCAATCACAGCCATGCGACAAATGGATATGACAGTAGAAGGCGTATTTAGAAAGAATGGTAATATTAGAAGGTTAAAGGAATTGACAGAAGCTTTGGATCGTAACCCAAGCGAAGTGGATTTGGCGCAAGAAAATGTTATACAAGTAGCTGCCTTACTTAAAAAGTTCCTTCGTGATTTGCCTGATCCTTTAATGACCCATCGCTTGCATCCATTGTTTATGTGTATTGAGAGTAAGTAGTAATGTCTTGATTGAAATGCGTTGACTAACATGTTATGGTAGGAATCGAAGATCCTTTAGAACAAAAGAGAGCATTACATTTAGCATGCTGTATGTTGCCTCGATGTAACCGTGCTACAATGGAAGTCTTGTTTGTCTTTTTCAGATGGGTGGCATCATTCTCTCATGTTACAGGTGATGTTGGTAGTCGTATGGATATTCCTAATCTGGCTCGAGTTATTGCACCAAATATTCTGACAGCAAATCATAAAGATCCACTCAAGGACGACTCATTTGCATCTATTCGAGTAGTAGAAATATTATTGGAATCCTATGAAGAGTTTTGCTTGGTAAGGAATATACTAAAAAATAATTTCCTCACAGAAATGTTTAGGTGCCTGATGATTTAGAAATTTTCTTAGAGGACCCTAATCTTAGTGATGTTGATATCTCGCCCAAGGAATTCTTGAAACGAGTAGAACAAACAGTGAGACATAAGCACAATCCTAATGCAAGCTCTTCATCAAAAGTAAGCCTGCAATCTACTGCACAAGAAGGCATCAAACTCTTTGATGGTACAGTCACAGATGGTCGTCAACATCCCCCTACGTCCATTTATGCACAGCAGCAATTTTTACCCTATACCAATAACCATCCCAATTCAGATTTTGTGCCTCAACAACTCAACATGAGATACCACCATACTAACAACAATACCATTTCTCCTCCTCGTCGTATGGATAGTCATGAATCATTTGCTTCTCATCATCCTCAACCTTACGACGCACAATCATCACCAAAACATAGATACGTTCCTCATTATCAACAACAGCAACAGCAACAACATTACTATCAACAGCAATCACTAGGTAATGGTCCCCATCCTAATCCTACTACCTCTGCTGCTATTCCTGCTCCTTCTCATTAGTATTGTACAAAAAGAAAGAAAGAAAAAGAGGAGAGCTTGTCTTTTTATTACCGTTATTATTTGTTTGTTTTATTTCATGACATTTCATATCACACAAGTACTCGTCACACATCTCACTCTTCTTTATTTTCGCTTCGTATCCTTATTCAACATTATACATATATATATCCTTAAATACACATACATATATATATATATATACAAATAGATGTATATATATATATATATATATATTATAGATTTAAAAAACCTAGACAGCTAATAAAGCTTCATTTTTAAACACAATCTTTTCAAAAAGCACTTTGGGAGTTAGCACATGTCTCTTATGATACTTAAGACGATTTCAACTTGACACTGATTGTTAGGAGCAACAACCCATCGCTCTAATAAAAAAAAAGAGGTTTTTACTCTGGATAATCAAATGTTGTCAGTAAAGAGTCTTTTGTAGTGTTATACACTGACCCGAAATAAAAGCTACCCTAGTAGTGTGAATGTAATGGGAAGATAGTAGGGAGGTATTCAACTACCTCCTTGTATCTATGCAGGTGTTTTACATATACTTGCTCATATCTGTCACTAATTCATCTCCCTTTTATTCTCTGCTCTTTCTTATAATCTAATGTAAGTAACAATATAAATATTATTCATGTATCTCATACTCTGCTTAGTTTCTAGTACCACACAATTTTTTTTTCAATAAAGTGTACAAATAAGAAAATGGTATTATCATGCGTTGTTTATTTGTAACTTGTCTTACCTAAGAACTTTATTCTATCATCAAAATATTTATTCAAAGAAAAACATCTTTGAATATTTGAAAAGACAGGTCATAAAGAAATTGGATGAAGAGAAATGCACAATGAAGACATATATCTAGTTGTAAACACTTAAGCTCTTCAAATCTATCTTAAAAAATAAAATAAAAAGATTTTGGGTTGAATTAAGAATAAAAATAAGAATTTTTTTCTGAGTCGTTTTTATAGTTTGAAGGAAAAAAAGAGACGCTTAATACAAGTAAGGAGCACTGATAAACACCATGGTGTTTGCATCTAAAAAAAGAAAACAAAAGAGGATCAGGGTACTGAACAGAGTGGCTTCTCTGGTTTTTTTTTTTAGCAAGAACTCACAGAATCAAAATTGCGAATAAAGTGGATTGCTAAACAACAGAATGTACGACGACTAAAGAATCACAGGCCATCTTACCGTCTTCTTACTAAATATGGTCAATCACCGAAAACACACAAGAAAATTAGAAAAGCGCTGTATACATAAAGATCACTTGTTTTTTCTTTTTCTTTCTCTCTTCTTCTTTTCTTTATTCAGTATGGACGTTAAAGACAAAACTATTATTATCCATGGTGGTACTTCAGGTATATCACACGAGCGGTATTTTCTATAGTCATATACTTACATTAATAATTAGGGATTGGGAAAGAGTTGGTATGCACTCTTGTTTCGAGAAAGTATGTCACACAGCATCGATACACAACAGGATCTATACTAATCAACCTTTTTTAGAGCTAATGTCATTTTCTCGGGAACAAATAAACAAAAAGGACAAGACGTCATTGAGGGACTGAATAGTTTATACAAAGGAAAAAGGTAATAATACTTATAAATTACCACAGATATTCATTTGAACATAGACCTCATAATGCTATTTTTTACAACATGAACGTGACTGATTGGAGAGCGCAAGAAGAGATCTACACATTTGCCGAAAAAAGCTTCGGAAAGACAATCGATATTGTCATTGTAGTTGCTGGGATATTAGATTCTTCAAACCTAATCAACGACACAGAAAATGGTATATATATATATATATACAAAAAAAGGGGGAACATGCAGGAGACGCTAAACTTTATATGTAATAGATGGCCATTATCAAACCATTGATGTCAACTTAACTGCTACCATCAAGGCAAATCGTTTTGCTGTTCAGTACTTTTTAAAAAAGAAAAAGGCGGGCTGTGTGATCAACACTTCGTCTGTTTATGGTTTAGCTGCTGGTCCAACAGCGCCCATGTATGCTGCATCAAAACACGCTGTAAGTAGAGCACAGATACATATATTTATTTGCTGATTTATTTATTTAGATTATTGGCCTTACAAAATCATATGGAAACCTACTTCGGTCGACTAATATTCGAGTCAATGCGATTGCTCCTCACTTTGTTGGTATGTCATATAACTCAAATAGCACACTGATTGATTTGAACCAGAAACACCTATGATACCAGGCGAAAGCTTTAATGTGATCAAAGCATTTGGAACTGTTTCAATGAAGAGTTGTATAGACGCTTATCTCTATGCAATCGCAGATGATTCACTCAATGGTAAGGAGGGATATAATACAAGGCATGATCTAAAACAAACAACAGGTGATATTATTTCTGTATCACACTTAGGTACAACGGTCCAGTCACGTTTCTCAGATCCTTTACTTGAACAACTTGATTTTTTGTCTAGCAAACGACGAGAAAATGTTCTAAACGCTATTTTGGATCAATTTCAATAGTATTTTAATTATCTGCAGATTAGTTTATGAATTATTCTTTCAATCTTTTTTTGTTTCATTAGTTTATCAATAGAATGTCTATAAGATCTTCCATGTGCTTATCTTCTTTCAGCTTAGCTATGCCTTGTCAGATGAACAAAAAAAAAGGTATCCATAGTCACTATTTTTTACAAAACTTCTTTCTTTTTCGGTATATACACTGCTCGTCTACTTTCATTCTAAAAAAAATCTATATGAATGTCGTATATATCATTTAAAACCCTAATATTTGATAAATGCAGTGATGTAACTGATTTTGCAACAATAGAAGATATCTCTACTGGAAGTTTTTTTTTTAAAAAAAGATTTTATTATTACTCCGCGTCAAGTTACCCTAATAGCACTCAAAAGACGGACACAATTAATACAGAATTATATTATGCAATTATGCTGCAAATTAACTAGATAGGATAATATGAAAGGTATGACACTGCTATGAATGGAAGAAAAATTAAGGGAAGAATTACAGTCTTGTGTGTACTTGCTTTTCATCTGCAAGCAGCTGTAAATCAGTACGTGTTTGTTGTAGAATGAAGTAGGCATCAAAAGAGACGTTGTCAATAACAAATTTCCAATGTGCTTCCCAGACTTGCGAGAGGGCGGTAATGACAATGTCAACAACGGTTAAGCGTTTCTTTCGTGAATAATCTATTCTGGAGAAGTTTAGTGTAACAAGTGCCTGAATAATATCTTCGACAGTGGTCGTAGGCCAAAGAAATTCGAAAATGAGATTGTTCCAGAAAAACTTCTTTGGTGGACAATAGAAAAGGAGATGTTGTTCATTTTCAAGATGAATAGTGCAAATTGGACAAGGAGGCGAGGGAAACGCATCAGGAATTATAGAGTGAAGAAACTGTCTTGTGAGTAGCTTGGAAACAAGGAATCGGTACAGCATATTACGAGCAACCGGCAGCAGAGACCAGCTCCAAAAGTCGACCCAAAAGGCACTAGCGATAGCTTGCAAGCGTTCTGGAGAAGATGTAGCACTCTGGCAAGTTAACCAAAACTCCTTTGTCGATACCCTGATAATTGGTCCAGTCAGAGTCGCAAATTGGAAGGAGTTTACAAATGGAACAAAAGATAATGATGGTGTTGATGGTACAGTAGACAATACCTCTACAGTAGGAGGTTGGCAGTATTTGACAAAGAAAGGGAAGAATTGGTACTTGTTACTTTCTATCCCTCGGATGATCTGAAGATAGAATTTTTTGAGCTCTTGCGGAATATGATCTGGATGTTTCCAATGGATTGACTGAAGATCTTGGCTGAACAACATAAATGCTTGAACTGGAACGAATTGAATCCTTTTAGGTAATGAAGGAAGTCGTGGTCTTAAAGATTGTAAAATGACCTTCATCGGTAAACTAAGACATGCTTGGTGAGATAGTGTCATCTGGCCAAAATCTCGAGGCAAGCGATCTACTGCGGCATATAACAGATCGATTGTTGAAATACGTTTACCGCATCCAAAGTGAGAAGTTCTAGTGTGTCTAGCCAAAGGAAAGAGCAAAAAAATAGCCACCTCATAATAGCCAGAAATATTTCGAATGCGCCTTGCGAGTATACGATATCAGTGTGCATTGGTAGAGTGATTCAACAGAGGGAAGATCCAGCGACCACAAAGCGCATCTCTTTGCAATAATGGATCAAGAACTCCCAGACCACCATCTTCTTTCGGCAGAGTCCAAGTCGACCATCTACTGGAAACATACATATATTAAACTAGCTCTTTTTATTCAAAAAACGTCATTGCTTCTATTAAATTATGCAAAGGGCATTTTGCTTTTTAAACTAGACGCATCGTCTCTATCAAAAAATGTGCACTCAAATAAACTATTACGCCTATTTGTGGGTATTCAGACGTGCTAAATGCTTACAAACAGTGTTTACTATCACATGGTTTTTTAGGAGTTGTTTGGATAAAAAAAAAGCGATTTGCAAAATTTGACCAAAATGACCTTTTCGACTAGAGTACTACTTATGGAAAAATCTCAATTTGACGCCACAAGACGAAAAATGAAATCATTGACCAGCCTAAATACTAAAATTGACTGCCAGATTCTCTAGTTTTTGCTCAAAGTGTTCAATTAACAGTTATATTATGAAAATGATGAGATATGAACAGAAAACTCTGTAAACATTTCTGCCTATTTATGCAGAAAATTTGCTAAGTTCTTTATATAAAAAGGCTAAAAAAAAGATCTACAACTCTTGTCACTACAGCAAAGCCCAATAACCGCGTCTTTATGCGTTTCGCAGCAAAGGCTCCATTTTTATTATGGCGACAAGTATCGGAGTTGCCTTCCAAGTCAATCTTCGAACACTGCCATCTGGTATGTTCTGTGTCCATTTGCCCCCACATTTACAGCATAAAATGCCTTTATTTTTATTCTTATATGTTCTTTGGCACTTGAAATAGCATAAGATGCTTTAGAAAGGTCGATTTCTAACACGTTTTATATGATCTGTAGAACTAAAAATGCTCAAGACACAATTTTAACAAGCCAATCTTTGATGTCCCATTACTCGACAACCAGACTACCAAAACGACTCCTTTTTTTTTATATTTAAAACATGTCCTTTGGAACTAAAGAATCGAATGGTACCATTGGTTTGGTTGTTTTATAATTTTTTTTTTGACCCATGGAGGATCACGAGGGCTTGTGAAGATGAAAAAACAAAACTCGATCAGAAAATTTTGGAATAACCCAATGTAGGTCTGATCCAACCTCTCAATGATTGCTTATACGTTCCTTTTTTTTTTCAGTCTGTCCACGTTACGCCCCTCTGTGATGTGTAACTAAAAAAACATATTTTGAATAAAAAAAACTTTATACAAAAAAAAAAAAAACTGATCCAACCAAAATCAGATAAGACCATGTCCAAATACTTCCAAAAAAAAAGAAAGCGAGTCTACTAAGATGAAGACATCGACTTGGTTTGAGCATTGGCTTCAAATCTGCATTCAAAGCTTATTGCACATTGGAATTGATAGAAAAATGACCTTTTTTAATTATATAGGACAACAAAAAAGCCCTAAATTTTACACCAAAAGATGTTCAAAATATGTGCGAGTAAAGTGTACTATAATGTTTAACACTTTTGATGGCAAAGAGGGCATCTTTGGACATAATTTATAATGGATATCTTGTAGGGAAGGGTTGGCTATTTCAAACACCAATATTTTTTCTTCTTACCATCTCTCAATGATTTTTTTTAGGTGAGTGGCCCATTATGCTTTCAATCTCTGGAGGTGAGCCATTTCTGTATGGATGATATTTTGATGCGCCAAAGATGCACAAAATCAAAGAGACAGCCAAAAAGTCTATTAAAAAAATAAAGAGAAAGCACCGAAGTGCTTAGAAATAGGAGCAAAAAGGTAGAAACCATATGTATCTTTTATACATAGGCTTGACAAAAGTATGCAGCGTAGCTAAACGTCGCTGTCTTATGTCCATTTGCTCTGTTACCACATTGTAGATGGACTATATTTTTACTTTCCTATGTTCTTTTGCAATCTAAAAATGTTTAGTATCTTTCAAAAGTCCATTGCTAACACATTTTATACTGTGTCTTGTACAAAAACACTTGGAAATGCTCAAAACGCAGCTTAAATGTACTATTCTTTGATGGACCATTACTCGACAACTGCATTATTAACAGCGCTGGGGGAGAAGGTTAAGAAAGATATGTTTTTTCAAACCTAGAAATTAAAAGACATAATTGAATTGGTAGTTAAATGAAATTTATTCTTTTAAATCATCTTTCATTTGATAAAATGATTGATTTTTTGGTGTGATAAAAAACCTGTGTCTCGTTATAAAGCGATTTTTTTTAATCATTTATTCTTGCTCATTATCTTTAATACGACTTGATATGCTGTTCAATATACGGATACCATTATCCATCATATCTCCACTAAAAGTACGAACATTTTTACCAAGAGTAACCATTTTGCTGAAATCAAATAGTTCTTCCTCTTCGCTTTCATGGTTTAGTGATGATGATTCGTTGATAGTCTGTGGTTTTTTAAACTTTGGAAGCAACGTATCTAACGCTTTTTCAAGGCCTTCACTAAGATTTCAATATAAGCATTCACCATAGTCGAAATACATTTTACCTTAGGCTTTCTGATTTGGGTCGACTCATTGAACCTTGTGGATCGTCTTCTACGCTCGAGATAATGTTCTTTTTAATCAAAGCTAGTTTTTCTGTAAAATCATCAAGCTTGTCTCCTAATAAGCTTTGAGCTGCTGCTACAACAGAAGATTTATCCAATGAACTTGTGTTTGACAAGGAGGGTATTGGTTGGGGTATCGAGTCTTGACGTGTATCATGATGAATCAACATAGGCGGTGATGGCGAATAAGATGCTTTTGTCAAATGAGTAGCTGGAAATGTATATTGTTTGAAAGGTGTTGGTATCGTATCAAGTTGCACTAGTTCTTGAGATGCATGCGTCTCCATTTGACAGACAATTGTTTCTTCTTCCTGTCGTGGTTTAATAGCAAACACTCTACCACCTGCGTTCATGACTGGACCATCATCAAGAATGGCCGAGATACGATGCTCAGACAGGGACTCAGCATCATCTTCATAAAAGCTGCCTTTTGTCTTTGCATGAATACTAGGGCCATGAAATGAATCTTCATCGTCTGTTTGATCATAGTATTGGTCTAATTCCTCTTCTTGTTCAGCCAACAAGGCTTCTATACTGACAGGCGAGGGTTGATTTAGATAGTCATCCATGGTGTTCATGAGTCGTATCACACCAGTACGATTACCCCTTGTTTTAAAACCAAGACAGCATGAAAAACAGGTTTTTGAATACGCTTCTTCTTGTGAATATTGTGTTGAACTGTCTTTTTTGTTGACAAGACAAGAAGCGAACAAGCTCATTGCTTTTTGCTTTTCGAGATGAAAAAGTAAAAATAAAAAAAAAACTCATTTATTTTATAGTAACATTGAATTGAGTTGTGTAACTTGATTTACACTTGATGCACAAGTCCAGTGCCTAAAGCTGTTATGAATACTTTGATATTGCATGTGGTACTTACCGTCAATTCCATTATAATAAAACCAATTCTGAATAGGCAATTCATTAGCAGACAGAGTTCTCAAGATATCTTGTGCTAAAACACCACCCACAATAGCAGCCACTGGAGCAATTTCTGTATCAAATAACGATGCTAGTTGTCTAGATAGGTGTTGAGTTCAATTGAGTGATTCAAACTAACTTACCTAAGCAACTCATTATCTAAAACACTTTGGTCTTCAATTCCCATGTTTTTAAGGTATTGAGGTTTGTTTTGAATCAAGGTGTCTATGTCTTGTTCAGTGGGTGATCGTTTGTATTCCTTTTGGAATTGAAATAAGACTAGAAGGAAATACATGAAATACATGTTATTTAACTGATGTGTGTACGTGTGTGTGTGTGTGTATTTACTATGGATAAGGAAAGTCATGGGTGTAATTCTTCTTTTTAAGACTTTGATTCTCATGTCTGACCAGTTCTTTTGTAGAGAATCATTGAAGCTAGTGTATGTTGCTACTTGTTCTATCTTTTGAGCAACAGGCGCTTGCTTTGAATTAAGCTCTAACTTCTTTTCTCTAGGCATAATGAATGATAAATAACATAAGAATATACTTACACAATATACGTGTGTTCTGTCAGATCACAAAAGATATAACCAAACCATCCAAATGTATCAGCAGCATAAAATGGTTTCTTTACGTTTCGTCTTATTTGGTCAATATGAGTCTAATCAAGTCAATGTCATGACATTAGTATGTATTTCTTACAATAAAATCATGATCTGAATGGACCAAGCAAACAATATCAAACGATTCAAAATAAGCATCTGGCTTTTCTCTCATGTCTTGTTGATCCACAACCACTTCCACTCGAGGATTCAAATTCTTGATACTAGCTGATGCTGCTTCTGCTTTCTAATACCATAAGATGTCAAGATGTGGTTTCATGCTATCTTACATTTTGTCCAATACATGTTTCGTTTATAAGAAACTGGCCGCCTAAATCAAATGCTGTTACTGTTTCATGGTCTAGTAATGTAATACTGGCAATGCCTGCTAGCACAAGGTTCTTGCATACTTCGTTGCTCAGGGCCCGCATACCAGCCATAAGAATACGGGCTTTCCTGATCCTACTTTAAAAGGTTAGGTTGTTTGTATGTTGTATGTATCTTTTAACCTTTGTTGAGCGTCAAGACCCCATAATCTAATTTGGCGGTCATAGATAGCAGCTTCATCTAATAAGTTTTTTTTCTTAGTCAAGTATGGTACAAGTTATATTTACCTTTTGAAATTTGTTCTGTCATATAAAAAAAAAAAAAGAAAAGAAAAAAAGACGCGTTTCGCGTAACTTGCAAAATCAGAACAAGTCACCTTCTGATTAGCCCTTTGTTACACATATTAACGTAAAGTGTTTATGCAAGTCTATCATCGTACTAAGTGAGTATAATGAGCACACGCAATATAGAGCCATTTATTTTTGTCTTTACTGCATAACTATATAATGAAATGAGATGCTTTTTTTTCTTTTTTGGTTGCAAAAAGAAAAAGAGGAGTGATATATATATATATATATATAAAAGAGAATGGATTCCAGGAGTTTATTCTTTTCAGAGTAATGAAATAAACCATTCTCTTTTCTTTTATAGCAAATGAATTGATTCTTTTATTGAACAGGATAGAACGACTTTTTTGTTTAAAAAGTAGAATGGATTGAATATAGAGTTTTTTATTTCTTTATTTTCTTTCATTTCTTGACCAGATTAAGGAGACAGGTTTATACATAGTTCAAAAGGGGAAGCATATATAAGTTTCTGAGAGAGAAGGAAGGAAAGGGGGAAAGGGAAGGCATATAGCTTAAAAAAGATCAAGAACATACTCTCTCTCTTTTCTTTCTTTCTTTTTTTTACTTTTCAAACAAGCCCATTATTATCAGTACAAATAAAGCAAAGAAGTTTATTTTCTTTTTATTATTATTATCAACATGAAATTTTTAATCCTTGGTTTTGCAGCCATGGCACACCTTGTACTGCTTATATCTGCTAATCCTGTTCAAAAGATACCTCTCTATAGACGAACACATCATGGATTCCGATCTACCAAAGCAAAAGAACTTAAAAATGGCATGTTGGGTGGAACTGTCCAGATTGGCAACCCACCTCAACTGTTTACGTTGGCATTTGATACGTCCAAGGGCTTCTCATGGGTACGCACTGTCGATTGTCAAGCAGAAAACTGTCATCACCGTTGTGCTCTTGATCCTCGTCGTTCAACCACACTCATAGATACCCAATTGCCTTTTACCATGCATTATGGTAAAGGTGTGGTCAATACTACTGTCTTTTTGGATACGTTTCGGTACGGTGGTCTGACCGTACACCAGATGCCGTTTGGTGGTGCTTATGCGATGGACAAGTTCGACGAAGGATTCGATGGGTTTCTTGGTCTTGGTCGAAATATAAATTTGAATGTATCGATTCACTATGCAAAGCGAGATCTCCCTGCTTCAGGATTTGTTCCCAATGCTTTTCAGCAAAGTGCTGGCCTACAGAGTGCTCAGTTTGGTATGTACACAACCAACGTAGTTCATGGATTTTCCTCTAGTGGTTCATTGTCGAAAGATGAAATGCAGCAACAAAAAGAACAACCTTCAATTCAACAACTATCATATACTCCATCATTATCTATTCCATCATCATCTACTCCATCATCTCAACCTATTCAACAACAGCATAATCAACCAACAAAACCATCGAGTGTAACATCAGGCGGCATTGGTTCTTTATCAAAGCGTCATTACAAAGAACAAGAAGAACCTGCAGGCTATCTTGTTATTGGTAATTTTTTTTCTCCTCTTTTTTTTTTTTTTTTTATTATTAGTTGTATCCCCTTAATATTAGATATTTATATCATTTTCTTGTTTAGGTGGAATAGATCGAGACGCTATTCAAGGAAACTTGTTCCATATCCCTTTAAGTGCTAATGAATGTGATGATCATTGGGCTGTTCCTGTCAAAGAAGCCAAATTTGAAGACTCTTTCCATATCGATTCTCATGCCAAAGCCATCCTAAGTACCTCGACTGATGTCATTGGACTACCTTATCAACAAGGTAAAATAATACCATACAAACCCACTTTACTGACTCATTCAATAGCTCAAGAATTTAAAGAACGTTGGTATGCTGTTTACGATGAACAAGACAATACGTTTATGATACCTTGTTGTTTAATGCAACAATTGACGTCTTTCAAGATTCGTCTGGGCGATATTCATGTGGTTATCCCACCTCATTATTGGAGTTATCCTCGTCAAGTCGATAGTTGCTGTGAGCTATGTCGTACACACATTGGTAAAAGTGAATCAGACACTGATTTTGTGATTGGTTCTTCTTTTACCAATGCTTTCTATACTCAATATGATGCTGAGCAGGAACGCATTAGTTTAGCTCTTAAAAAGAATCATCACCATGATGGACTCAAGGTCTATCAAGCTTAAAATTGCATTAAACCTATGTGTAACTCTTTTTATGATGTGATGGAGTTGGACTGCTAAAAACAATGAAAAAAATTTTTCTTTTTTACGCTTCTATTTAAACCTCCCTCTCCCCCCTTGTCTTTCGTCCTTTTTTTACTCTTTTCATTTTTTTAAACATGGTTGCCTAGTAAGTTTTTTCTTGAAAAGAAAACACAAGCTATAAATTGAATATGCACTGGTTTCTTTTGACTAGAGAAAAAGATCCAATGTCTATTCATAAAAAAAAAGACTCTACTTTATGTTGAAACATAAAGGCTTTGAAGTTTAGTGACATTCATGTCATTATACTTTTAAAATCATTGTGTTCGTGTTGCATTCAGGAATCTTTCATCTTTACAAATCATTTGAAAATTCTTGCTGAGTGCCATGTAACTTATAACATGCTTTTTGTTTTCGGTTATTTCAAAACCAACATAGCATGAATATCATGTACTTATTTGTTTCATAGCAACGTACCTGCTGCTCAAGACGTCCTTGTACCTGAGACTCTCTTGAAAAAGAGAAAGTCTGATGCTCAAGCTGCTACCAAGCTGGCTACTCAAAAAGCTGAACTCAAGAAGGCAAGTGTCTTTTCTTACTGAACTCGCTTTCTTTTTATTTTTTCTTTTATTTTTTATGTGATGAACAGGGGAAACCCATCTTAATTGGCTAGATTGCACTCGATGCTGCCTAATTAGTTAACCATCTTTCGGGGCTGATATATAAAAAAAAAAAAGAGAAAAAAAAAAGAAAAGCAACTTTTATTTTATATCCTATTTTGATATATTAACCTTTTACTACTTTTAGGCCAAGATCACAAAGCGACGTGAACTCTTCAAGCGTGCTGCCAAGTACGATGCTGAATACAAGGCTGCTGCTCGTAACGAAATCCGTCTCCGTCGTCAAGCCAAGGCTCAAGGCAACTACTACGTTCCTGCTCAAGAGAAGCTTGTTTTTGTTGTCCGTGTCCGCGGTATCAACAACATTGCTCCTAAGCCTCGTAAGGTGCTTCAACTCTTGCGTCTTCTCCAGATCAACAACGGTGTCTTTGTCCGCCTTAACAAGGCTACCTCTGAGATGCTCCAATTGATCCAACCCTACGTTGCCTATGGTTACCCCAACTTGAAGACCATTCGTGAATTGATCTACAAGCGTGGTTACGGTAAGGTCAACAAGCAACGTATCCCTCTCCATGACAACGCTGTGATTGAACAAGCTCTTGGCAAGTACAACATCATCTGTGTTGAAGATCTTATTCACGAAATTGCTACTGTGGGTCCTCACTTCAAGGAAGCCTCTAACTTCCTCTGGCCCTTCAAGTTGTCCAACCCCAACAACTTGTGGAGAGAACGTAAGTTCCTCAACTATGTTGAAGGTGGTGACACTGGTAACCGTGAACAATTCATCAACAAGTTGGTTCAATCCATGAACTAAGTTCAAATCATAATAAATTCCCCTTTTCATCTGTAAATAATAAAAAACTCGCATCTTTGTCTATACAAACCCCCAAATGCCATTTTTACTCAAAGGAAATATAATAACAACAATGTCATCAGCTCTCTTTGTCATGTTGACAATGGGAGTATATATATATATATATATATTTGTCTGAGTTGAGAATTGGGTTTTTATTCTTTTTTAGGAGTCTCAATAGGTTTTCGACCAGCACCGACAACACGAAGACGATATAACCATAATTCAGCCCGTTCAATTGTGTCTGAAAACACATGAGCGACTGAACTAATCATCTCGAGTGACTCATGGCCAAAATCAAGCAACTTCATGGATGTTTCATGGATATCTTGAGTAGGTGTAAGGGAAGGAGAAGCTGTAGGGGAACTTGCTTTGGATGAGTTCAGCATAGCCCATCGTGTAGGCAATGCCAAGATAAATCCACGGACAGCTACTTTGGCCTGTTCAGGCAAACCAGAGCCTGCGTATTTCGATATCACATCCACTACTTTACGTAATGTATCGACCATTTCTCGTTTGATCTCTGTGACTGTAGAAGGTGGATCATCGTTCTCTTGAGATAAAAACCGACGCAATAATGTCATTTGTTGAAATATGTGTTGTGAAGCATAATGTAGCCAACTAAGGCAGTATTTAAGGCATTTCATGCTTTCTTCACTGATCACAGCTGCTGTTGTACCTGCTGCAGAAGAAGCATGCATGACAATTTGATGCCATTTACTCTTTTGATGATGATGATGATGGTGGTGATGATGACGAATCGTATAAGGTCTGTGAGGTGAAGTTGATCGAGAAGATGAATGACGAGAACGACTTTTATGTGTGTCTGTAGAGTCTCTTCTTTTTCGAATACCTTCTGTATCCATCAAAGAAGCACGTGAAAGAGCAAATGTAGCAGATCGAGCATCGTCATCTTCTTCTTCTTCCTCTTCCTGTTCTTTTGTTATTTGTTGAATAGGTGTCACATAATCAGGATATCTTTCTTCCAACTATATATACACACAAATCAGTATCAGTATCAACCATATGGATCTATCTTTTACCTTATCCAATTGTTTGCATCCCCATGCATCTACATTAGATAATGCTGGTTTCCCAAATTTATCATAAATAGGAGCAGCAAATGATTCGACCATTTCAGCACCATATTTCATGACAGAACTTGAATTCTTTGAGTTTTCATACACACGTAATGCTGAATTCACAAGAGGAATATTCGATACTCGATGAATAAAATTAGGCTGTCTTGTATCCACATGATTCTCTACCATGGTTGTCTCACTACTGAATGATAGTCTGTCTATATGAGGTGTGGTTAATGGAGAACTAGGTGTGGTAGATGGTGTAGAGAGTGGTGGTAATTTTCTTGTCTCTAATCTGGCCATATCACCTAATACTTCAGCAGCCATTTTAACATCAGGATCATCTATATGAACAAGTTGGTGAATAGACATGGGTGAGGATTGATGGTGTGTCATGATTGTATATATGAAAAGACAAAAGAAAGAAAAGGAGTTTTTTTTTTTGTTTGGGGGAAGAAGAAGAAAAAAAAAAAAAACCATGTGAAACTGGATCTATTTTATTTTCACGTGTTAATCTATTGATTGGATAAAGGATCAATTCAACCCCAATCTTTTTTTTCTTTTATTATATTTTTATGACAAGACAATGTAAATAAGTAAACCTTTGTATATATATATATATATATATGTAACAAACTTAGATTATTGTGATTTCTGTCAGTGTAGTTTCCCTGATAATCCAACCAATCGATATAATCATCAACAAGGGCAAATACATATTCAGAATAGAAAATTACATTATGATTGGTATAAAGGTAACCATTTTTATAAATAATAATAATGATCTGATAAAATCAATAGATCCACACGTGTTTATTCAAGAACAATTAGATAAACCACCATGTCATTATTATTATCAATCAGGGTATTGTGAATATGGTTTATTATGTAGATATAGTCATATCACATTCAATCCTTCTACAGGTAAAGTGGTCTATACAGAGAAATACATTAATGATCAAGGTCATATTGTATATCCACCTGAAATCATACACTGGTTTAAACTACATCCACAAGACACAATCACATCCAATTCAAAAAGAAAAAGATATCGATTGCCTTCAGGTTGGAAAGTAAAAGATTTACCCCCTTCATTGAAACCACCACCTTCAAAATATGGTTATGATTGGCAATCTATAGGTCATTGGGAATCATCATAAAATAGACACGTGTTCTTTCTTTTTTTTTTTTTTTTCTTTTTTTTTCAATGATGCAATTACCAAGATTATTTCATACGTGTCTCCCTAGACACAAAGCCTTGTTTGATACATTTAAACTAGCACAAAAACTAGAAAAAGAAGGATTTACAAGACAACAAAGTGAGGCAATCATGGATTCATTACAAAAAGTGATTTCTGAAAGTATGTCTGATATGACGCATAGGATGGTGACGAAGGCAGAAAGAGAAAAGGTAAAAAAGAATAAAAAGAATACATGACTCAAATAACATAAGGCTATTTATGCCTATAAAGTGGATTTTGCTAAACTCAAGACAGAAATTCAACTATTGGAAAGAAATGATTTCACACTCATGAAGACAGACAATGACCGATTAGAAAACGAATTAGAAAAACTAAGGCAACGATTAAGAGAAGAAACCACACGCGCCAAAGCCAATGCAAGACTGGATCTCAATCTAGAAAAAGGACGTGTTCGTGATCAAGCCAGTCTACATGAAATCAAGATTAAAGAGACAGATACACGTATTGAGAGTGAAATTGCTGGTCTAAGAACACAGATGCAAACCATTAAATTTCAAATTATGCAATACATGATTGGTACAATGACTGGTGCTGGTGCTTTATTCTTGGCTTATCTTCGTATGTTTAAATAGCATTTTCTTTTTTTTTTTTTTTTTTTTTTTTTGTTTCTTTATCGACCATATTTCTGCCAATCCCATTCACGATTGTCAAGAGGACATACCTGACGACTCTTTAACCAACGTGATATACAATGAAAGTGAAATGCATGCTAATAAACCTATCAGATCCAAACATAATTCAAACGACTTACATTACAAACACCCCATGCAACTGTACATTCTTCTGAAGTAGCTGATGCTTGATTAGCTTGACATTCAATACCTACATCAGGTTAGCATGGTTATAGTGTCTCTCTCTCTCTCTTTTTCTTTCTTACATAAATCCATGATATGGTTTCTACAGATAGCACAATTGTCTACAACAATATCTAATAACGTTGATCAGTTTATGATACAAATAGGATCATTGTTTCTGTACCCCAAGCCCAAAGAGCCACTGCATTCCACTAAATTGAATGAGAAAACAAAAAAAAAAACAAAGAGATATTTACCTTCTTAACTTCAAAACGAGGGTTGCCTTCTTTTCCTTTACCCTTGACTTCCTCAACAACAGTATTGTCTGTTGGAGGATCAATATCCATAGGTGTAGACATAATAATAATTCAAAAAAAAAAATATGAAATAAAAGAGAGAGAATAAAGAACGCGTCAGCTTTAAAATAAAAGAATCGGTATTCAAAATGCAAAACTCATAAATAGGCCATAATGTGATGATATATTTTCTTCTTCTTTTCTTTGATTATTAATCATGTCTAACAAATCATTACAAGGTGCTTGTATGTGTGGTGCTATTCAATTCAAATTGAAAGGTCTACCAAAGAAATCTGCTATTTGCCATTGCTTGGATTGTCAAAAATCAGCAGGCAGTGCTTTCCAAACATCCAGTGTTTATGCAGCTTCAGATGTGGATATCATAGACCCTGAAGGCCATTTGAAGAAATATGTCGTGCCTGGTAATAAAGTAGGTAGTGGCCATGAAAAGCACAAGTATTTCTGTGATGTCTGTGGCTGTCCTGTCTACAATATGCCCATGAAAGAAGAAGGCAAGATCATGGTGATCAAGACAGGTTTGATTGATGCGGAAGAAGGCAAAGGTGGTCTTCATGCTTACAAAGAACTCAAACCTCAAGCTGAACTCTTTACGCGTTCAAGAGCAAACTACCTTAGTGCCCTTAATAATGTGGATCAATTTGATACTGGATTTACACCCACGAAATAAAGACTGTTTTGTTTTATTCTGGCATTTCATAGCCTTCTTCTGCCATCCAGATAGACACAAGACGAATACATGCTTGTGCAATCATGTCTTGTTCTAAATCATCTCTTGTATCTTGCATAAACTTCAGTAGTTCCATCACCACATCCATCACATCAGACAGTGTATTTCTCAGCTTGAGTAACATGTCTGCATCCATGCCTGTAGATTCATAATGAAAAGAAAGGTATTCGAGTGCTGCTTCCAGAATTTCAAAGTACATGGGAATCATGGCTTCTTGTCTTGCTTGTCTTGTCTTGTTCACAATTGTTTTCCCTTCATTCAGCTCTCTGTTGAGTCGATCATTGATGTCATCCAACATCACTTTTGTCTCAATAGAGACCAAATGAATCAAGAGAGCAGGGAAATGGGCTATGGCAAATTGTTGGTGAGCAGGGCTATGGTCTGTTGTCGCTTTCTCTTTCTTGCGTCTGGCTAATTTAGTGTCTTGTAAGGATTTGAATAGCCAATGATGACCAAAATGACGTAAGAGACATGCAATAAGTGTAAATGCTTGGTCTCTTTGCTCATCGCCTTGTGAATGAATGAGTCACTCAATGGTGTTATGCTTTGACTTACGTAATTTACTCGTCAGTAATTGTCGAAGCCCATGAAGGCATGTATCTAACCACCCATCTAACTTGTTTGCTTGTTCCTTTTTCACTTGTTGCATCATCTAATCATAACGTCAATCTACTGGGTTATCTACAGTTTTCTTACTTCAGTCGACATATGAGGCAAGACAGCACTCAAGATATGCAATGCTTCAAACTTGAGTTGTTTTTGATCTTGATCTAATGTGTCTGTCATGATCGAGATCAATGTACCAAGTGAATATTTAGTGGCTGAATACAGACTAGGTATCTTTTGGTTGGCTAGACATTCAGATGAATGTCGATAGACAGACACAATCAGAGCTGTACATTTCTCTCTTTCTTGTTGTTCATCTGTATTCAATAAGACATGAAACACATTCTTGAGGACATCAGGATCCAACATGCGCACTAGTCCTTCTTTCTTGATAGCTATATGGATCAATAGATCAAGAATGTCTTTTGAAAGTGTATCATGAGGTATCAACAGTCGAGATAAAGCAGGGATCCTGTCTGCCATGTCTTGTTTAATTGCCAAGTTATCATAATGAGCAAAACAACTGAGGACATTGACAGCTATTTCTTTTAATACAGGATCAGGTATTTGTGCATCCGCAGTTTGATCTACAAGACGATCATTAGGTTTGTCTCATTGGGCAATCGACTTACTGGTGCGTAATAAGCGTTCGATAAACTTGAAATTCATGCCTTGAAAAACGCGTTCAATATCTTGAGGTTTGTTTTGATCAAGGAGTTTAGGCAGGATCAACATCCCAACAAACTTAGATTCATCAGAAGCTGAAGGGACAATCATCGATAGACAACGATCAATCTCGGCTGTCTTGTCTCTTTCTGAACTTGATATGGTTTCCATTGTATGTATAAAAAAAAAAAAAAAGAAAAAAAATTGACAGCTGTGTTGATAAAAAAAAAAAACAATACTGCCTTTATTATCATTCAAAGACTCTACATGCTTGTCCTACAAAAAAGAGAAAGAGAAACACATATTCATCATATACAAGGAAAACAATAGCTCATGTTGAACAACAAACCTTATTGTCATTATTATTCTCGAATTGAACAGTAAGGATTGAGAGCATGGACTCCTTTGTGTAAATAAGCTTATGTATCGTATTGAACCAATAAGCTTTTCAAGACAAGTCCATTTTCTATTTTCTTAATTGACTCTTTAAAGATCAATTTACTTTATTCAGTAGATCGATTTGTAACCAAGTAATACAAAAAAAGGCACTATGTGAAGCTCTGTTATGTTATTGGAAGCCATGACTTGGTTGTACTAAACTCTTGTATCTCGATCAAACATTAAACGCAACATAAACTCAAAACGTGCCCACTGAACATCAAACAGTGTATAAAAGCATTCAATTTGAATCTTAACTTCTTAAACTTCCAATGGTCCAAATCACTCTTCACGCTCTTTTTACTGTTGTTGCTATCGCAAGTACTGCTCATGCTTTAAGCACGCATGAAGCACGTCGTTATGAACACTCTAAGCGTGCTGCTCCTACTGGTAAAGCCTTTGATCATATCCTCCAAATCTGGTTTGAAAATAAGGTAAATAGTCATTCCATACATCCCATGCATGCTCAACCTGTTATCAAGGACTATGACACCATTGCCTCTACGACTGATTTTGCCAAGTTGCAAAGCGAAGGTATTCTCTTGACCAACTTCAATGCCATTCGACACCCTTCTCAACCCAATTACATTGCTGCTGCTGCTGGTGATACATTGGGTGTGACAGGCGATGGTGTGTACCATCTCTCGGCTGACAAGACATCGATCTTTGACTTGCTTGAAAAGAAGGGATTGACTTGGAAGTTGTATCAAGAAGACATTCCTTCTGTTGGCTATACAGGTGCCAAGTCTGGGGATTATGTTCGTAAGCATAACCCTGCTATCAGTTTTGATGCGATCGCTAATGATCCTAATCGTGCCAAGAATATTGTTGGAGGTAAGTCAAAAAAAAAAAGGAGGGAAGTACTGACATGATTGATGAAGCCGATCAACTTCAAAAGGACATTAGTGCCAACACTGTTCCCAACTGGATGTTCTTTACGCCTAATTTGAAAAATGATGGTCATGGTAAGTCCCTATGTCATTGATCGACTGAGGATTCATGATGTTTTTTATAGATACCACTGCTGCTTATGCTGGTAAATGGCTTAGTAACTTTGTTAGCTCTACTTTGTACAGCAATCCTGACTTTTACAAAAACACATTTATTTTGATTACCTTTGATGAGGTAAAGGGGAAAAAAAGGGCCTCCAAAAGAGAGATACAAAGCTCACCTTTTTTTTTTTTGAATAGACGGCTAGTTACTTTAGCAGAAACAAAGTCTGGTCTCTTCTTTTAGGAAATATTCCTACTGATAAGAAGGGTACAACTGACAATACTTTTTACTCTCGTAAGTGATCCTAAACTTAACAAACATGTTGACTCATGAAATACATATTTAGATTATTCTACGCTCAATACGGTTGAAGTAAGCAAACTAACTTTTTTTTTTTGTGAATGATCTTAACCATGTTTATGATAGCTTAACTGGGGACTTGGCAATTTGGGTCGTCAAGATACAAACAAATTGATGTCTAATGTGTTTAGTTATGCCGCTGGTGCTTTGGGCTACACTAATATGGATGTTCCTACCAGTAGCATCCCCAAAAACAATTAAAAAAAAAATAGCTTAGTCATAGCTTTTATGCTAAATAAAAAAAAAATTGATTGTCTATTTTCAACATTGAAATAGTATAGCTTAAGTTGGCTTAGAATAGCGTTACTATTTAGATAGGGTTGGATGGTATTGTCAAATAAGATCCTTTTGATAAAGCTTTAAAGCTTGGTGTAAGTGGTCTTAATAAGTGCCATAGATCCGAAGACTTGGCTAGCTTGGTGTAGGAGTCTCTTCTAAAGAACGTTTGAGTTAGTATTCTCATGTCAAGAACTAAGAGGCGAGCACAATGTTTTAATGTATGTAGGAGAGTGAATAAAACAATAGAAAAATGTCAAGAAAACAGTAGATCACTACTGGTAGCGAGGGAAGAAGAACATAGACTATCTAAAAGCAATTACTCTTTATCTGAAAGCAGTTATAAACCAATAGGTGCTTGGTGTAGAAAGGTTGAAGCTTCAATGGAGAAGTTGTAAAAGACCAGTCGTCAAGGTACTTTCCAGGCCTGTGAAAGGGATGAAATGACAATATCTATTACTGTTAGATCTTTCTTCGGCGAGTAATTAATGTAAGGAGAGAAGTGCTTGTATAATGTCCTCAATAGTGACAGTAGGCCAAAGAAATTTAAGGATAATGTTTTTCCACAGAGGCAGAAGAGGGTGTTATAGATTTCTTCGTGTCCAATTGTTGATTCAAATTTGATCCATTACGTCTTTCTCTTTTCTTCATAACAAGGTGATCTTTTAATTGCTGGCTGACGCTGTACATCTTGGTATCCTTATGGAGGTCTTCAATCTCCATCCTGTCTATATCCTCGTCTCCACTTTCTATTTCAGATTCATCTTCTTCCATGCTCTCTTTCTCTGAAGGATCGTAATCACTATCGCTAGTGTCGTTATCATTATCTTTGTCGACATTGATCTCTATCTGGCCAAAGTTGCTACTTTTGACTTCGATATTGCTTTGCCCTTCAGGTTTGGATGCTTCTTTTCTTGGTTGAATGGTCTTTCCAAGAGCTGATCTTTCTCTCTTTGAACGCTTTCTGGGCGTCATAGACTGTTTCCTAGGACATTCAAACGAGTGGTGTCCTAATTGATGGCACGCATAACATATAATTCTAGCTTTCGACTTCTCACATTCAAATTTTGTATGTCTAGTTTGGTGGCAATACCTGCATCAAGTGGACATGTTGTTCCAGGTTGCGTAGAATATTTGGCTTTCGCTTTCGCATCAACGAATGTTATGCTCCAAAGGCTGATACTTGAGGTTGTCTGTTGATTCTGAGGGACCAGAAGGAATACCAATGACGGCATATCCTGCGCCCATAAACCATCCGGTGGTGGTTTCTGTATTGATTCCTACATCAATTACCTTTCCAAATGGAGCTAAACTCTGTTGCACGCCCTCAAGAACTACCCTTTTGGGACATAAAGGCAATTGTGATAATTTCACAGTAACAAATTGGAGTGTAGCATCTGCAGCCTTGCAAGGGAAAATTCGACTTTTTAAAGACAACACCATGCTCCATAAGATCATTGTCATCATCTTTTTCGATATACAATTCCAGGTACTGAGTTGGACCATCTCTCAAGTTGGAGCAAGCGTAGATATTTGGGTGTTGAGCGCTGATTTCCTGCATACACTGGAGATCAGTGTATTCTTTCTTAACTGGAGTAATGTCGAGTAAGAAAGCATCCTCATGGCTAGCTGCTCGATAAATTCTCGACTAAAATTCTCGCAAAAGTGAGTCTGCATCTTTGTCAGGTTCAACGATGCCTTGGTGTATGAGTGATACTCAGGTTCTAGCTGCTACACTAGCATATGATCTTAGTTGTTGGGTGGCTTTTAGGTTTGGAGATTTTTCAATCCCCCCGACCGTCTGAAAGTGTCGAGAGTTGGGAAGAGCCATGACGACACCTCTGGTGACCACTTCTCTCTTGCTTGAAACTTCGAGACACCCTAAACTAGGACATTTTTTTTTCTTTTAGGACATCCAAATTATCCAACACCATCGTATAACATTTACTTTTCATATAGTTCCTTTGTTACGTGCATTTCGGTTCTAGGTAGAAGTAAAAGTTCAAGAAGAAAACAAATTGCAAGCTTTATATTAAGGCAAGGGATCAGCTTAACTGGGTAAGCCTCGAATATTTCGTTATTAACTCTGCTTTTGTTTTGTTTCAAGTTATCTATTGAACAAGACAACAGTAATTATGAACGATTAGCACTCTCTATGTACGTACTTCCTACTGCATTGTTAAGTTGTTCAACGTATATCATCTTGTTATTGATTGGTAATGGCATTTAAAACTTCTCTTGTCAGTGACTATTCGCTTTAATAGAATTTATGGGGCAGATGAACTTTCACCTTCTCGTGGTTGACCCTGTTAATCAAAGGAAGACTCCTTTGAAACCAAGCAAAGTTCAATCACTATTTTCTTTTTTTTTCTTGCAATTTGAACGAGTAGCTGAAGACATTCTGTTGTAACCCTCCCGGAGGAGCTCTCACATTGCTGAGAAGGGCGCCGGTGTAGCCTTACAACAAGCGATGATTTCCTTTTATCTTATTTTTAGAGCCTTTTTTCTTGCAATTTGAACAAGTAGCTGAAGACATTCTGTTGTAACCCTCCCGGAGGAACTCTCACATTGCTGAGAAGGGCGCCAGTGTAGCAATAGTTTCCCTATAATTGCAAGATACACTTGTCCTTGATTCCACATCAAATGACTAAATATTTTAGTATAGATAGCCATCAATACTATAAGCATAACTGCGTTGGACTTACGATTTGCAGCAAAACCCAATTCGACCAGTCATAATCTGGTGGTCTTAATTTTTGAAGCCGTCCACAAGTTAAACTAATGTGGAATTTGTTAACACCAAAAATAAAATAATTTAAACAAACTCAGCATGTTCTAGGGATATCGCCATAAACTATCTTGGTAAATGACAAACACATTTAAAAGAATGGAAATGCGATTATCAGAGTATTATGTTTAGATGCCTCTAGTTTTTCCATTATCATCTTTAAATTTTTGAGTTTACAGTGTTAGCAAGCGGATGACTGAGGGTTGTATGTATTCGGCCACCAATCAGGTTTTTTTAGGCAATTCTTTCCCACCATAATATATACATATACATATATATATATATATATATATTGCAGATTACAAGCATATTAGATAAAAGACAAAGACGATACAAATAACGATTTATTGTTCAGTTCTTGAATAGCTTCTCTTTCTGCTATTTGTTTTAAGAGAACAGATGCTCAGGAGACAATCATATGCCAAGCTTGATTGACTAGTTGTGTCATTGAACACCATATCTTTAGTTTGTACACAGAATTCCTGATATAATGATACTATGTCGTACATAAAATCAAACTCGTTTATAGTCTTGTGCAGGTTGTCGTAGGTTGTTGGAAGTGTAATGGTGTCCAATTCAAGATTCACAGTGAGACCTTCGTACTGGTTAGTACTGATGAAGAAGGTGGTTTTTGGACCTACAATCATTTAGTCAGTCAAAAGCAAACAACTTCATATATGCAAACATACCAACAGTACAGAAAGAGAGGAAATGTGTAGTCTTCTTTTGATCCAAGAAAATCTTTGAAAAGATTGACACTCTTACTCGATCTAGCTTCACCAAATTCCAATTAGTGCTTGTCATCCTGGACATCAACGGCTCAATTTCGCCTATGCAGTTAGTGTACTTCTTTCTTCTCATGGTGGTCACAGTAGTACAATGGTCAGGCCTACAAGAAGTAACTGAATCCAAACATTCATCAGCACTTGAAAATATATCAGTATAATGCTAGATACTTATATGTAGATATACTTACTAATGAGGATTAAAAAACTTATTTGTTTTGAGTAAGCCTTGGATGAATGGGTTGATCAAAGAACCAGCTAAATCGCCTTCCTTGATTTCTTTTGGCATTTCAACTGTCATGCTATCAATGATATTTGTTGTAGCCATAACCATCCTTTTTGCAACCTTGTCTTCAATGTTCAAATTTATCAAATGTTTTTTTCAATCTTTCTTCATCTTCGTCATCTTCATAATCGTCCATTGCTGCTTTTATACGGTCCAACAATTCACCAGGAAAGCGTCTCTTTTTACCATAGATTTGCTTTCGAAGCCTTTGATTCAAGCTGTCTAGTAATGCTTCATCTGCAACATCGACGGCAACAGAACTCTCCTTCAGGTTTTTTGGAACAGAAAGTACGGAATACAAAGCCCTACAGAAGTTAAACTGTCATCAATATCACTGCTGATACTTTTTATGTGTCGTAGAAAAAAGCGACATACTGCGAAAACAACCAATTGAAGTTGAGCACAATCTTCCTTATAGCTACAATCCAAATAAGCGAAGGTTTAAACCTCAAATATCAAACAAGAGAAGAAAGAAGGTTAGACTGAATCTATCACGCTTAAGGAAGTTGCCTTTAGGAGACGCCAAGCTTGCGTGGCATTCGTCGAAAAAGAAGTAATCAATCAAGTTGAAGGATATAATTACTTCCTGCTTTATTAGTGATAGAATAGATATTTTAGTATAGAATAGAAAAGTATAAATACCGTGTTGTTGATGATTATAAGTTACTTATCAAAGACTTATAATATCAGAACACAGACGTCACTGCCTTCTAGAATATTTTCCAGTAATATCATTGGCTAGAAAATATTCTACCATCACCTGACCTGTACTATTGAACACAAAGCTTAAGAAAATATCAATTTGACATATGTTAATTTACTTACAAAAGCTTCTCATCATCATGTTGTATGTTTGCTATCTTACTATGCTTAAACTCTTGTAACAATCTGTTTTTTTCCTGGCTGAAGTTTTTAGAAACATCACAATCTTGATAAACCAAATGATGACTAGACTTCAAAGTGGGAAATATCATATTTTCAAGATTGAATGAGGATGTTGAATTCAAATTTAATGTGGTAGTGGAAGTATCCTGGAATAAATTAGTAAATTGGCATTTCTATCTAGTACTTGCTAAGGTTTTCCCTATGTTTTTTCTAATTATCTTACACTAGTTGTTGTTGTTGGACTTTCTTGTTCTTTCTTATCTTCTTCTCCTCTTCACTCTATTTTCATACCTCTCGCTTATCTTATAAAGTCTCTTTTGATGTTTTGTTGTTCTTCTTTAGAGATATTCAATACATTAAGTTGATCAGAGTGTTCAACGAGAAACACTCTGAAATGAGCAATGTTGTCCTTGGCCCTCTGCTTTTCCAAGAAGTTTCGGATCACTATAAATACAAGCTAAGACATACAATTCATTTATATGATACTTACACGAACTATTACTTGACATTTTCTCTTTTGACTATTTGACAACAGTATTAGACAAAGAAGCAATAGTAAGAAAAACAACGTAACAAATAGAGAGAAAGGTATGGAAATGATGCGCCTCTAGCTTTTATACATTTGTTTCAAGTAAGATCTTATAGCTACCGGACACTGGCGTATAATCGAGAAGCCCAGTGGCAATATCATATGTCAAATCAATAAATTTCTTGACAGAAAGACTTTAAATTGCTATATATTATATAATATTGCCACAGGGCTCCTCGATTATACACCAGTGTCCGGTATCCAAAAAAAATGTTACAACATTTTTTCTTATTTGATCTCACTTTTCTTTGATGTATGCTCAAACAAAAGAAATTCAAAAAAAGGGGGAATTAGAAGGTAGAAATGGCGATTTATTCTAAGAAACACTCGCACTTGCAGCGGGCTGCCAATACACTTTTGATGCTATTATGCTTATCGATTTTATCCAAGAATGAGCTGTAAGGAAAGCTATTTTACAAATCAAGATCGTATAATAAGTTTGATGCTCGAAAAAGACATAAAGTGAGGATTAGAAGCATACTAGGTGTGCCAAATGGAATCAAAAGCTATTTAGTAGTATGTTGATCTATGCTTAACTTGAATGATCATCGTATTGAACTCAAATTGGTCTATATTTAAGATGATATTCCTCTTTACATTCTATTCAAACATGCGTCGGTTACTGAAAAACCAATTGCATAAATTTAGTCTCAAGAAAGTCTTACATAATCCGAAAAAAAAAAAAAGGTTTTTTCAAATTCGAACCCCCCCTATGAAATCTAAAGCAGTTCTTTTGATTGGCTAAACATAATGTAACCATGAACGTGCCAGGCGAAACGAAACACGTTAGATAGTTCAAGACAAGTCACTGATCGCGTGGAAAACATTATTGTAAAACAAACCAAAAAATATTTAATTATTTACAATGATTGCTCTTTCGGCTTATGAGCAGAAATAAACGAATGAGGCCTTCTAACCACAGAAGCACGAGGCGTTGCTTTTGGCCGAACAGGGAATGATCTTCGAGGATTTTTCAAGTCTAATAACAAGATACCCGAGGGAGACATGCTAGTAATTTCCTCCTTCACGTTCTTTTGTTCTTTTTGTTGCTGTGTTGATCGCTGTAATTTAGCTCGAAGTGCTTCCATCACTTTATCGTGATCCAAGGGCAATTCTTCCTTGACTTTCTCGATTTCTTCTGTGGTTTCATTGCTAGGTTGAGATCGGTTTTTCTTGGCCAAGACTTTGATGGAAGGTTTTCGAGTAGACCGAGTACGTGATAGTGTTCTTTTACATGAAGCTCTTTCTTTTGTAGGCGGTGTCGGTGGAGGAGGAGGACTAAGTGCATCCATCTTATTTGTTTCGGGCTCTTTTAGGTCATTGAGGTGTTCTCGGTGAGGTGGAGGTGATGGGGGTGGTGGAGGATCATCTGTCAAGGTGATTTTCTCGACCATGAGAGCAGGAGGATTTGTGGTTGGTTCTGGAGACGAAGGCGCTGATAAATTCAGATCGGCAAAAGGAACTTCGAATAAGGTATAAGGCGACAATGGTTGAAGCTGTGAAGGTGAAGGTGGGGTATTATTCAAAAAAGAAGGTGATAAGAGATCACGGCTATTGACTTGTGATAACCAATCATTAGCTGATAAACCTTGTGATCAAATTTAAGTTAAAACGCTTTTTTCCAGCTAGTATATGTATAGCTTACCCAATGAAGTATCATCCAACAACGATGACCTGCGGTTTTGATCGAGTTGTAAATCAATAAATTTCGAATGTAGCCTTGCTTCTTCTGCTCTTCTTAGTTCTTCTGCTCCTCTTCTCTAGAAAAAAAAACGGTTATTTAATGAATACATTGGATATCTTACTTTATCCTCTTCTGTTTTTGCGGCAAGGATATGCTTTAACAGTTCGGTATCATGCTTATAAATGTCTAGTATCTCCGCTACAGTGATGTCTGAAAGTGATAGTTTATCTGACCAGCTCGTGTTGGAGCTACTGTCCATGTTATTTATGTTGTGGTTGCTATGGTTATTTAGACTTAGGTTGCTAAGGTTACCAATACTACTAATACTAAGGTTACTGCTGCTATTGTTATTATGACTAGGTAGCATCATATTTGAAGTAGAAAGAAAAAAAATTAGAAGGAGGGAGAGAAGAAAGAGAGAGAGGAGCGAGAGAGCGAGAAAAATCACTCTCATGTCTTATTTTTTTTCCCTCAATTTTAGGAACACCGCTACTGCGAGCCCTATTTTACCCTTTTTTCATGAAAAGCCACTACAAAGCGTCGTAGTCGGATTTGTTTTTTTTCGCGCCGTTTTTTTTTTACTCTCTGTCTCCTCTTTTTTTGTGTAGTATGTCTGATCCACTCACTCAACCACTTGAATATATTCATAGCCTCTTTGGTAAAAAAAAAAAAAAAAGGCATAAAGAAGCATAAAAAAGACTTATTTTCTATAAAGAACAGCACCTTCAAGACAAAAACTCACCTGTTTCTTTCGATCCCACTTTACAGTTTGTTGAGATCTTAAAGCAGCACAAGAAGCAGGTAAACTTTATATATATATATATATATATATGTGTGTGTATATTGTAGTTTTTAATTCATAAATATAGATCATTTCCTTAAACGATGTTCCTGTGCAACAAGTGCCTAAAAATACACTTGTTCGTTTCCGTTGTATGATTCAAGACACAGGTTTAGGACAGGAGATGTTTATTTCTGCCTATCAAAAGCTCGATAGCAATGGTGATTTAAGATTACATTGTTACCGTTATACAGATGAACCATTGGACGAAGAGGTAAAACAAGACAACCATATGACTTGTACTCATATTATATAAGATAAACGAACAACAAGCGATGCAAAATGAACATTTGAGTGAACGTACACTTGTTTATTGTGTATCTCCTCCAGGCGAAAATCATTGGGCAAAAGAAGCACACAATGCGCATGCTGGTAAATAACAAGTATTCTATAGCATATTTATCATCTACCTTAGGCTCATTAAGCGATCAAATCAATCGGTTGGATATCAAAGAACCAAATCAAACCATCATGAAAAAATATCCTTTACCCGGACAAGACCATGTCTCCGCCGTTGTGAAATTCTACAACGATTCAGCAGAGACCATCAAAGTAGGTCAACTTGTGGAGATCATTGGCATTCGAGCATACGACTTTCAACCTCAAGAATCTGACTTTGATTCTCCATTGGATTCTTTTTCAAATGTGCCTGTTATACATGCTATTGGCTTCCAGCGTTTGGATGCTATTGATAGCAGTCCTTTTGCAGAATCCAGTGCTCTTGAACAAGCACATGACATTCGTGCACAATTGATTAACTATATTGCATCTGTCCTTGGAGGCGATCGTTTGACTGCTGAATTCATTTTGCTCCAATTGTTATCTCGAATGTAAGTTTTTTTTTTTTTTTTGAAAACCACAATGATGATGTATATTGATTTGGATTTAGTACTGTCAAAAACAGAGGCTTAAAGATCGGCAATTTCACATTGAATATCAGCGGATGTCCATCCCATCAAACAACAGAACAAGAAAAAAAGGCACCTGTGCTTACACTCAATAATCCCTTGAGCAAGTCATTGGCTCATGTGTTGGATAGCTTGACCGTTCATTCTGTTCATTTGCCGTTGACTATTGACGGTCTAAACAAGTCTCAATTTATGCCCAAGAGCGTCAATGAGAACTTAGAGGCCGGCGTGCTTCAATTGGTTGATGGTACTTGTCTTTTAGTGGATGAAACTGTGCTGGATGAAGGTCAACTTGTTGATTCGGGTGTTCGTAATTTCCAAGCACTTCAAAATGTGATTCAACATCAAACATTAGCCTATGAATTTCCTTATAGTCAATATGATTTTGATACAGACATTAGTGTGCTTGTCTTATCTTGTTCTAAATCTATGTTTCCTGTAAGTTTCCTTTTTTTTATGCTACTGTATCTAACTTTTTTTTAAAAAAGAATCACTGTTCTATTCGACTCCAATCGACTGGTTCTATGGATGTTGAAACGAATGTACCTTCTAAAGAAACTCTTGATCGTTTTAGACGCTATGTTCATTCGGCTAAATTCAACACCTATGATATTTCAGATCAAGTATCCGAAGTATGTCATAAAAAAAAAAAGAGAGAGAGACATACACTAATTTTTCCATAGTACATTCAAATCTCTTTTGTCAATGAAAGAAAGACAGCAATAGAAAATGGCACAGAACCTCCTACTCAAGAAGAACTTATGCTTCGTATGAATCTGGCCAGGTAAACACACATAAAAAAAAACTATTTACTCAACATGTTTATTTAGATTGGCTGCTGCTTCTTTTGGTGAAACTTGCCTTACACAACAAAGATATGATTATGTTGTTCAACTTGACAAGAGTCGTAAAGCTAGATTGAGTGCTGCTTAAATGTAAATAAAATCATAGAAATATCATGCGAGAAAGAGAAAGTTTTATTTGTTCATTAAAAAGTAGATTGACTTGATCAACATGAAATGAAACGCGTCTCTCGCTAAAACTCATTATATAAGCTTGTCGATCTTTTGTTTCAAGTTGTTTGTTACAGCTCATTTGTCAAATCTGCTCCTAGTAAAGAAAGGGGGTGAAAATCTTGAAAAGATGTAGGCTTATAGAGCGAAAAAAAGGGGGGGGACCAAAGGAGCTTCATAAGAAGAGAGGGGAGAGGATTATGGATTCATGCAAATCAATTTCGCCTTTCCTCTTTATGCATCAAACAATTATGGTAAGCATACAAAGAAAAAGAACATAAAATAAAAAGTATGCATGCTTTGTTTCCTCCTTTTTTTTTTCTCTCTCTCTCTCTCTTTTTCTCTTGTTCATTTGACTAAAAAAACATGACAAAAGATTCCCCTATCGGGAATAACGCTTGGAAGTTTGTTGAACCCGGCTCAGGTAAATTTGAACAATAAAGAAACAAGGCATCTTAAAACAGTGTGTAGATACATTTACAAAGCTATGTTCAACTATAGGTGCTCATGGTATTCAAGTAGAACAAATTCCTTTGCTTGACAAAGAAAACATTCGTCACTTAAGGTATTTAAAAGAAAACAAGCTTTTTAAATTGCATTAAACAAATAAACAAAAAAACCACTTAGACCTATCCTTGGTTTTTTTATACTTCTTCAGCAACAGCCAATACCAGAACAAGATACATTACCATCGACAAAGCAACCTATTTATTTCTCACAACAGGTAGCATAGAAACACGATCCATCGAAAAACTTATTCCCTCCCCCTTGGGGCTTTAGACGACTCATGATGCTTATGCTATGCATGCTTTACTTCATATTGTGATGAACATGAGTAGTAAAATCAATATCAGTGATAATCTAGATAACTTTAGACATTGTACTCAATATCTGTCTTCCAAGGTAAGAAAACCATCATTGAGTAACATATAATTCATTTCATTTTATCTAGTCAACAAGTGTAGCTATTTACAACAATCAACTATTAATACAAGCTTATAATAGATTATCACGGTAAAGTAAGGGTAACATGTCTCCTTTCTTTTTTCCCTTACACCTGTATTAGCCATTCAACAGAACAAGGCAATACGATCTACCGTCCTATTTCATATATTCGACGAGATGGCTATTTGTGGGAACTGGATGGATTGAAAAAGTACCCGTTAAGACTACGTAAGTTCATAACAATATCATATGTGTTTTATAACACATCATAGGTGCTTGTCATGAGAATAATTGGTTAGAGATAGCTCAAGAAGAAATGACAAGGAAAATTCAAGCGTGAGTATCACTCTATGTGTGCGTCATAGACTCATCTCTGCGATAGACATACTACAGTACCTGCTTCTATATGGGCTGTGATTGAAGATAGAAAACTAGTTTATCAGCGAAGACTGATTGGGTTGAGTTATGTAAAGCATAAAATAGAAGCCATTCTCGATCTACAAGAGCCTAGTTGGAGAAAGAAAATGAATATTCAGCAATGGGAAGAGGAATACAGATTCACCATGCATCATAACGTATGTTTCTATTTTAAATTGTGAATTATTGCTCAACTTGTGCTTAGAAAAGGATTCAACAAGGGCTTATTGTATCCAATGAGCTGTATAACAACTATTGTCGATCTTTTACTCAATTACCACCTGAAGAACAAGATGTTTTCAGTCACACGTTCTATGAGTACATGAAAAGAGAAGATAAAATGGATGTATGGCTCAAGATACAAGATGATTTGCTGAGATTGTATGAGAGATTGGGAATTGAATTTGAAAAAGACATGATGTTTGAGGTAGTTGGCTGCAAATCATTCAAATTGATTAACACTGTTTTTTTTAGAGAAGGCAGTTTGATTACATGCCATTCATTCGATCATTTATTCAAGGTCTTTATCAAGAGGGTCACTTACATTCAATAGTAAACAACTAAATATCTTATACCACACACACAAAACCACTTGCGTCTGTATATTTCTTTATATATATATATATATATACATGCATTAAAAAGATTTATTTAATCCCAGTCTGGAATTAGAGAAAAGTCGTATCCAGGATATTTGTAATATGCATAATAAGCAATGTATAAATGATAAACGCCTATATGATGAAATAAATATATGCTGCCTCTATTCAATTTACTTGCCTGGGATAAACATCACACTACCAAGCACTATAAAAGGTGTCCCTCTATCTAACCAAATCTTAAAAAAAGAAAAAAAGAAGGTGAATTACGTTCATTCTATTGACGATATTGCTTACTTCGGACGCAATGATGCCTATTTTGATCAGAATACCTAATGCTAACAAAATACTACCGAGAACAAACAAAAGTAAAGCCAAGCCTATTGCGTTCCAAGGAACTTTACACAGACATAAATATGGTTATTTGATAAAAAGATATAATTTTACTTGGCGTTTCTTGTGTTTCAAACTGAGCAGAAGTAAATCCAGGGTCGTCTTGCAGTTCAGCAAAACGTCTTAACTTGTTCTTTGGTTTAAGTGGATTGCGCATCTTCATAGTAAAAGAAAAAAAAACAAAAAAAAAGATAAATTCGAAACACTGTATGATTTGAATGGCAGATGGTCTTTTGTTTATCCGAGTCCATGTCGGCATGAAAGCTTGTTCATCCTTACTTCAAAAAAATATGTAGATGGATAAACTCTAAGTGAAAATTCCAAAGCTTTTTTTTTTTAATATCAAACCCTTCTCTTCATATCTTATAAAAAAAAATACTTGCCCCCTTTTTTTTCTATTCTTTCTTCTTTTACTATCATTTCATGGCAAGATTATCACCTAGAAGGTTAATTCAAAAACCATTTTTACTTATCACAAGTATTTTAGCTTTGGTAAGTAGTAATACGTTCTTCAAAATAGAATCTCAATAACTTTATAGGGTGGCTGGAGTATTGCATTTACAGGTGCCTGTATGCTTAAAGTATTACATGGTGCATGGTGGGTGATTGTATATCAATTCTGTATTGTCATAGGCCATATGCTTATCTTTATGGCTGGCTCCATGGATCATTACCGCATTGCTGTATGTTGATGGAATATGTTAGTCTAGACTAAAATCTGATTTAGATGATGGCTGTCTTGGCCTCAAGTATTCCTTTATTGACAATCCAAGTGGACTATGTGATTCAATTGACAAAGGCCATGGTATCCAAAACACCCTCAGCCAATGCGTATGTATCAGGCTATATGATCTTATTGGTGGTTCATTACGCATGGATCATAGTGATTGGAAGTGACAAGACAACCTGGTTGGGTGCATTAGGACAAGCAGAAGACATAAGGAATGATTGTCGGATTGAACCAGAGTTTTTTGCAGAAAAGACAATTCAACAAGAGCCCTATGAATTTACAGAGCGTGTTCGAGCCCTGCATACATGCAAGTTATTCAACTAAATTTTATCTATTGATCCTTATGAATCTTATAGACAATGCAAGTATACAAGACCCAAATGAATTAAGCTTTGAAAAGGGGGAATTATTGGAAATTGTAGACAGAAAAGGCAATTGGTGGCAAGCAAGGAAAAGTAATGGCACGATTGGCATTATACCCAGCAATTATGTAAGTATCTAGTGACAAATTCAATTTTGCTTATAGAATAATAGTTTGCACATTTTTAATCTATGTATCCATATTACGTTTGAAAATGACATCATATTCTTTAGCATAAATAAAAACGTTTATTATTTACAAAATAGTCTATTGTTGTTGGTATAATTATGTATGTATGTATGTATGTATGTATATGTATGTGGATATAAAATTAGTTTAAACCATCATCCAAATAGGTGTGAAATGAGGTTCATTGCAAAATGAAGGTGTTGCTGTTGTAGTCATGACTTCAGGCATAGTAAATAAAGCTGTCTTTGGTATCTCATCACATTCAGGAAAAGAGACATATGTTCTTTCAAACATGGATATTTCTTTATCAGTGTCAATTGAGTAGATAGATGAAGGAGCGTATCGATACTGTGTTTGTTCTTCTTGTTCTTGTTCTTTAAAGGATTGTACAATGTGTCTAATGAAATGTTGAACAAGAGGTGATTGAAGATGCATAATAATGAGAGAATAAAAGAACAAAAAGAAATAATAATAATAAAAACAATGGTTTATATGTATTTGAATGGACCTTGTGGATCTTTACATATAATTAACTTGCCCACGCGTGGCTTTGCTGCTTTTGAATACCATCTGTTCATTTACTGTTTACAGAATTTTACCCTAAATTAGACGGTGATATTTTTTTTTTTTTTTTTTTTTTTACTGGCCGAACCAAATATCAAGAATAATAGTCACATCAGGGTTTACTTGAGAATGATGATGATGAAGCTTGAGTGAATATAAGCCAGTCTAAAAAAGGCGAACTCAAAAGTTGGTTTATCCAAAAAAAGATATTCTACATGTCTGAAAATTGTATTAATCATCATGGTTTGACAATGATAGAAAAAAAAAGGGAGGAGTTTATTTCTTTACAAATAAAATGCGAATGAAGTATGTATGATAATAATATTAAAATGCCTTTTTGCTCAATTGTAATGACAAGTTGGAAGTAACATCTAAAGTCTTGAGGACTTCTAAAGTGCCCTTGAAGAAACCAGTGTCATGGTAATGAACATTGTACTTTTGACAAAGGGACTTGACCATAGGCTTGACTTTAGGAAGGTTGTGACGAGGCATATTGGGGAAAACGTGGTGTTCAATTTGATAGTTGAGGCCACCAAAGAACCAATCACCCAAAGCAGAAAGAGTCACATCACGACCCGTCACTACTTGGATCTCAAAGAATTCCATCGTCTCGGCCTTTTCTTCTGTAATCACAGGCATACCATTATGGTTCAAGGCAAATACAAGAGCAAGAGTATAACCAGTAGTAGCCTGACTGATTAAAAAGAACAAAATCATGTTGTAAATGCTACTATTCCAAGCAATTGTACAGGCAGTGAACAAGATCCAGTGACTGACTAAACAGGCACGCTCAAAGAAGTTAAGACGGGCTGATTTGTTGATAGAGCCTTCATTGAATGAGTACAAGAGAGATTGAAGGGCCCAAGAGAAGCGAGCAAAACCAAGGACAAAAAAGTAATAACGTGTTTGATAAGGCAAGACACTTTCGGCAATGAAACGGGACATCATGGTTGGTTCAGAGTCCAAAGATCCATAATAAGCAGCAGATGCATATTCGTCCCACAACAAGACAGGTGCGGTGTCAATGTCGGGATCTTGACCATGAACATTTGTACTAGCATGATGTGTGTTGTGCTTATTTTTCCACCTGCGTACAGGAAATTAGACTCTATGAATTATAGATTCTCTACTTTACCATGATAATGAAAAGCCTTGACAAAAGTTACCGAGCAAGATGATCAAAAGATCATTGTATGAGCGATCTTCAAAGCATTGATGGTGACCAAAATCATGGGCCAACCAACCGCACTGTTGCCAAAAGATACCAATGATCACAGCTGAGACAACAACAGCTAAAGTGGAAGTACGACCATAGGCGTACAAGAGCGCAAGGCCAGCAGCACAGAGAGCAAGCGTAGAAAGAACCTTGTACACATAAAAGAGTTTGCTCGATTCAAAATAACCTTCTGTCTTGAGCTTATCACGGAGTTGACGCATTTCGGCAGCAAATTTAGCACTATTTTCAGTTTGTTGGTCCATTTCTTTGACTGGTTCTAAATCACCAGCATAATAATTAGCAAGGATTTCATAAGCTGAATCAGGGTGCATGGCATGGAAAACATCTATAGGCATACAATGTGAGATACACCAAAACTTAGCTTACAAGCTTTTACCTGAGGCGTCTTTTCCAACATGAGTCAACAAGACTGCTTGCCCACCAGGGTGATCTTCAACAAACTCAGTCACATCATACAATTTATTGTCGATAATGATATATTTCTTTGCGCCTTCAACACCATCCTTAACAGCTTGGTTGATTTCTTCAAACTGTTTTCTAGTGAAAACTTGGGGCTCTGATTTGATTGGGTGTCACAAAGCAATTAGCCAAACATTGGGGATATAAAAAAAAGATTTTTTTTATCAAGCTTATTACCTTGTGTTGTCATTTTACTTCTCCTGTTTACTTGTTAAACCTCTTTGTTCTTTATTTTTTTTTTCTTCAGTAAAGAGAAAAAAATTGTATAAAAAAAAGAGAAAGAGAGAAATAAAGTAGAAAAAAAGGAGGCTATATAAAAAAAAAATCTTTTTTAACCTTTCGGGGTTTACAATCCAGGCACAATGTTAGAGACCTTGATTGGATCAATTAAAATCATTTTAGTGTTTGTATAGATCCAATCATTCTTTATCGTTAAAAAGGCTTGTACGGCATGATATGTTGAAGAGCTTATCACATGCGATCGTTCATTTTCACATGAAGTAGAGAGTTTAGTTAGGGTTAACAGCAACCGTCTGAGAGTATTTTTTTTTTCTTTTTCTTTCAAAGCAGGAGATGGAGAGGCCAAGATTGTAAATATAATAGTACGGTTGGAAGCAATTCAATCGATTTCACTAGAATAAAAAACGTTTCATTTATTTGTATTTAGAGCATGATTAACCAATAAAAACAAGAAGTTCAAAATAAAATAGACCAAAGATATATCTTCATTATTTAGCTTCATCTGTAAAGGGGGATAATTTTTAAATGTCTGATTATACACTTGTTACCAACAAGTGTAATATTTAAATCGGCATGATCACGGAGTTTTCACACGTAGAGCACTCTAAAAAGGCATAGATTAACAGAGCACCAAATGCACCTCGATAGTAATAATTAACCATTGATTATGAATTCTTCCTTTTTTATCATATCAACCATAGATTTTAATGGCTCCATAACAGACTTGAGAAAAGGATTAAAAAATTCGTGTAACTAATTGCAGAAGTTATTAATTTTATGCTTTGTTACACTCTTTATACAGTCCGTCTGGAAAAGATCGTCAAGAAAGTTCGTCATGTTTTTACTATTATTTATTGCCTTCAATAGGATGAAGTACACCAAAGTGGATAGAATAAAAAAAAAACTAAAACAAAGTGGGTATGATATGCATTGAAAAGGGAAAAGCAAAAAGAACGTAACTCTCTGCGGACAATAAGAAAAAGGAAATGGCTTGGTCAAAGGAGTACAGTGCTTCCAGCGTCAATTGGTCACCTTACCGAAAAAATTGGTCGCCTTTCTGAGAACCAATTGGTCATTTTTCTGAATGCCAATTGACCGCTTTTCTGAATGCCAATTGGTCGTTTTCCAAAAACCAATTGGTCACTTTTTTGAACTCCAATTGGTCACCCCTTTAAATAAATTGTTCGTCTCCAAGTACTAGCCATAGCTTTTTCCGTTATTGATTCGAAAATGGATTCTGACATTACTTTTTATTCTGAGGATGGAAGAGGAAACATCTTTGACGATAACGGTAACGAAGCAGCAGCATACGACAAGGTTCCTTCTTTCCGTCTTAAGAAGATAACCGATCTTAAGAAGCTAGTCCGTCATTAAGCAATCACCCTTTTAAAGATGACCCTACCATTCTGTACCTATATACCTCGTCGTTGTTTCAGCAATAAATTGAAACTGTTGATAAGGATACACCATCAAAATTGATAGATCTACAAATTATGGAGTACGATAGGTCGAAAACGCTTGCCAGTTCACTTGAACGACCAGTATTCGAAGAAGTAATTAACGATGCCAAATTAAGAAATCTAACAATTAAAAGAAAATACAAAGATTTGTTTACACCACCAGCGCCAGCGTCATCTACTTGTCTCAGAAGCTGCAGTTTCATTGATAGTATCTTAAAAGAACTAGTGAGATAAAGGTCTCTGGTATATGAACAACTGAGTTACCTGCAACTTCGGATTCAATAGCCTCGATGTCAGCCAGCAAAGTTGATAAGAATAATGACACGTATAAAGCAGATATGGAATTTATCGTTGGATTCAAGCAAAAGAAGGTGGAGCAAAAGAAAAGAATGGATTGGGTCACGTGCCTGAAAGAAGGGGAGGACTTGAAAATCTTGAATTATAAAAATTCAGAATCATTACGCCGCCAATTTTACAAATATATGAAAGGAAATGCAGAACAAACAAATTTAGTGGTATTATTATTAATTATATTAGCTATTGAATAAAAAAAATCCTACGTTTGTGTGGCAATTAATTTAACAGCATACTGTGACAAGTGCTAAAAATAATAATAAATATCTATATATCTTGTTTAAAGGAGGTAAAAAAACTCGTTAGGATTCTTCTTGGAAACATAACATTTAAATAGTTGTTATAGTCTATTAGTAACAGAATAGCTGATGAGCGACATTCAAGAAGGACTAGTATTACAGTTTTCACACTTCCTGAAAAAAAAAAATCAAGCACAGCGCACTACAATGCACTAATATGCTTGCGTTTATGCCTGCGTTTATGCCTGCGCTGGGTTTCAAACTTTATGCCTGCGTTTATGGCTGCGTTTATGCCTGCGTTTATGCCTGCGCTGGGCTTCAAACTTTATGCCTGCGTTTATGGCTGCGTTTATATATAGCTGCGACTAACCAATTTTCCGCGTGACGCACCTGTTTTTAACACACTTGGTACCATCTTGTAAAATTAATTCTTCTCTTCACAATATAATGTCTACCATCAAGTATTACACAATAGCATATTCCTGTCATCTTTGTAGCTCTACCAAGTTTTCTAATGCTCGTAATTTAAGGAATCATTATGAGAATATTGAAGGTATATAGTAAAGCACAAATTTAAAATAAAACTTTATTATAACATGTTTGATACTGTAGGGATAAAGTATCCAAGTACAAGAAGCAGGATATATAGCACAAAAAGGTAATTACAAATATATCATCACAAAGCTTTTCTTATATTTAACATTTACCACTCTAGTATAAAATATGTTTCTGCTTCTATCGCCAAATCAAAAGTACTTACACTTAAACAATTTTGTTCGCACTTTTCTCCTAACATTATATTTCATTAATAGCGAAATGTATCAGAAAACTTTGGCTGTCCAAGCTGTACATCTCATTTCGATACTGTGATTGAGCTCGGATACCATCTCGATGAGATTCATAGTAAGTATTGAAACGAAGTATTATTATAATATTATTTACTTAATAATTTTTTTATAGCTGCAAAACCAAGAGCTGAAGTAGAGGAATCCTTTCGTGTTTTAAGAAATAATGACAAGTGGATTCTCTCTACTGGGACAGTAGTGGAGGACAATTTGTATGCTTTTGGAAAGTTGCAAATTGGTGATCATCCTTCTCAATCATTAATTTTTGATCCTGGCGACTCTGAATTGTATGTTAAAAATGATGTATTCACAGAAGAAGAAATTGAGGAAATCAAAGCATACAAAAACTTCAAACCCATACAGTTGCCTGACGATATTAAGCAGTATTTGAATAAATTTAACTGCCAATCAACTGCAGATATTAGAAAAGCACTTAATGAAAAACAAAGTTGGGAGGAATGCTATGATCGTGAAAAACACTTCGATTTGGATTGGATAAAGCATTCTGTATACACGCTAGTAAGAGAATATGAAAACGGCAGTTTGAAGAAAGACCACTTGGAGAATTGGTACAACATTCATATTTGGTGCATGATAGACCACATATTTGGCAACTTAGAGGGACTTGAAATAATTAGGTAAGCCCATTTTTATATGTTTTCACTTATTCTTTTGGATTAACAGCCAATTGTTTCTAATGGAAGAAGCTATGGAAGCCCCTTCCCCTCTAGAAACAATTGGCTGTTAATCCAAAAGAATAAGTGAAAACATATAAAAATGGGCTTACCTAATTATTTCAAGTCCCTCTAAGTTGCCAAATATGTGGTCTATCATGCACCAAATATGAATGTTGTACCAATTCTCCAAGTGGTCTTTCTTCAAACTGCCGTTTTCATATTCTCTTACTAGCGTGTATACAGAATGCTTTATCCAATCCAAATCGAAGTGTTTTTCACGATCATAGCATTCCTCCCAACTTTGTTTTTCATTAAGTGCTTTTCTAATATCTGCAGTTGATTGGCAGTTAAATTTATTCAAATACTGCTTAATATCGTCAGGCAACTGTATGGGTTTGAAGTTTTTGTATGCTTTGATTTCCTCAATTTCTTCTTCTGTGAATACATCATTTTTAACATACAATTCAGAGTCGCCAGGATCAAAAATTAATGATTGAGAAGGATGATCACCAATTTGCAACTTTCCAAAAGCATACAAATTGTCCTCCACTACTGTCCCAGTAGAGAGAATCCACTTGTCATTATTTCTTAAAACACGAAAGGATTCCTCTACTTCAGCTCTTGGTTTTGCAGCTATAAAAAAATTATTAAGTAAATAATATTATAATAATACTTCGTTTCAATACTTACTATGAATCTCATCGAGATGGTATCCGAGCTCAATCACAGTATCGAAATGAGATGTACAGCTTGGACAGCCAAAGTTTTCTGATACATTTCGCTATTAATGAAATATAATGTTAGGAGAAAAGTGCGAACAAAATTGTTTAAGTGTAAGTACTTTTGATTTGGCGATAGAAGCAGAAACATATTTTATACTAGAGTGGTAAATGTTAAATATAAGAAAAGCTTTGTGATGATATATTTGTAATTACCTTTTTGTGCTATATATCCTGCTTCTTGTACTTGGATACTTTATCCCTACAGTATCAAACATGTTATAATAAAGTTTTATTTTAAATTTGTGCTTTACTATATACCTTCAATATTCTCATAATGATTCCTTAAATTACGAGCATTAGAAAACTTGGTAGAGCTACAAAGATGACAGGAATATGCTATTGTGTAATACTTGATGGTAGACATTATATTGTGAAGAGAAGAATTAATTTTACAAGATGGTACCAAGTGTGTTAAAAACAGGTGCGTCACGCGGAAAATTGGTTAGTCGCAGCTATATATAAACGCAGCCATAAACGCAGGCATAAAGTTTGAAGCCCAGCGCAGGCATAAACGCAGGCATAAACGCAGCCATAAACGCAGGCATAAAGTTTGAAACCCAGCGCAGGCATAAACGCAGGCATAAACGCAAGCATATTAGTGCATTGTAGTGCGCTGTGCTTGATTTTTTTTTTTTCAGGAAGTGTGAAAACTGTAATACTAGTCCTTCTTGAATGTCGCTCATCAGCTATTCTGTTACTAATAGACTATAACAACTATTTAAATGTTATGTTTCCAAGAAGAATCCTAACGAGTTTTTTTACCTCCTTTAAACAAGATATATAGATATTTATTATTATTTTTAGCACTTGTCACAGTATGCTGTTAAATTAATTGCCACACAAACGTAGGATTTTTTTTTATTCAATAGCTAATATAATTAATAATAATACCACTAAATTTGTTTGTTCTGCATTTCCTTTCATATATTTGTAAAATTGGCGGCGTAATGATTCTGAATTTTTATAATTCAAGATTTTCAAGTCCTCCCCTTCTTTCAGGCACGTGACCCAATCCATTCTTTTCTTTTGCTCCACCTTCTTTTGCTTGAATCCAACGATAAATTCCATATCTGCTTTATACGTGTCATTATTCTTATCAACTTTGCTGGCTGACATCGAGGCTATTGAATCCGAAGTTGCAGGTAACTCAGTTGTTCATATACCAGAGACCTTTATCTCACTAGTTCTTTTAAGATACTATCAATGAAACTGCAGCTTCTGAGACAAGTAGATGACGCTGGCGCTGGTGGTGTAAACAAATCTTTGTATTTTCTTTTAATTGTTAGATTTCTTAATTTGGCATCGTTAATTACTTCTTCGAATACTGGTCGTTCAAGTGAACTGGCAAGCGTTTTCGACCTATCGTACTCCATAATTTGTAGATCTATCAATTTTGATGGTGTATCCTTATCAACAGTTTCAATTTATTGCTGAAACAACGACGAGGTATATAGGTACAGAATGGTAGGGTCATCTTTAAAAGGGTGATTGCTTAATGACGGACTAGCTTCTTAAGATCGGTTATCTTCTTAAGACGGAAAGAAGGAACCTTGTCGTATGCTGCTGCTTCGTTACCGTTATCGTCAAAGATGTTTCCTCTTCCATCCTCAGAATAAAAAGTAATGTCAGAATCCATTTTCGAATCAATAACGGAAAAAGCTATGGCTAGTACTTGGAGACGAACAATTTATTTAAAGGGGTGACCAATTGGAGTTCAAAAAAGTGACCAATTGGTTTTTGGAAAACGACCAATTGGCATTCAGAAAAGCGGTCAATTGGCATTCAGAAAAATGACCAATTGGTTCTCAGAAAGGCGACCAATTTTTTCGGTAAGGTGACCAATTGACGCTGGAAGCACTGTAATTGATAAGAGATCGGCGTTAGTAGCTCAACACTTGATTATTGTCTGAGATCAGCAAAAGTTGTGTCTGAAAAGGAGTCTCCATTCTCGGGTTGGCTGTTTTCATTTGAACTATTTAATACAATTTCTTCTATTCTTCAAACTGACTTGAATTTTGCACTCTCGAACAAGTCCAGTGCAATATGCTCTAACTCGTTGGTAGCGCTGATTGCTTCTTCTTTTTCAGTTTCTTCGTAATTTTTACGCAGATTATTGCATTTACGCAAGAATGCTCGCTTTTGGAGTGAATACTGAAGCAAACAGAGTATTTGTCTTGCAGCAATAGTAAAAAGAAAGAGTTTGTATGGCTCCTTCGCTTAATCATCAAGTAATATCCACAGGAATGTAAAGATCATAATCTTTGGTTTGTTTGCAGCAATTACTAGAGCCATTTAGGCATATTGAATTTTACAGAGTTTCTTTTCAAATAGATATGGCTTTTCATATCAATCAATAGACCGCTTAACTTGCTAGTCATATATTGAAAATAGGAATAAGATAAAAAGAAATCAAATATTTCAATCACGCGTTTGACTATATTTTCGAAAGAGAAAGATTGGAACTAAACAGGAGAGATAGAGGCGGACCGGAATTGGCATAGCTGTACTATGGCATGTATCTACAATATCAAATAGCTACTAATTAATGAATTTCAACCTTGATAAATTTTGATTTTCTACCAATATAAACACTTCTGGTTGAAAACTTGACATCAATTATGTGCTTTGACTTGAGCTCAAGCTCATTTTGAACAAATTGTCCAAAGAAGTTTGTTCTACTTGCGCCTGAGCCCCCTATTAGCACAGGCAGCGTAGTATTTAATAGGTTTTCTTCACGGACACTATTTTTTTTTTTTTTTGTCTTTGAATAAGTAATTATTATTGTTATTTCAACTCACATTGAAGGTTGAACATTTTTTTTTCTGCTTTTGTGAAAATCGTATTTATAGCTTGTTAAAGAAACATCATGTGACCAAGTCAATAATATGTTCATTCTTTGCATTATATATATATTTTTCTTTGTCTTTTTTTTTCCTCTAATTGTTTCTTTGAAATATGGATAAAGAGTGTCATTCTATAGTAATTGAATACCTTGTCCATAATTGCTTTAAAAACACAGCAAAAGCTTTACTTAGAGAAAGGCAAAAGCTACAACTATGTGGTAAGACGATTTTATCAAAAGTGGATTTAAAAAGATGTAAGGAAATTTTTTATGGTAGGCGGAGGAATTGTACTAACATTCAGTGTAGTGCCAACAAAAGATGTAATGGAAGACGGTAAAAAAAAAAAAAAAATAAGAAAAAGAACTCATTCATATTGTAGAGAGTCAATGGCAACTTTTAGATGCAAGGAAGAGCAAGTATCGTAAACTAAATCTGTCTTATTGACTTGTTCTAGGTCTAATCCATGCTGTTCAAAGTGGAAACATCGAATTGGCCTTTGATTTAATCCACCGTTATTTCCCCTTATTAACACAAGATTCAGTACACGCTGTATTCAAACTAAAGTGCCAACAGTTTATTGAGATCATTCGTTTCTCTTCAGAACTAGAAGCCATTCAATACGCTCAACTTCATTTGAAAACAACACATCCTTATCATAAGGAATTAGTAAAAGAAGTCACTGCTTTGATTGCCTATGCTGATCCACACATATCACAGTCAAGATACCTACTCACTCAAGAAAAGCGCGAACAAATTGCTTCTGAACTAAATGATGCTTTATTAGGTAAACACCACACCACATTGCTTCCTTTTCTGATTGTGTTAGTGTATTGTAACTTGCCTATCCAAACATCTATGGAAAGACTCACAAGACAGTACTCGGTTATTACAGAAGAACTTGAAAAGACAACATCAAACTGTAGTTTCAGAGAGAAATTGGCTATTTAAACCATAGTCAATAGTTTCAAAGAGTTTGCAACAAATTCATGCATTGTGAATAAAAGGGATAATAAAAGTTGAAAACCTCTTATTTTTTATTGAATAATGTTTATATGCCATATACTTTAGCATACAATCACAGGATAAAAGAATAAGTGCACTTAGATTTCGTTAACAACAAGGGCTATAGAAGGTCAGTATAAGCAAGACACGACTCATAAAAAAAAATCTTACCAGGAGGGAGAGATTGCTTGAGCTTAGCAGCCTTGGACTTGTCCTTGACGACAAGAGTGTAAAGGTAGCGAGAGCATCTGACCTTGAACTTGACAGAGTCAGCGTTCTTCTTGATGCGGGCGGCTATGATTATATGAGTATTGGCGATCCTTGACGTGTATACTTACATTGAGCATCCTTTCTACGGGCAATTTCGAGGAATTGCTTAATGTCCTTGATTTGTTGAGGCTAAAGAACGCACGTTAGTAAGAGAATAAAAGATACCATTGTATATCATAGGAAGAAAAGAAAGAATGAAAAAAAATAGTAACTTGGAAAGAGGGAGAGAGAGAGAAAATGACATGAAGGTCATGGTGTAGGATCTACTTTATCCTTTTTCTCTCTATCCATTTGTTATCGTATGCATCCATCCAGTTGTCTTCCTTTCTTTCTCTTTTCCTTGATGATATAGATGGATTGTTATGATAGTTTACCATCGCGCTACTGTATGTTCGGAAAGAGAAAGATCCTAATAATCTCGCTTCTCACTTGTAGTCTTAGCCCTGTGGATTCTCCTCTCACTCCACTTGCTCACTCTTCTCCTTCTATTTCTGGAAATTCGAAATAGTCCGGATTATACCCGGCACAGAAATAAATGTCCGGTCCCCAATCCTCCAAGCCAGTCATCTCTTGAACTTCTTCCAGCAGTCGAATGGAGCTGCCATAGAAGACCAAAGGCCCTTCTTCAAGAGAGCTTCTTATCAGGTTAATAGGTTTAAAGTGAGGAGAAGACAGCTATTGTATTAAACAAACAATGTTATTTTAAGAGCCCAGTTCGTCATTGGAAGAGCGTGAACTCAGCCGAGGACATGTGTAAATTTTGTACCTAAAAATACATTTTCTTTGTTTTCTTTTGCTTTTTTTTTTTTATTAATAGACATGAACGAGCCTTGGAAAGAAGAGTGTATAGCCTATGAAGACATCAAAAAAGATATAGAGTCAAGACAAAAGCATCATAAATGGACTCAAGAAGACGAAAAAGATCTTGAAACTGTGATTCGCTCTGAAGCAAGCAGAATTGATGCTTTTATTAATAGAAAAGAAAGAGAAATAGAGTCCCGTATTGCTTATTGTGAGCGAATGTTGACTCAAAAACGACTTTCATCAGCAAGTAGTCGTGAAACTATCCGCCATGACCTGAAAGATATTCTTTTGGACCTGAATGACCTTGTAAAATACACTCGTTATAACTTTTTAATGTTGCAAAAATTGATCAAGACACACGATGAATCGAGGCCAAATTATGCTCATTTGCTTTTACTCAATATCACTCAATCAGCATCGCTTGATGTTCAGCGATTTGATGCAACCTTGGTGAAAGCATTCAGTCTACACGAACTGTGTTATGAAGAACAACAACAAAAGGCAAAAACTGCCAGCTATTGGGTTCATCCTGATCATCTAAATGAACTCAGGGCTATTTTATTGTTTCATTTGCCTGAATCAAAGGCCACTAAAACCAGCTGCCTTTATATTGATAACTCCGAGTTTAGCGTATACCAACAATGCCTTGAGCGTGATACAGATGCTGAATCGATTTATTTCCGCTGGGTTGGTAATAATGACACCATCTCTGTTGAAAGAAACGCACGTCATGTATCCGATAGCTTCCCATTGAACGTTGACAAAGTAGATGATTTTGTTTCCGGTGTTTATTCCGTAGACCACTATGTTGCTGATTTGCGTGCCAAGAATACACCTCAAGAAACACTGGACGCTCACTATCGTCTTGCCGCAGGTGTACAAGCATCTATATTAGAAAAACAACTCAAGCCTGTAATGCGCACTTATGCAGAACGTACTGTATTTGAACTATCTTATGCACGCCTTACACTGGAAACAGACTTGACCTTTGTACGTGAAACAAAAGATGTTGGTAATGTCTGGCATCAACCTCGTATTGGCTCAGATACTAGTCAATTTCCTTATGCTCTACTCCAGATTGAATGTCAAACACCCATAGATCATGCATGGCTGACTGAACTCTTGGACTCGAATCAAGTATATCAAGTGCCTTGTTTTTCAAAACATTTGCATGGTATTTTTCTCTTTTGGAAGTCATGTTTGCCCCTGTTGCCTTGGTGGTCAAGTCAGATGGAACTGGATATTCGTCATGGAACACAGTCAATCAGCGGCAATGAAGTATTCACACAATGCAAAAACCTAAAGACGTCTGTGGATGGAAAACAACGTATTGGCTATCTCGAATCCACTATCGAATACATGTCTCGTCTTCAACGTTCAGAAACCAAAAAGGCTTCCCTTGTACGTTCTGTTTCAACAAGATCAACAAAAATGCCCAACTCTAGTCTTAGACAAAGTGGAAATCCGTTTGAAGACCCTATCTGGGCAAAACAAAACGATGCTTATGAACTCCCTATGTTTACACTTCCTGATCGACCTGCCTCTAGTCATGACACATTAGGTTCTACTAAAAACTCAAGTGTTCGTATTGTACATGAACATCAAGACAGTTCTTCTACACGGCTCCTTGTAGACGAAAAGACCTCTTCAATCAAAAAAACAGATAAAGAAGAAAAGTACCTTGACACCTATTTTGGCAAGGATTTGGAACAAGGCAAACAAGAAGAAGACGATAATGAAGACAAAAAGAAAAAGAAGAAAAAGAAAGACGAAGGTGGAGGAGGAGCTATTGTTGAGCCCAAGACACTGTTTGCTAATGAACGTACTTTTATTCATTGGCTTAATTTTGCTGCTACTTTATTGACTACTGCTCTGACACTCATGAACTTTGGTGATCGTATCAACAAAATTATAGGTGCCATCTTTTTTGGCATTGCATTTCTCTTTGTGTTTTATTCATTTGGTTTCAACAGATGGCGTGCTTACCGTATTCTCTACAAGCCTCATTTGCGTTTTGATGATATGTATGGTCCTGTCTTTTTATGTGTTTTGCTTGTTGGTGCTCTTGTTGTAAGTCATTTTTATCTACCTTTCTATTTTAACTCATATTTTATTAGCTGAACTTTGGATTAAGATGGAATGCACCAATGTCAACAACATCTTATCTTGGTACAAACGCAACAACATCGGATACATCTGCTTAATCAATACTCTGTATACCCTTTCAATGACATTCTATTATTTGCAATAAAGCTAGATGTGTATTCAAATAGATCCATTGTCAGACTAATGGAAATGCAATTAAAAAAACCCCGTCACACTTTGTACAACTAAAAAGAAAAAACGTCATTTTCGTCAATGAGATTTGCATTTGGTTTTCTTTTTCTTTCCCTAATATTCCACTTGAATACATCATGGCTAGCTTGCTTGTACAGCTAGTTGAACAAGGAATTCAAAAAGGCTTTGTTCAAAACGTGATCCGAACTCTAGATAAAGAGTGTTATTTGGATAGACATTATGTACAAAAGTCTATTGTCTTTTTAACTGAAAAAGACAGTAAGTTGAGGTGCCAATTTGAGGCCTATTAAAAACGCTAATCCTATTCAAACTAAAAGAAAAGTCAATCCGACGATATTATAGGGAAAATCACGATTGAGGCATTAGCAGAAGAGTTGTGTATTGAACAGTCTGTCATTAAAGACATGGTGAATGAATTATCAGCCAATCAGAATTGGACAGTGGTAGATGATCTGATCTTGACATTGCATGTATTGTAAAAAAAAGAGGAAAAGGCAGGGAAAGAATAACACATAGTGTAGGGAGTACATGAACAATGTAGCCCTTGACTTCAACAAGGCTGTAGAAAGCAAGGGCTATGTATTTACTGTAGCACAGTCTCAGGCACTAAGATTACCTTATAGTCTATTAAAGACAGTAAGTTTCCTTTTCATATGACATTGTCGATTGATTTTCATGTATAGATAATGGTTTCCTTGATGGAAAATGATAATTATGTTTCCTACACTCAATTACCAGATATGATAGCTACTAAAGCCTATATTGACAAGTGCAAATCAGACATTCAGTCTTCATTGGCTTGTTTAGAAGAGTATGTAACTGATTGTGTTTCCCAAGATAACTTATGAATAGACCATTTCCTGTGTTCAAGATTCAAAAATCACTTTCTATGCCAGAGGAATTATTCTATCGTAAGATCATGATCTATCATAGGCAGCAAGTACTTATGTTTCGCATATACAGTGTTATTAGAACAATTAGTAAAGGAAGAGGGCATATTACGAGGAAAGAAAAGCAGAGCAGTTTTTGAACCCAAGCATTACAAACAAAGACAATTGACACTGATTAAGTCAATATTTGATTCAAATGAATGCATCAGTAAGTCTGTCTTTCTCTCTTGTCATTCTTATTCCTGTTTAGATGTGGATACAGTCGAAAGCTTATATTCATTTTCGAGTCCTGTGGATATTATCAGCAGCAACTATGACAAAGATTCATTTATTTGTCTAAATTCATGTATTATCAAGACTTCAGTCAAAGACAAGGCCAGAGAAGTGGTGGAATCCGTAACAGAGTACTGCGATGTCAATGTAAGTCCCAGCCATTGCCTTGCTTCTTATCAAACTATTTATTATAGGATATCCTACCAGCTGGCTTGACGTTTGAAGATGTAGAGAAAGTAATAGAAATTATTATTGATGATATCCATGCTAGCAATATAAGCAACAGAAAGCTTGTCGTACTGAATGGTGGTTATGTCATCACAGCTGAGTACATGCAACATTTGGTAACAAAATCAGACCATTACTTGAAGAGCCTTTCTCGTACTCTAAGACAACATCATCAGAATAAGAGTCATGGTCATTCGGTTAACTTGAGTGATAAAGAGGTATGTGTGTGTGTGTGTGTGTGTGTGTCTATTTCAAAGACAATATCTTGATGGATCAATAGATTATTCGAGCATTTGAACATGTTGGATGTTCGCATCTTATTGCTGAAAAGATTTTACCATTTACAAGAAGTTCAATGTTGAAACGGTTTACAGAACTACTCAAGACAC